ATTTGAATAAAATCGAGGCAGGAAGCAGAGATGCCTCCACTGCGGCAACTGCCCCACGCCGAGCTCTTTGGACAGCGGCTGACAAAGTGGCTGCAGCTGAGAGGCTGCCTCTGCTCACTTGGCAGTCCGAACTGCTCTTCTTCTTCTTCTCAAAGGGGCGTATCAGTGTCGCCTGTCGAGGCGAAAACACTTTGTGTCGATAACACACGTTGCCTGTGCAACCGGAATCCTCGACACTTGCCTTAGACTTTGGCTGACGCGATAAATTAGCGCTTGCAACTTCATTTGTTGGCCAATTGGCATGGCTCAGTCTGAAATGTCGCCTCGTCCTCTCTCTCTCTCTCCCACCTTCGCTCTCTATCTCTCTCTTTTCCCGCAGCATTTATATCTCTCTTCTTCTATTTCTATTACTCTATCTCTCTCTCTTTCTTTTCAATTACTATATCTCTCTTTTTCTCTTACTCTATCTATCTCTTTCTTCTACTCTATCTCTGTCTCCCTTGCTCTCTATATCTGCTGCTGTTCCTGCTGAGTCATTAGAATCTGCAGCTGCCTTTGCACTTTGGGCTTAAATCCAATTACGCGCATTGCTCAAAAGCCCCAAAGCAACTGCGCTGATGCCACAGTGCTGACAGCTTAAAAGTAGCCAAAAAAGGCTAAAACTAGCTGTTAAAAATTTAAATATTGATTTATTGAAAAATATATAAGAAACTTGATCATGTTCGCTTAGCATCGCAGCGCGTACAATCTGTTAAGAGAAAGCTAGATTCAGCTGCAAATAAGCTAAGCGCACAGCACTGGCGGACTATACGAACTGCCCACTGCACTGGCTGATCTGCAATTTGGCCTCGACAACAACAACTAGAACCGAAAAGCTGGTCAAAAGCCGCTGGCCAGCATTGTCCACTCAGTGGGCACTTTTGCTTTATTATAGCAATGCTTATACAGATTAGAATAAATCAACTTGGACCCTCTTCGATCTCCTCTACTGCTTGCTGCGATCTGCAAACGCTACCGGCAACAATCTGAAGCTGCAATTGGAGCTTGGACTAGAGCTGAAACTGGGATAGGAATTGGGCTTGGGTTTGGGTTTGGGTTTGGGACTGGAACTGGTTAAAGGCCAGCTGCGCCCCACACACAGACGCCCTGTTGTGGCCACTTATTAAGTGGCCAGCAGGCCAAGAGGAAGTCGGCACAGATAAGCAGGCAAATAGCTTGGCTTATGCCACACAGCACAGCAACAAATGCGCCAAAGGGAAATGCAGAACAGCGAATGGGGCAAGCTCAAAGTGCAGCTGCAAGTGGAGCATATTTATATATGGATACAGAATTCTCTATGCAACAAAATTTATTGCCACAAAACAAAGTTGAAGGTGCCATTCGAGGGAGAGAGATTTGGTATTGATGAGCTGAAGAACTCTGGTAGAGACTGACAGAGATATGAAAAAGTTGTAGAAGAGATCTCAATGAGAGCTGCAATAAGAGATTTGGATGAAGTCTGGAGGAGATCTTGAAGACATCTGAAGGAGAAAGGAGAAGGAAAAGAACTGTAAGAGAGCTTGATGAATTCTGGCGGAGATCTTGACATCTGTTGGAGACCTCGAAGAAAATAGAAAGAGATCTAGAAGAGATCTTGAAGAGATCTTAAAGACATCTTAAAGACATATTGAAGAGAACTTGAAAAGATCTGAAAGAGATCTATAAGATATCTGGATGTGATCTGAAAGAAGTCTGGAGAAGATCTTGTAGAAGAAAAGAAGATTGAAAGAACTATTAAAGATGCCTTTTAGAGATTAGCAAAGGATCTAGAAGAGAACTTGAAGATATCTATAAGACATCTGGATGAGATCTAGATGAGAATTGAAGGAGATCTAGAAGAGAATAGAAAGAGATCTAGAAGAGATATTAAAGTGAGCTATAAGATATCTGGATGAGATTTAGATGAGAACTGGATGAATGTATGACCGGTTGAACTTCACTTTCCCTAATGAGCATCATCATCAAGATTGATTAAGTTAGGATTCAATTTGCATATAAAAACTGTAATTTCCTTTCATTAATAACTCAATCCTCCCACTCAGTTGCTTCATTAGCAACGCAACTCCTACAAACGGTGCCTTTTGCCTTGTAAACACAATTGTTGTCGATTCGCGGATCGGTTAACAGATTGATACAGCAGAGCCAGAGATTCTACTGATCCTGTTTCCCATACAATGTCTGGACATGCGGCTCAACACTTTTGCGACCCGGCGAGCTTACAAATTAAACGCATTCAAGTGCAAGATGCTGGAATTTTGATTGGGTCAACAACAAGTCGGAAGAGGCGCGCGGTAGCTGAGATGCCATAACAAAATGTGTCAAGTGCCAGACATAAATGCCTAAGTAACGGCCCAGCCAAAGGAGTCGATTCCTGCTACCTCGCCCCTGACTCCTGTGCCTGATGCTGCCTCTATCTGCTTCAACTCCAGCTTCTCCTCGTTCGATTGCTCGCGGCCTTTTTGCTGTTTGCTCTCGCCATTCGACATGCAGCTCAGCTCGGCTGGTGCGGCTTCGCATCATGAGACAATAAATTTTCGGTGCGTCACTTTTTTTCTTCTTTTTTGGTTTTTTGCAGATCGTCGAGGCTGCGGCAACTTCAGCAACGTTTCTGATACCCTGCCATAGAGAAGGGGCATATTGTGATTATGTTTTGGTTTATAGAAGCTGAAAGCAGGAGGCCCTTAGCTTTTGAATACTTAGGCTATATTATATATATATATATAGTTCAGCTCATTAACCAGATCTGACTCTATGACAGAGTGCCGCTGAGGTGTGGGGTCCGTTAAGACAGTACGTAATGATCTAAGGCTTCATTTTGTTCAATAAACATTGTCAAGTAGCTGTTGCCAAACAATGTTTTTTAGAATAGAGCTCTCAAAGCTAGGACCTATGCTGATCTTTGACCTTCAAACAATTTTAATTTTATTATCCCAGTCTCTAGCTCGCTCGACACGTTTTTACGAACAAGGCTACTTACTAAATCTATAAAAAATCGTTTGTTTCTAGTCCTAAAAGCAGGAGCTTATCTTAAAAGTAGTTCCATGTTCGAAATGGTCTCTAATCTCTTCAAATAGGTGTTTGCCATGTCTTCAATAATTCAATTTCTACTTAATATAAAGACTATAAACGAAAGCTAAAGCAAATCAAGTTGATTCGCATAATTATTAGATATCTATATCAATTTATATATCTATGTTATATCTTTAACTAAATATCTATAGCTATATCGCTGTTTGTTTTGTCTGCCAGTTAGGTTCAGCTATAAAAGTGTTTCTTTCTTTTACAGCGCATCTGTTAGTCGTGCACACTCTGCGCGCAGCGAGCTTTGGTTTTTGTGCGCGCTTTCCAATTAAAAATGCGCCACAGTTTTCGTCGCAATTGGAGTTTTGCCGTCGTTCAGCTTGTACTTATTTGTAAGTTGCACGCATGCAGCCAAAGAATGTTGCCACAGAGACTGTTGCAGCGGCGTCTGCAGCTACAGTGGCTGCTGCAGTTACTCTTACTGTTGCTGCTGCGTCTCTTTTGGAAGATCCTCCTGCTGTCTACCTCTCGCTCCCTTAGCTCCTGCTTCTGCCTCCTGTAACTTCCACTTCTGTTGGTGCGCCTGCTGCTGCTACAGCTCTTACTTAGGCTTCTTCTCTTGCCTCTGCTTCTCCCCCTCCTCCAACCCCTGCTGCATTATCAACGATCTGGCGACCTTCTGCTGCGCTTGCCGCTTGCTGTTTTCATTAATTTACATAAAAATATCTTAATTGCAATGCCTCGTTCTTTTTCGCTTCTTTATACATTATCAACGGCCATGTCATGTCGCCGACGCGCCGGCTCGTCCTTGTCCGCTGGCCACGTTCCTCCAACTGCTCGATCATCGTGGCTGACAAATTTTCGGTGGCAGCACGTCAAGAAGTTGGCCGAAAAGCTTGCACAATGGTGCGTCGCATGATGGCACATCCTCTGGAGTCGAAACACATGTTATGCGACACCAAGCAACCTGCCCCATCCTCCTCCCTCGCCTTCTGCATAATCACTGATAAATGCGACTTTCAGTGCTACAAAAATGATTTGTTGATAATTAATGCAGAAGCAAAAGCAAAAAATAAAACCAGTTCGCGCGCTTACCTCAAAAGAACAGAAAATTGTGCTGCTGCTGCGGCTGCGTCTGCGGCTGCTGCCGTTGTTGCATGATGCACAATCAAGCCTTAAACGCAATCAACGAACAGTAACTCATGTCCGTGGTGCTCCCAGCTGACAGGCTGCAGATAGAAAGAGATAGCAAGTCAGCTAATTGCACAGCTCCAACAGAAGTTGAAGGAGTTCACATAACAAGCGCGCAATTAATGCGCAGCATTAACTAGTTGAAAAACTTGTATTATTATTATTTTCGCGATCAAATTGCCAACAAAGGAATACTACAGATAATCAGTGTTGGTTAATGCACGAGACACGCGTCAAATATTTTGCAGCACACGTTGCTGTTAAGCGAACTCTTGCTTGCGCTTGACTTAAACAAACAATGAGAGTGAGTGAAAAGGATAGATGATCAAAGCAAAAGCAGCAAACAAATGTGCTAAATTCTGCGGCTGAGCAGCTGTTGTATGCTAATTATAGAAGAGAGTAAGCTTAAACGACCAATCAACACAAAGTAATTGTAGTAAGCGGCTCCTTATCTATTACATGCAGAGAGGGGGTTGAGACGCTGCTGCTAAACTCTCTCACTGCATATCAACAACCAATTAAAGGAATGTATTGTGAGAATGTATTGTGAGTTAGACTCAGCCTACGATGTTCTAATAAGAACTCTTCTTCGAGCTGTTCGCTCTCAGGTTCAGTATTCACTCTCACTGCTTATGAAATATATTCTTATTGAAACTCTGTTCACTCTATTCGCTCTCGCATAGGACGAGCTAAAAGCAATTCTAAAAAGCCATTGTTGAGCACTGCAAACACCCAGGCACACAGACATTCCACAACACTGTTTTGTCTGAAGAAATTTGAATACCTCGTGTTTGGGCTGCGCTTCATAATGAACTCTCACAGCATTTTAAGAGAACTCAATAAAATGCCAAACAAAATCAGAGTGGATGCTTTGTCCTGGCATCAGGCTGTGCTAAATGGAGGCAATCATATGAAACTTTACTCCGTTTTGTGTGCGAAAATCTTTGCGAACGAAACTCAATTGGGAACTGCGAAAACCGAACGAAAACTGCGCCATATTAAGAAGCGAATACATCGACTCTTCAAGCGACTCGATAAGAGCTACAAACGCCTAAAACAAACTTTGGCTCAGCTCAGCAACATTCAGCTGCGAACCGAGCGCATGTTTCGGCGCGTCCGTCTCTGGAACGATGATGAACTAGTCCGTGAACATTGCATTACATGGGAGCTGACGACTTCCAAGCTGCTGGAATTCCTGGAATTTCTAACGCGGCGCTATGACTACGAATGGGAGATCAAGGAAATGGTCATACGTGAGTAGCAACACTCTTATACGGCACTCTTATACATCATTCTACTACAACTTCCAGTTGGGCTAGAAAAGGTGAGCTGCAACTATGATGCGCAAATACTGCTGCAAGCTTGGCTGGACAATAGCCATGCGGGTGGACCGGAATTCGAGTGCAAGCTAACCGACTTCTATCGGTCCATGGGCCAGCGTCAAACAACATCCCAGCATTGTGCCAAATGCGTCTGATCCATTTGTCAACACTGTAAAGATTTCAGTGCTGTGTAACAGCTGGCCGAGATGAAAGCTTTGCTCTAAATGGAATTTCACATGCAAAAAACGTATGTTCCTTTATCAATACTAGAAATACAAGCAATATTGTTTAAAATTTTCCCATTATTATTTAAATTGATGCTAAAAAATTTATCAATACTTCAACGCTTGCGTAAATACCGTTATATACCGCTTACCAACACTAAAAGAACTACATTATTGAAGGCATAGACAAAAGCATTGTCTTAAATTGAATTTCCCATTATTATTTCATGCCTTTCAGTGTTGCACAACAGAAAACAAAAGATTTGCATTTTAAATCGATTTTCGTTTTTCATTCATTTCATTTCATTTTTTTGTTTTTTTTTTTTTTGTTACTTTTTATTGGAAAAATGTGTGTTTCTGCTCTCTATCTGCACGCCAAAAACCGTTATTAATTATAAAGAACTTGCAAAAAATGATTTTTGGTTTTTGCTTTTTTGCACATTTAAAATTTGACTTGATTTTTTACTATTTTTTTGTTTTGGTTTTTCTTTCAATTTTCTTTTCCATATGACTCACGCGGTAGCAAAAACAAAACTTAATTTGTAATTTGACTACAACAACATTTTGTTTGTTTTCTTTTGTTTGCCCAATATATTTGCTTGTATATATAATTATTATAATTGTATATATAATATGCAATTCTGTAGCTAGATTTTCCACTTTCTTTTTTTTTGTTTTCTGACATACATTTCCTAATTATGTGTATATATATATATATGCATGGCGTTTTGTTTTAGAAACAAATTGCAATTGTTTTTCTTTACTTTCAATTTTTTTTTATTTTTGAATTTTTCTTTTTGGTTTTTAAATTTGCAATTGAAATTTGGCCTATGTACACACATGCATACTTACACTTAAATGCATGTGCGTGTGCATGTGTGTGTGTGTATTTGTGTGTTTGCCGTAAAACTAACCTCGAGGCTAACCTTAACAAATTTATAAATTAATAATTGCATACTTTTAGGCTAGGGGCTGGGCTAGTAAATGGTTTTCGCTCTCTCTGTCTCGTTCCTTCGCTTAATGCACTTATGTAATGTTTGTTTTTTTTTTTTATATATATATTCAAGCCTTAACTAACTTTACAAATTTGTCAGATTTTTTTGTTGTTTTTCATTTAATATTTTTTTCTTAGAAAATTGTTCAACTCGTAAATTGAGTTGATTTTTTTAAAAAATTCTGTTCCCACCATTTTTCGGTTTTAATTCATATATAATTTGTTTTTTTTTTTTATATATTTATTTATGAATGCTTGTTGTCAATTGTTGCTCTAAATATATATGTGTGTGTGTCCGTGTATTACAATTATTGCTATGTATATCGTGTATGTATATGTATTATGCATATGTGTTTGTCGTTAGCCTTCGTCTGACGAACTCACCACACCAGCGTCAGCGGGCCGTGGTGAACAAATGTGTTGAGTTGAGTTGAATGTGGCGAACTGAAACCCTTAGCTAGGAAATGTTTTTTTCTTCTGTTTTATGGAAATTCTTGGAAGCGTGTTTTGTTTGGTTTTTATTATTAATTTATAGATATGAATGTTGCATAAAGAAAAAGCGCTGCGGTATTTAAATACCAACAATTGACTTACTTTAAGTAATTTTCTTTGCAAAAACAAAAGAAATGAGCCAAAAAATAATTGCAAATAATTTTTGTTTTATTATACACAAAAAAAAAAATCGAATACTAAATGTGAAAAAAACCAAACTACTTAAAAGTTAAGCGTGTGTGTGTCTATGTGTGTGTGGTATATACTAGAAAACGTCTTTGTTAATGTAGATTTGTTTGTTGTTTCGCTTTGTTGTTGTTAAATTATGCTAATTAAAATACACAGGTAAAAATAATTTCATTGTTTAATAATTGTTTTTTTTTTTTTTCATTTAATGCAAACTTAAGCCTAGCGAAAATCTTTCTTTTAAGTGCAAAATCAATTTGTTGTATTTTTGTGTGTGTGTGTGTTTGTTGTAGAAAGCTTTTTTTGTTTATATAAACATATTTATGTTAATTTGTACACAATTTCTTTTTAAGTAATTCATTATTAAACAATTGGCTATGTGAGTGTCAGTGTGTGTGTGTCTGCAGGTATGTGTGTGTGTGCGATGTATAAAAACCAAAAGTTTTTCCTCTTTCTTTGTATAAAACAGTTCCTAACCTCAAAAAACTACTTATTGACTTAAAAACCCTTATACCATAAATTTCCCCCGTTCCCCCACTTAAACCCCTTTCACAAATTTCCCTTCTCTCTGCTAACCAGCAACTGCGCTTTGCGTCCAAATATATGTATGTGTGTGTATAGCTGTTGTATATGCATGCACAGTATACCAGTGTGAGTGTGTGTGTGTGTGTGTTTGCCTGCCTATGTTTATGTGTGTGTGTGTGAGTTTTCGCTTTAACATTAAATTGTTTTTGTTTTGTTTTCTTTATAATAATTTAAACTAATTCTCGCTTTGCACAAAAAATTTACACAATTTATTAATTTAATTTAGTTTTAATTAGGTATTTTCTCTTTTTGTTGTAAGCTACTTTTTTGTTGTATAATTATAATTTTTCGCTTTTGTTGTTATAATTATTGTTGTTGTTGTTGTTCTTAGTGCTTACGGCGAATTGGTTGTAAATATGTACAAATTTCTTTTTAACTTAAATTCTAAATATTGTGTTTTGTTTTTTTTTGTTGTTTGTTTTAAATCTTGCGTATTGTATATGATCTATGTATATAATATATATAAATATGCCCCTATGTGTGGTTTTTGTTGTTTTCTTTTACTTCATCTTCTACTTCATTTGTTGTTGTATATGTATAAATATTAAACACTAAAACGAACGCCAGCCTAATAAAAAACAATTCTTGCACTATACACAATTTTCAATTAATAAATAGTAATGCTGTTTTCGCTACTCTCTCTCTCTCTCTCTCTCTCTCTCTTCGTCTCCCTCTCTTTCTTACTCTCTCAAGACTTATCGCTTTCATTGCTCATCATCTAATCAATTTACTTTCTTGTCTTTGTTGCACCCCCTCTGGTTAGGCTGTAAGGCTGCTGCGGCGGCGGCTTTTATTACAAGGCTCTGTTTTACGCTAACTGTGCGTTGCTGTTACAGTTTACTGTTAACATTACTGTTACGTTTACATATGCTTTTGCTGTTACTGTTATATCGTTTTTTGGACTGTTAACTTGCAGGTTTTATTCCTTTTGTTTGGTTTTGTTTCTGTTGTGGATAGTTCGCTATGTTAATGGAAGTACAGCAAACGGAAGCAATCGACTGTTACTGTTACTGTTACGGTTTTTGTTACTGCTAGTGTTAATGGTCTGTTGTGTTAGATTGTGTGTTTTATGCTATGGCCGCCGTTAGATAATACAAATCCATTAGCGTTTGCACATTGATGGGCAGACAGGATAGCCGATCGTGCGTATTGGAATCGAGTGCCAGCCAGGACAATGCATTGTATCCTTCCAGCACAAAGCGTAGCACATCGGCTGTTAGTGTCGAGTCCAACGGATGATCATTGGCCGATTGATGAGCATTGGTCGAATTGAGTATATCGTCGGCTATCTGTATATTAGGCACATGCAAATGCAGCGCGGTCTTTAGGAAGACGGGACAAACATCCTCCAGATGCGGGCAGGCGGACCAGAACCAGGCGGGCATCCGACCCGTGGGCGCTGTCGAGACCATGTAACCCACCGAAATGGGCTGCTGATTGAGGGAACCCACCTGAAAGACCGATCAAAAGGTAATCAAAGATACAATTATGTATAGACGCAATCCACTCACCTCCTCGACCTCCTGCGGGGGCGTGCATTTGAAGTTGTTGCCCCCAGCGCTTTGCCAGCTGCGATTGTCCTCCATGCGTCCTGGACTGCCGTGATTTGAGACGCGATCCATGTGAGCTGCTGTGCAAGAGGAACATGCGTGAGACAAGCCACCAAAAGAGAATCGATCGATGTCAAACAATACTCACAGTCCCAGAAAAGATCGCCTATATCCGCATCGCTGAAGTCCTCGTTGCCCTCCTCCTCGCCAAAGATGAAGTCATCGTCCACCTGCGGCTCGTTCTGGAATTGGCGAGTGAAGGACTGCAAAAAATGGTCAGTATTGTTGAATCGATAAACAACAATCGATAAGATTACTTACCGCACAGACCGCACTGGTGGGAAAGACCAGAATGTGCGTACAGGTGACATCCTGCGGCGTCGACAACGGATTCTGCATCGAGATTTGCGAGAAACGCTCATCAGGCGTAAATTGATCGGGCATCACACGAAGCTTGGCATCTGGCTCGAGGGTAACCAGACAGGCACTTAGAATGGTAGGCGGATACATGAGTGTACATTGCTTGCACATATCCTTGAACTGTTTGGAGGCCTTCTGCAGTTGCTGCTTGCTGAGCAAATAGCTCCAGGACTTCAGCTCGCTGTGACCAATGCGGCCAATCCTTCCGATGACCAACCGCCACATTTGCGATGTCTGCGAGATGAGACCCATGACGAAATCCATAAGCTTACGCAGTGCTACATAACGCGCTGGCGCTTTTCTTCTCCTGGCACGGTTCGGCACATCAATGTTGATGCACACCTTCTCCAGCAGTTCGCCTCGCTCGTCTGTCGCAGTGGCGAGCAGCCAGGACTGATCCTCGCTTAGACAATAATTGCAATACATCACTGAGTAGCGCGTCTCATTCTGGCCATGCATGCTGCCCGCTGCACGTGAGAAGTCCGTCTTGTCGTTCCGCTCGTGCATGGGCGCCAGGACAAAGGGGGCGGTGTACATTTTGTAGGCGCGTCGATTCGGCACATCCTTGGTCTTGAGAAACGCCTCCATGTTGGCCGCCGTGCCGAAGCCTGTTAAACTCTTCACCGGCTGCGCATGCACCAGATGCCTTCGACACTGTGAGAAGATGTTGAGCGCCAAGCACTTGATCTCATCCGAGAAGCGACGACGGTTTCCACACGGTCCTAGCTCCATAATTGACTCCAGTGAGATGATCTGGATGTTCATCTGCGCACGCACCGAATCTGGCACCACCTTCAATAGCTCCGCATAGCAACGGAGCAGCGCAATCAATGCAAGTCGCTCCAGCTCGAAGCTGTCCGAGGCAAAGGTGAAGGGATTCACCACATACAGCACAATGGCTGAGGGATTGATGTCCTCCAAGGTTTCACCCATTCCCAGTGGATCGCCCAGCACCAGAGCCGGCTTGGAATCACCTCCAGCTGCGCCTCCTTTAACATCTGCCTTGCTGTCCTGCTCCTGACTGCTGCTGCTCTGAGTTGCTCCTGTTTGTTGCTGCTGTGGTTGCTGCTCCGTCCCCGGCTCCAGCTTGATGACCGGCTGCTCCGGATGCTCAGCCGCTGTTGACGCTTGAGCTACACCGGCTTTTGTCGAATGACTGCCACTCGCATCTGGCGGATTGAGCAGTGTCTTATCGCCAGGCACTCGGCTCAGATAAGGCGCCAGCTGGTACAGAAAGGCGATGGCATAGCGCCTAATCTGCTCCGCCAGCGGCGCATGGTCCAGTGTGCGCAGCCAGTCATCCAACGGAGTCAGCACATCTCTTTCCGTTACGCCTACCTGGAGGATGCCCTCCCAGCCACGAATGGGCGTGTGCCTACCCAGCTTACACATCTCATACGTGCTGCTCAGTTCACGGAAATAGGTGCGAGTGCTCGCAGCGACATGCTCATTGTCTGGACACACCACCACATAGACCACGTCCCTAGCATAGGAGTAGGGTTCCAGCAGAAACTTATCCCAATAGTGTATGGAATGCGGCGCCACAGATATCCAATCCTTCTCGTAGCCAACCACAACTGAAGGTATGGGCTGTGGCTCGCACTGTCCAGAAGCTCGACCGGCAAGGCGATGAAATTGCCGCCAGGTCAAAGGACCGCTAACTGTATTGTAGGAGCTAGCATCCTTGGAGCCAGCTGCACCACCTCTCGATTTGCAATGGAAGGCGCTTTGCAGCATGGGTTGAATGGCGTTCATCGTCCTGACAATCTCCTTGTTGCTTCGGGTGAAGCCCACTGGAAGATAGGGCCACTTGTGTACCGTTAGACGACTGCTGCCTAGGCTCAACAATTTCTGGCGCAGAGCCGGCGCAGCCTGGAAGGCCATAAGCTGCTGCGGCTGCTGCTGCTGCTGCTGTTGTTGTTGGTGTGGATGATGGGGCTGGTGTGGATGATGTGGATGGTGTTGTTGACCACCATGCGGGCCATGTCCATGCCCGAATTCGAGGAGATTCATGTCCAGACGGTGACTCTCGAATGCCAGACGCGCCTGCTCCAATGCCAAGCTAACGACATCGTGTGCATCCGTGAATTCCAGGACATTCGCAATGGTGGCCACCGAGGCGCCAAGGCGACGTTGTCTCGACATCCTGCGACGATGCGTTTGCAGTGCTCGATGCACCGAACTGCTGGAGCTTTGTATAATGGAGCATTGATCCAGCAGAAGATCGAATATAGCATGCGTCAGCTGTTCCAGCTGCTGTTGAGCCGTACTCGTGAGCTTCTCCAGCTCCTTGCCACTGGAGGTATCCTTAATGTTGTTATTATTATTATTATTGTTGTTGGCGCCCTTGCGGCACAGAGATTGGATGAGCGTGAGCAGGGTGGGTTGTTTGTTTCTCGCCGGATCGTCCACGATGCCCGTGATTTCCAGCTCATCCTCGTAGAAGAGGCCGGCGCGATGCGACAATCGCCGGTTGACCACAGCGCTGAAGCCGCACGTACACTCCACGGGATCATCATCGACGTAGCCTGTTATGTGGGGATTGCTGCTGGGTGGTGTACAGGATGAGGAGCCACTGGAGCCACCATTGGGCCCATGGCCATGGCCATGCACGGAGCCAGCTCCGGACAAAGCAGCAGCCACCGGCGACGAGTCCAGCCCACCGCCAAATGCACTCAGCATGCGCATCCCACCAGCGCCTCCTCCTGCACCTGCATACTGATTATAAGGCGTAACAGCACGAGCTCCTCCTCCACCACCAACGACGCCGCTTGCAGCTCGATGCGCTGGAAAGGGATTGAAGCTGCTCCCAGGCAACGGCACGTAGACTCCAGAATCAGCGCCACGAATATTGCCAATCTTCTGTGTATCCGCATTGCAGACACAGACGCTGCTGCTATCGAAGTTGTGATCCCGGAAGACATTCAATGCCGTGTCGTAGAGCAGGATGTTGACCAGCACTGAGTTCACTTCTGGCAGCTCCTGCAGCAGACTCAATGCAGCGGCTGCTGCTGTTGCAGCTGCTCCTGTCTCCGATGCACTGCCGCCCGTATACTGCATCATGGCCAGCTTGGAATCCCCGGGCATTAGAGCAGCTCCGCCAGCTGCTCCTCCACTCATCGACCCGTAGACGTGATGAGGCGTGTGGGGATGTCCTGGCGGCTCCTGTGAGCCGTACGGCTTATTAAGGTACGACGAGGATGTGGACGTGGCCGGGCTAGCAGCAGCCAGCTCATATGGATACGGAGGAGGCGGATGTGTGGGCGTTTGTCGCATCGGATGGTGCTGTTGCTGCATAGGACTGCTGCGTGGAAAGGGTACTACACCTGGGCCGCCAGGTGAGGGAATGGGAGACATGCCGGCACGCTGCATTAGCTGCTGCATCGAGCTGCCAGGCGGAGCTTGCGGGCAATTGAGTTGATTCAGCAGCAATTGGCTGCCACCGCTACTCAACGGTTGTGAAACCGTTGACGGCGAAGGCATCGCAGCATTCATTGGAGTCCGAGGACCTGCCGAAAGCAAATCGTGCAACTGTTTGTGCTGCTGTTGCTGCTGATGTTGTTGTTGTTGCTGCTGCTGCTGCTGTTGCTGCTGTTGCTGCTGGTGCTGCTGCTGCATCTGCTGATGCTGCTGTATGCGCTGCTGCAGCTGCTGATGTTTCTGATGCTGCTGCTGTTGCTGCTGTGCAGCCGCCGCCTTCGCCAACGTAGCTGCACGCGACTTTTGACTGTGACTCCAGGTGGGACTGTAGAAGCAATTGGCGGGCAGCTGCAGCGGCGGTTGCGTCTGGCTGGGCAAATTGGTCAGCGGTGCGTAGCGAGAGGAGCCAACAAATTTCTCCTGCTGCGGCGGTCTATATACATAGCTCCAATCATCGATGGGCTCCTCAACGGGACTGCCCAGCTCTACGCTATATTCCTGCTTGACCATCTTCAGCATGACACCGAGCCCAACCGACGAGGCTGTCGCTGCAACTGTTGCTGTTGCTGTCGTTATTGTTGCCGTTGGCACCACCAGCACGCTGGTTGTTGTTGTTGTCGATGTGTCCACACTCAGATCGGTCATGACGACGTCCGTTTGAAAGGGACTCGAGTTGGGGTGCTGTTGCTCAAGCGAAGGCGGCGTGGGAAACATTTTGGTTAGGTCTTCAGCTTGTATGCTGCCCGCGCCACTGCTGGCAACGACAGCAGCAACCACAGCGCTGGTCACGGCGGTGCTACGCTTTAGCTCGTCAATTGTATTGGTGACAGCGCTGCAGCCACCATTCGAGGGATTATTGGAGTCGGGTGGCGTATGAATCTGCACGCTGCTGCACTCATCATTTGAGCTCGTCTCGAACAACTGCTCCAGATCGTTGAGTGAGGGATTAAGACCTTCTGCTGTGAATAGATTGCCACCGCCGCTGCCCGCAGTGCTGGTGGATTTGGTTTCCTTGCAGGGTGAATGCAGACCTGGCTCCGTCTTAATGTCCAGGCAGGGGAAGAAACTGCTCCCACTGCCTGCTGCTGAGGGAGGTTCACTCTTGACCAGTGCATTATCCGCTTCATCTGTACTGGCTGCATTGCCAAAGCCTGCATTAGTGGCTATGCCAACCAGTCCACCACCTGCTCCTCCTGCACCTGCCCCACTCTCGCCTGCAGCTCCGAGTGTGGCTACAGCGCCCCCTTCGATAGTAAGCAGCGAGCCGTAGACAGAGCCCGGTGAGGGCATTAGTGGCTTAAAGTGGGTATGTCCTTCGTACAGATTCTTGGCATAGCGAGGACGTCGCAGTTTGACCGATTCAGTCAGCTTGGGTCGCTTGACGGGCAGATTATCCCTGATTAACAAATAAACCACAAATTAGTAGTGCTTTAGGTAAAGTAAAGTGTGTCACTTACCAGGACTCTTGGTAGCTAAAATCGTAAACCTCCGTCAACCACTCCTCATCGTAAACGCTGTCTCCATCTTTAAGCGTCAGCTGTGGCGGTTTATATAGATTGAAGAGATTGGTGACAGCTTCCATGGCGCTGGTTGCCATGGACTGCTGCTGTTGTTGCTGTTGCTGTTGTTGTGGCAGCTGCTGACTACCGCGTACTGTGCCTGGCTCCTGTTTAATCGTTGGCTGTTGCATCTCCAGCTTCTTTACACTAATCGTGCCGCATTGCGTGCCGGCACCTAGTGGAGCAGGTGTTGCTGCTCCTACGCTTGCCCCCGCTCCTGTTGCTGCTCCTGTTCCTCCTGCTGTAGGCGTCGCTGGCTGCTGCTGGGGCACACTGCCAGGCGCATTTAGAGCAGCAGCTGCACCGCCCTGTGCACCATGATCCGCGTAAGTGGGAGGCTCCACACTAGGTGTTTGATGTACATAAGGCGAGGCAGTTATGCTCTTACTATCATGCTGATCCGTTGGCGTTGGCGCTGGCGTATTCTTGTCTAGCAGATGATCGATGGGCGTTGGTGGTTGTTGCAGATTCGATACTGATGTAGGCGCATGTGGACTCATATTGAGCAACTGCAGCGATGGAAGAAAGGAGTGAATTAGAAATGCAAAAAGTTTGTAATTTAAATTGTGAATCGTTCGTCACTTGGACTCACTTGCTCAGCGGCGGGTGGCACCGAAGTAGGTTGCGAGTGCGCCGAATTAGAAAGCGGATGTGGGGATGGAGCTGGCGTTGCGGGTGAGCCCACCGAGGAGGAAGCAATCGGTGGCTGGGATGATGAATCGCCCAGCGAATTGCGTGAATATGTTGAAGCGCTGCCCGCTCCGGCTCCTCCATGGCAGGGCGTGGCACTGCTGCCGCCTACGGAAGCGTTGCTGAGATGTCTAATAGTTAATTAAAAGAGAGAGGAATAACAATTAGAATAAAATATTTTTTAAAATTAAGTTTATATTTTTGTAAGTTAACATTCTATAATTAATTTAAATTTGTTGCTAATGCCAGGCGCAAAATGCTTGTTCCGTTATATACAATACATAAAATAGATACAAATAAATAAAGAAATCAAAAGGACTACGAATAATGTAATGCACACTAAATCTTAGTTCGATATTAATCGATAACGTGTTTTGATAATGGTAAGCAAACAAAATATAAATAAACACCACATCCAAGAGAGAGAAAAAGATAGCGAGAGCGAGCGCAGTTCCAACCAAAACAACATGTAAAAAAAGACCACTGCAGCTGCTACTTATTTACATACACATATGTTATTTACAGTCATATATACGTGTAGATAATAGTGTCTGTTTGTATGTGTGCGTGTAATAATTACAACGACTTAACAGGCAGCTGCAATCGATAGATCGCACATGCAAAAAAGAGAGAGTAACGATAGCGATTGGCAGTGCCGACTATTGGTATTATCACTGCCAACTCGAATGGCAAATGTAACTGTAACTTTGTTAACGGTGTATGTATGTATATATTTGGGTGTGTGTGTATTTGTATATTACTTTGCCGCTGTTGGTTTTTCTATCCCATTTACCACCAAGTTTAGCAAATAAAAAATGTCCAATTGTTATTTGTTAAATGGTGAATATGCTAACAAAGGTCAAAAATGTACGAACTTAAATGTGTGTGTGTGTGGTGTGTGTATGTGTTTGACTTTTAAGTAGGTTTAGCATAAAAGTAAATAAGAACTAAAAACTGAAAACTTAAACCCAACAACCAACAAAATAAAAAACATAATGTTACAAAGTTAACAGAGCGTGTTGCAGTTGTATTGCTGATGATGAAATAAGAGCGAGAGAGCGCATGAAAATTAACAGAATATAAACAACTTAAGAGAGCATCTGTGAGTGTGCCTGCAAGTGTGTGAAATAAAATATATACAGAGCGTATTAACAACAGTTTAAATCAACCAAGGAAAATTAAGAGATTTGGCAATACACACACACGCACGCACGCGCACACACACACATCTGAACAGCGACACAAACCTTTGTTTTGGTATATTGGTGTCTGTTGTTGTTGTAGAGGAAGTAGTGTTGTTGTTGTTGTAGTTAGGTTTAAGCGCTGTCTGAGTATTAAGTAGAGAACGCTGATGAAACGGCACAATTTGACGCTTGGGGCCAACAGCAGCGTAGGAGGAGTAGTGGGTGGAGGAGTAGGAGGAACTGCAATTGCTGTTCAAGTAACCAACACTGGAACTGGAACTGGAACTGGAATGATGAGCTGCCCGTTGATGATGCTGATGATGTTGTTGTTGTTGTTGGAGTAGCTGAAACGTTGACTTGCTGCTGCTGCTGCTGGCGACACCGATCGCAGCACGCAGCGCTGGCGAGCCAATGCTGCTGCTGCTGCTGCTGCCGCTACTGCTGCTATGGTGGCGTTTGCCGCTGCCAACGCCGACAGTGCTGCTGCTGCCGCTGCTGCATTGTGCGCTGAAATTTGGTGGGTTTTTGTGTTAAACTTTAAACTCAACTTTCGCGAGCTTAACGCTTTTTTGGTGACTTTCAGTACGTTTTTTGCACCTTTCTATTAGATTTCTCTAACATATTTTTAGCTGTAAGCGTATTAATATCGACAACACATGCAACGTTAATCGATAAACACACACACACACAAACTTTTCAAAAAAAAAAACTATTATAGATTTATATATATATCAGTGGTGGGTTTCTGCGTTCTTCTAAGCATGCCTTTAAAGCGTTTTCTCTGCGTTACATTAAAATATGTATATTTATATATATGGATTAACAAATTCCACACAAATCTCGCTACTAACAAATTCACACATACTCCGAAAACGTAAACGAACAAAAAAACAATGCAAAACGCTCCACGCAGTGTGCAGATGGAGAGAGCGAACAAGACGAGAGCGCAAAAGAGCTTAAATAGTACAAGTGGAACAGGAAGTAACAGTAACAGTAACAGTTCAAGAGAGAGCGTAACAAATGGTGAGTTAGTTTGAGAAAGTGAGCGAGTCCAACTTACTTGGTGCATATGCAGGGCGCCTTCTGCATAGGATCCACAAAGTTCCACAACTTCTGGCGCTGCTTTTGCTGTTGTTGTTGGATTTGCTGCTGCACCAGCTGCTTGGAATCCGTTTGCTTGGTCTCTTCCTCGTCTGCTGATGCGGCGGCCGCTGCTGCTGCATCCACATGCAGCCTGTTCATTATGCAATCCTGCCAGGCACGTTCCGGCATTTCAATGGCCGCCGTTGCGGGTATATGAGTATTATTCGTATTAAAGGTAAAGCCCGATGTGGGTCTCTGATCGTAATAGGGTTGAAACGTTAAACGTTCCAATGCGCTGACCGCTTGCGTTGCTGCTTTACGCGACTCCTTAGCGGCTGCTAACGAGGCTGCTGACGCCGCTGCTGGCAATGTTGCTGCTGATGCTGCCTGCATCGCTGCCGCTGCCTGCGTCTGTTGTTCGCTGCTTGCGCAATTTGCTTTGCCGTGCAGCTCAGCGAATTCCATTTGTTCCATGTCATCCAGATCCGTGACTAGTACGTAATTTGTGGGATGGTACATCTTATGTCCACCTGGCAAAGGATTTCAAATTATAAGTATTCCAATTATATAAACGTATATATGAATCTCACTCACCCGATACCACCTCCACAACGGGCGGCACATCCGTGTTGTCCTTATTGCACAGCGGAAAGAACGAGGCCCAATCCTCGAGTATCTTTTCGGCCATTGGATCGCTCGCCTTGTAGCTATTCCCCGTGAGTATTGCCGCAATGCCAAAGGGCGCGAGCATTACTTTGCGCGCCTGCGTTGGCGTCGCTGTCGACGTCGCTGCTGATTTTTCGCCATTTCCATTTCCATTTGCCGCTTCCAGCAGTGGTGAATTTTCCGGCAGCTGAGCTGTTGCATTTGCATCCTGGCCACGAGCTCCAGCTACACCGCCGCCACTGGCAGCAGCAAAGGCAGCCGCTGCCTCAGCCAAATGCTCCTTGGTCAATGGACGCACCGCAGGATGTTCGCGTAGATCGATTGAAGCGCAGACCGTATCGCCATGCACGAAGAACGTGAAGGAAAATGACAAATGCTGCGAGCTACAAGAGAGAGAAAAAGAGCGGAAGTGAAATTCTCTGTAAGTCCTCTCTTAACATATATATTGAACATGGAATGTGGCTGAAAGAACGATGCGACTGCATAGGCTTCAATACAATCGCACAGAGTTCCAGTCTGGAAGGATTTTAGTCTGGGATGAATGCCAGCAGTTCCAATCGAATTCACAGCGATTGGCACCGTTTCTTTGAAGCATTTCATCCCTTTTGATTGGCCTTTCAATATTGATAGTTGGAGCACTCACCTACGCCCAAAGAGGCGATCGCTGGAAGTGCAGGGCTGCACAAACCATTTGCCAAACCGCACAATGTCCTTAGTGAGCACGAATCTAACGAAAGACAAGGATATTAATTGTCAAAATATGTGAAAAATCTTTCATATCGATCCACTCACCTTTCCATGAGATTGTGGAGAGCCTTGAAAAGCAGCGAGCGGCACTCGTACGTCAGCTCACCCTTCCAGGTGCCATTCCAGAGCGATTGATTGGCTAGAAATTAAATAAATAAGGAATAGCAATGAAATAAGTGCAAACATTTACTTTATTTTTGAGTATTATTAATCCTAAAATTTTACTTTTAGTCGTTTCTCAATACTGTAAAATACATCCTATTCTAAATTAATAATATAGCTACTTCCTGCAAGCTTCATTTCTATAAGACAAACACAGAAAACGTTCAAACAAGTTTATTTACATATTACGTTCCACTTTCTGATTTTGTGTGTGGAACGCATTCAAAAGGCGGAAAATTACCGCGCGCGTAGCTTTGCTATTTACAAAGCCGAAACCCTATACAAACATTTACATACACATATGTTTAAACGTATATATATATAAATATGTGCGTGTTAGTGCGTGTGTGACAATACAGCGCAAAACAATTTAAGCACCAAACTTTTGAGCGTCGCGCTTTGAGCATTTGTTGTAAAAGCCATTTTAATTTGTTATTGTTTTGCGACGCGCGCGCAGCCCAACAACAAAAAAAAAAAAAAAACTTTACAAACAAATAGAGCGACGGCGGTTTAAAGAGAGCGAGAGCGAGAGCGAGAGAGAAATAGAGAACAAGTGGAATTCACAGTGCACAGCGACAAGAAACTACGAGAATACGTATGTAAATGCATAGGAAAGAAAACATGAAAAACATGAAGCAACAAAACGGTCCCCAGCAGGCCCAAAAGGCAGGCAAATCAAAAGCGGAAGCGCAAACAAAATGCCACTTAAAACAAAAAATGAAAATCAAACGGTGTGGAGAGTCGACGAGTCGCCTATTTACAATGCGGCGACGAACAAGCAAGAGTGGGGGAATAGCCAAGAATATTTTTTTGGAAAATTCCAAGCATATCCCACACACACTGACATTCGCGCTGACACCTACACACGTAGCAGCAACGGCTGTCGACTGCGGCGTCAACGTTATTTACAGAGCGCAGCATCTACGCCGGTCCACCCTCTGCACTAAACAATAATAAAAAAGACTTCTCACACACACAAAAGAAGAATAAAAAAAAATAACCAAAAGAGGCCAGCCAGAAGCGCAGACAAGGCAGCACCAACAAATGTTGCAAAGATAATTACGTAAAGGTAAACAACATTATAAATAACAAAACACAAGCTAAAGAGAAGAGCGAGCAGCGCGACCCACTCACACTCAAAATTCAAAGAGTGGCAAGGCAGGCCGGCGAGTGAGCGTGAGCGCAAGTGTGAGAGTGAGTGTAAAATGTGTACAAAAGCAGCGAGTACTGACGTCGGCAGCAAAAACAATGCAGCGGACTGAGGCAGCGGCGTAGGCTGGGCTTTGGAAATTTATGCTGTTGGTAGTTTTGTTGTTGTTGTTGCTACAGCTATTACAAGCCTGCTTGTGGATTTCATTGTCTGCATGTGTGAGTATGTGTGTACCTTCTTTCAATGAGATCAGCGTAAAAATTTTACCAGAGGGCAATGTACGATTATGTATTAGTGTGTGTGTTAGTGTGCATGTATGTACATGCTAGTTTAACCCAGCCGGGGTCAAACTGAAGCACAGACACAGCAGAACTTAAAAGCTCAAACTTATAGAGCGCAAGCAAAAAAGAAAGGGAGAGATACGAAAAACTCAAATTGGTAACAACAAAAATGGTGCAGCTTCCCAATCTCTAACCAAATTATCCAATTGAAGCGAAAACACAGCTCAACAAACAAAATACAAAACATAAAACAAAATTCCCCAAAACCTACAAATCTACAATACAAAATTAAAACTGCCGACGCGCTGTTCGTTGGACATCGTCTGCAGGCAACGACGAAACTCATTCCCGGTCATAACAGGAATATGACGACGGCAGCTCAATGCAAATTCCAAATACACACAGGCAGAGACAGACATACTATGTATCTGTGTATTTTTTTGTAGCACGTGTGGTTTGTGCACATGTTGCTGCCGACAGCGACTCACGCAGCGCGACAGAGATAGCTATGAAGAGCGCAGAAGAGCGGAAAGAGAGTGGGTGAGAGGAGTCCGAAACAGTAGTCTTATGCCTGTATCTGTGAACATGTACTAAATATGCGCAAACATTCGCTGTTGCTGCCTGCTCGTAAGTGAATGAGTGAGTGAGTGAGTGAGTAGCGAACGAGTGTGTTGTTTGGGCAAAAGTGCCGCTAGTTTTAAAGGCATGCACTCGTTCACTCTCCCACACATACAGACACATACTCAAAGCAGAAGAGTCTTTCGCAGTGATGTTTGTGCTTGAAACGCTATTTTAGGTTAAAAATTTGCTACCACAGCAAAAGCGAATGAAAATGACGTGCAAACGGGCCAACAATGACAAGCGTGCGAATCAGCATGTGTGCCTGATTGTGTTTGTGTGGGTAATTACAGTGCCTGATACAGTTCTACAAGCGTACGCCAATTTCACAATAATAAAACTGGGTAATTTTTTGAGAGCTTGTTAGAAAGAAGATTGCGTGTGAGGCGTGCAACAAGCTGAATCCGGGGAGGGACGGCGCGTTGTATGGGCATCGCAAATATTTGATTTGTAATTGTTGTTGTTTGGGTGGTTGTATTTTTTTTTAAATCAAGGTCAATAATCTATATGAGTGAGCACACACATGGAAAATTGGTTAAGTACAACAACTAGCAGAAACAGCAAATAAACGAAGAGAATGCAAAATTTTGCACCACCAGTAGCAGCAGCAACAGCAACAATAACAACAAAGCGCATTGTAATTAAGCTTAAAAACCAGTTTAAAAACGCGCACAAAAGAGAGCCAATGACAAGAGCGCACAATCACTCACACACATCACACTTACATATATACAGGCATTACACATGCATGAACGCTGTGAGCTCATAATTATTAGCCCCAATTGTGGAACGCGCTCACACGAATATCGCAAGCATGAGAGAGAAATAAACACATGCACATACACACAAACACGCGCGTACACACACATGTACGCACACACGTAGAATGTCAAAGCAGCAACAAACTGACAGCTGTTTAGAGTAATATGAGCAACTACAAAAACAACAGCAGTAAATAGCAATGACAACAAGTAGCGACATACTTATCGATATTATCAAATCATGTTTATCGATTTACAATCCAAAAGTTAAGGCATTTTCCTTACATTGCCAGTTCCAAGTACGTTACTTTTTTAGAAAAAAAATCATCATAAACAAATTTTACAAACGAAAAGAAGCTCTCTCAGCAAGAGTTGACCAGCGACGCACTTAATATAGAAGTGTGCTGTTCGCATGTGTGTACAATGTACAATGACGTCTATTTTATGCGGCCCGAAAGCAACAAAAGTTGTGGCAAGTTGTACAACAGCAAGCAAAACGAATACAACATCAGCGCTGCGTTGCCACTTTTCACTGGGCAGCAATAGCAGGCACGTACATACGACGGACGACGCGTCTCAGTCTCGTCTCTCTTCATTCATACCCACTCACTTACACACACACAAACAAGTGCATTCACACTCGAAGCTTTTTGTTTGTTGTTTGCGGCAAAGTAAAAGGCTATAAAAAGAAAAGAGAATTCGCACACAGCTCACACTCACAAACGTCGAGGCAATGTAATGTCAATGCAATTAGTCAGTGTCCTTGTCATTAAAAAAAAAAAACAACTCTCAACTCAGCGTCGGGGTCAACAACAATTTCGCCACATATTTTCGAACGCCGGCGTCACTGCGGCAACTGTGAGATATCAACAACTAACTGTAAAAGTCAAGTGACCGACAACATGACGTCGAACATTCAAAAGAGGGGTGCTGTTAACTAAGTTACTATTACGATTACGTTTAACTTTGACGTATGCTTTGACAATGGAATTTGCCACTAAAGCGAGAAAGGCAACAAGTTTAAAGAGATAGCCTGATAATTTGTGGTTCCAGATAGCGATTAGGGTGTCTGTGTCTATGTGTAAAGCAATAGGCAAAATTAAATAAATATAGTAGCCGTACACCGCAAAAACTACTGATAAGAGTCGAAACAACCACAACAATAACAGCAGCGCAGCAGCAATCCGAGGCCGTTAATGTTTTTGACGAAGGAACCAACCCCCGAATTGTAGCTGCAGAGCTGCCAAGGCGGCTATAGCAAATACCAAGAGAGCAAAAACGAGAGAGGTAGATGCAAAGAGCGTGAATACGAGAGAGCTTAATAGAGCGTCAGCAAGTGGGAGAGTAGGAGAGTGTGCGAGCGTCCACCACACCACAGAGAGCGAGTACAACGAAACAAAAACATTGCAAATGACACAGGTGACGTTCAACGCGTGGGCTGACCGCACAGCACTGTCGTCGAAGAAAGGGAGACGTAGAGAGGAAGGAAAATACGACGTTGTTCTGCTGCTGCTGACAGACGAACAGCGCGCCATGTGAATGATGGAGAAACAACAGCTACAAAGCACGAACACATTTACATTTGATTTGACATACGAGCGTGAGTGCGCGCATGCATGTATGTATGTGTGTCAGTGTGTGAGTGTGAGTATTGTTTTGGTTTTCTCATGGGTACAACAAATTTTTTGCTGTGCTGCACGCGCTGTGGCCTTGAAGTTTTATTAAATTTTATAAAAAGCTCATAATGTAACGGACGTTCTCAACATATTGTTCTGCATCATTTATGTGTGTTGTCACACACATACACACACACATGTAAATTTACATGTAACTGTTATGCCTGACTGATTAATGATCAAAGCAATCAGAAACCGTTAGAGAATAAATGGTTAATTTTACTACTTCTGTAATTTGCCACAGCAAAGAAGTGTTCGAAATGTATCGAAGGCTTGCGAAATTCCATTTTCTGGAAATTGAATCTAAAGACCTAATTTCATACATCTATGCAATCTATTCTACTATCTCTCATATATTTGAAATCTTATCTATTATTTAGATAGATTTGACTTACCCGCTATTTTAAGCAGATCCGCATCGACAAGCTCTGATAGGTCCGGCTCCTCGCCATACCAGAAAATCCACAGTTCCTTGGCAGCGGCCAGCGACAGGGGCGGGTGGACAGTGGTCGATGTGGTAATCTCAAAGTTTAAGGCATTCGGATCGGTGTTGTCCTGCTTGGTGGATTGAACGCGCCGCCACACGCACAACATATCCGCCTGCATGCATCGTGAATAGGAGCGCAGAATTGGATCGTCCAAAGGATCGCTCGAGGCATTCGGACGTTCGCCATTAACGAACTTTCGCCATTTTATTCCACACAAATCAGTCTATGAGAGAGAAAGAGAGGGAAAAAGTGTTGTTACGTTTTATTATCATTATTATCATCGATTGCTTCATTAGAATAAATTATATGTATCGAGCGAGATAAGCTATATACAGATAAAAATAAAGATACAAAAGTATTTCAATATCAAAATACCCATATATTTGTTATGTCACAATCGAAAGGTTGGTCAAGTGTTTGCATTGTTCAAGTATCTGCCTCTATCTGCAACTGCTACAGTAACTATTCGATAAGCTTTTCTAGTTTTGGTCAGAGTAGAAACAACTGTTTTCACTTTTGTTTATATTACGACAGCTGCCTTTCAATAGTTATCCAGAAACCTCAGTTCTATTGAAAAGCTTATCTCCAATAATTTATCTCAAAAAATACAACAGAGAAAAGTTGGTTTCAATGTGCTATAATTCAAAGTTAATATATAATGCAAAATCAGCAACCTGGAGTGGACAACGCCTTACTATTAACTAACTATTTAGAAAGCTTTGTTAAGCGTTAAAAGTCATAAATTATATGTTTAATTTTACAAATATATTTAATTATATATATATATATATATATATATATATTTAATGTATGATAACAATTTTTTATGTTTATGTTTACTCTATTTCGCTTTCAAATATTTTGCAATTTAAGTCAGTTGTATTCTTCTTCTGCTCAACATTTTTGTACGCTGTATCGCATACTTACTGTATTTAAGCGTATGCATTTCTACTAAGCCAACTCCCACGTTTTGTTTACAAACCCCACACAAACACACATAAAATAATTTCCAATAGTCGCGCCACAGCAAAATACTGTGAAAACAACAACTGTGTGTGTGGCAGTGTTGAAAAATGCCGCACACACACACATACACACAGGCAGACATAACATTCCATTGCTGCTGCACTTGTAACAGAAAAGAAAAAAACGAAAGGCTTAAAGCAAAGCGCAACAAAACAAGAGAGAGGAGCTCAAAGCAGAAGACGCTGAATAAAAGAAAACCTAAACGATAAAAACAACAAAACTGGGAGAGAAAAACTACGAATGAAAGAAAAAAAACTGGCTGGGGTCGTGTCTTTGGCTCGTCATTGGCGGCTTCCGTTGCGAGTTTTGTAGCTTTGGAACAAGTTGTCGTAGTTGCTGCTGCTGCTGTAGCAGGCACAAATCAATGGCCAAACGCAGCGGCAGCGACAGCAACAGAAGAGAGCGTCAAGCATAACAGCACAAAAACCGAATTCGAAAGACTGCGCACACACACATTAACAACACGCAAAACATGGCCAAATAACTGCACCTCACACACACACACATGAACGCACGCAGACAGAGCAGCCGCAACAATAACAACGCAAGCAAAAGGTATTCCCCAAACCACGAATGGCTGCCGACAACGTCGACGAGCGTCGCCCCCAACATCAACAACAACAAATACGACGATAGCAACAGCAGCAGAAAAAAACCAACAACAACAGTTCGTTGCGTTCCACATTCTTCCCTTTTGATTTTCGTATTTCGTATTTCGTTTTGAGCATCGCAATTTGTGTTTTCATTTTTCGCTCTCGTTTTTACGCCACTCGCTACAATAATATTGCATTTTTTTTTGTAATATTATTGACTTTTAGTTTTGTCCAAGGCATTTATTTGTATTTATATCCTACATCTTAGATAGTCTGTTTCACATTTTTCAACATTGTCATTAGCAGAAGCGACCAACAACAAAAACAATAAATTAGGTTCAGGTCGCTGTCTTTTATCTGCCGACGTCAGCGGCGTCTCGGTGCACACACACACACAAAAGTATCTTTGCAATTTTCATGCTCAATCGGCAATACAAGCAAACATTTATTCGGTGTACTCTCTGCACTGCGCTGGCGGCTACGCTACTTGCGCTCGTTTTTCAACGCCTGTGGGCCATATATTTCACTGGGCCTCTCTCACACTCACACTTATGCATGCACGCACGCACGCACGCTCTATACTATATATAAATATATATATATAAAAGTGTGTGTATGTATGTCTGTGTTATCATTCTGACACGCTTTGCTAGTGTTTGTTCACGCGCGCGTGCCTCCCAAGTTCAATCTGACTTGTTCACTTTTTTCTGCTCTCTCTTTAAATGGGTCTGTTGCCTAGCAGACTCACACTCTCGCTGGCGCTCTCGTTAGACTTTTTACTCGCTCAGAGAAAGTTTTGCGCGTTTGTTATTGTTTCGTTATTTCGTACAGCGTTCGTTGGCGCGGTCGGCTCTATGTCGTACTGTTAGCTGCTTCTTACGGCGCCGTAGGTTGACGGCAAGCGTATGCAGCACGTTGACTTGTCTACACCAACGCCAGCGTCGACGTCAACTTTGCCGTTAACATCGCGCTCAAGCGTCCATTTGAGCTTTTCTTTACCATTTTGTTGTATACCTTTTACTGTTTCTGTGTCTTGTTGTTGTTGGCTTGTCTGTGAGCGAGATTCATTAAAGAAATATGCCACTGGCTGCGCGCCGTTTATGTGAAAAAGAAACCGCGCGACCCGGCGGCCAACTAGACGCCGAAGAACCTGTTATGGCCGGCCAATGTTGTCGCATGTAGTACATAGGCACACTCACATACATTTTGATTGTTGCTGCCTTTTCATTTCTTTTCTTTGACTTGTTTTGTATCTATGCATAGTTCCGCTTTGTGAGTGATTTTTTTAGGTGAAAGAAAATAACGTTATAGAGGAGAGAATAGAGAGAGGGAAAGAAATAGAGAGAGAGCTAGAACAGTCAATGATACTTAATCAGTGGCCATTGGCACTGATTATCGATAAACAGCTGTCGATCGCTGCGCGCGTGGGCGCCCAAGAGCCAACTTGAAACGCCCTGTGCTGCATTTGTCACTGACCTAGATCTAACGGAAATGGCAAAATGGAAGCAGATTGTACGACAGAGATGGAACACCTTAGTTTTTTACACATGCACACACTTACCAAGGCATAAAAGTTTGTATGGCAATCCTCCAAACTTGCGCCGTTTGTCTGATGATTTTGATGCGTCATAGTTCTTGGCTTATTATATTTGCACAACAGCAGCACCTCATTTTCTCAAGATGTAGATTTATTATGTACACACACATATATATTAATTAATATATGTTTAGTATTTTGTTGTTGTTGCACATTTGTTTTGATTGGATATTTGTTGATTTGAATTTTTTACTTTTTCCTGTTGTATTGATTCTTCTTATATGACAATAGATACAGTGAGAGAGCGGGAGAACGAGAGAGACACACACAGGCACAGACACGTACACAGAGACACAAATTGCGTTGCTTTTGAGTGAACTTTTTGTATTTGTATTTTATTTCTGCTGTTGATTTGCAGCTGTTGCAGTTTGCAGCTACTTTGAATTTTTGGCGTTTAATAGCAGAACGAAAATTGATTATGCACGTATTTTTATAATTTTAATAATTCTTTTTATGTATTTTCTATCTATTTTGAATGCACTTGGCACACACACACATACAGCGGCACTTTTTCATTTCGATGTTTTGTTTGTGTGTGTGTATTATTATTATTATTATAATTTACGTCGCTGCACTGTAAGAAAGAAATGAAGATTATTGTCATTTCTATTATTATTATTGTGGTTGTATATTTTGTTTTATACGCGCGCTTCCAAACCCGAAACACGTTCAGTTAAATCAATTTCGAAATCAGCAACAACATCGCAGTCAAGTTTACTGTAAGGCGAGAGAGAGACTTAGCTTTCGGCGGCGAATTGCACTCACAAAACACACATACATGCACTAACATCTGCTCACACTACATTCGCATGTACGCTGGCACACGACAATGAAATACAATTTGGTATTTTTAACGTTTTAGTCTTATTGTTTTTTATTGAGACTGCTTCTGCTGCTGCTTCTACTTATTTGTTGCTCTCTCACACATACTCGCGTACATTTGCGGCAATTACAAGGGTGGACGGCCGCAGCAGCACACGTCCATCTACTAATGCTCCAACTCTGCCGCTCTTTCACTTCATGGAGCTGAACCACTGTCCATTCATTTCACACTGAGCGCAAGGCGAGAGCGAGAGTAAGAGAGACTCGACACACACACTCGCATAAACCAAATTGACTTTTTCAAGGCGCGCAGTCGACGTGACGAGAACGGCGACTGGGGTGCTTCTTAGTGTGTGTATGTGTCTGTGTCAGCGAAAGAGCAAACGAGTCACACTTATGCATGCATACATATAAACACCGACGCACGACGATGAAAGTCGTTGAGTTTTCGTTAATCGTTGATGTAGACAAAAAAAAGAAAAGAAAACGAAAAAACTAAAATAGGTAGTTTTTTTAGCTACAGTTTATACAAATTGAGTAAATATGTATGATATTTTTTTAAATATATTTAAAATGCGTCGTTTATAAAAGTTTGCACATAACAGTGTTTTGCTACTGTTGCGATGTTTGCAAATTGTGCATTTTGAAATACATTTTTCTGTATACATTTTTCGTATTTCGATTTTTCACAATATAAAGTTGTAAGTTATTTGCGGTTTGCGTGTTGCGACTCGCTCTCTCGCCCTCCTCGCTCTCTCTCTCTTTCACTCACAGTCTTTGTGTGTGGAACAGAGGTAAGAAGCAGCAGCAGATGAGTAATAGTAAATTGTAATGAGTTTGTGCTTAAAAAGAAACTCACACACACACGCACACACGTTTACACAGAGCATTGACTGCGATGGGAGACTCGATTCAATTTATTGCTAATCTTTTTTGTATCGAACTTGCACCTTGCACTGCCTTCTGCGCCGCATTAAATACATATTTATTTTAATTTATTACTCAATATACACATACGTAGCCGAACGTATATATTTATAAATATATGTATATAAGTGCGTTTTTCTCGCTTTTCGCACAATACCAAATGACGAGTCAGAAAATTTAAAACCGACTGCGAGACCGTTTCTGCTGCTGCTGCTGTTGGTGGCTGGCAACGACAACGACGACGCGACATCGCCACACACAATGGAAATTTTGCTCGTCTAGCTTTGCTTTTGGTTTTGAGTAGTTGCTAAAAGAGAGAGAGAGAGCAACAACTACGGTCCACAGCAGCGAGTAACGAGAAACGAGCAACAGCAGCAGCAGCCCACTCAAAAGCAGATTTGTGAGTTCTCTCTTTTAACGAATAGCGGCGTTTTGCTCATTTTGCAAGTGAGCGAGATCGAGAGCGAGGGAGAACAAGCCGCGCGTCCAAACAAGTTTGTTTTCTTGTGTATGCGTGTGCATGTTTATTATACGGACGCTCACTCTCTCTCTCTCTAGGTCTCACTGTCTCTTTTGTGCATCGCCCTCTGCTTTTGAATGCTGCCTGGTTAGGGATGCAACTTTTTTTTTAAACCGGAGAACAAACCAGATCGATTTGCTCAACTATGGCGCAGACAAAATGGCCAGTCGAACGTTTTGGCAAACGAACAATCATGCAAACACTGTTTTTGTTGTGGGAGCGAGTGTCAACGATCTATTGCACTGGGTTAAAAACATAAACCAAACAAAAATTTTAAAGACTCAGAATTCAAATCAGTAGATTCATGTTTTATGCCCTACACAACACTAAACACACACATACATCTGCATACACATGTAGAGTGCGAAACGTGATACATAGACAGCATTCCTCTCGCATTCACACACACACAGTCTGTGGCGAACGCACCTATGTGTGTATGTCATACACACACGCACACATATACACACGTATATACAAACGTAGAAGTGACGCGAGCAACCACTTTCGTAGGTTTTCTTTCGAATATGTGGTACACATCTTTTTTTAAATATAATTTTTGCTTAAATTTGCTAAGTGGTTGTTTTATGTTCTTGATTTTTGTATTTTCTAAGTAATAATTTGTTATTTTACATAGATGCCGCGACAAATTATATGTTCCTTTCGTTTGCATACATATGTATATAAATATGTGGCCTCACACACACGCATTGCATGGAACACACTCAACCACACACACACACGCAAAATGATCCCCTTTCCAGCGGCAATCATTTCAATTATAATTGCTATTGCGGAAATATTTAAAATGCAGTTATGTACATAACACACATTGTAGCTAATTATGCTGGATTGTTAAATGGCTGCACTGTTATTTATATGTATTAATTTTAATATGCTTCACTCTCATGGCCTTGTCTCTTTCTCGCACGACACACATACGCGCATATGTATGCGGATGTACATACGTATGTATGTATGTGTATATATTTTCGCATTTCTTTGGCTTTGACTCTTTTTATCATTACATTTCTTATACGCTGTGCCACTTTCTATTCACATTTTGTTTTATAAAACATGCACTTCTTAAGTTTAACCGGCACTATATACTCCGCCTGCGTATCTTTCACGTACACACTTGGCGGTTTTTGCAGTAATTTTAAATTTAATTAAAATTCACAAAGCAAAAATTTTTCCAGCAAACTGCCGTTTTCTTTGCGTTTCTACGTCCGAACTTCGCGACGGAGTGTTGGCAAGCGCCTCGGAATAAGCGTTGCATTTGGTTGAGCAATTCAGCTGTTCGCAATAGCCTGGTACGCAGCTCACATAAGCGGCTCGAATGAGCCAATTGTGGTCAGAAGCTGTAAAGTAAAGGTATGACAACGCATTTCATTAAAGAAGCGAATATATAAATTATATAGTGCGAAGCCAAGATAATGCTTATTAAAACATGAACAAATAAAGTTTATGTTTAATGACATTTGCTTGACAAACAAGCTGCCCTTGTATGACTATCGAAACCAGTATTAACTATAACTATCGATACGAACTATTGCAAAAAAAGGTATAATTGTATTTAAGAATTTGGTATTTTTAAGTTTACGATACTAAATTGTAATGTTTAATTAATCTTCTATAAAATATTTGGCTTTAGCATACAAATCTATTCTTGTATAAATATCGATATTAGCCAGTCCAAAAAATACCAAGTCGTGATAATGTTGATGAAGCCATACTATCGATATCAGCTATTGCAAAAATAAAATAAAAAATCGTTATCGATACACGTAGCTTTTGGTGCTTAGAAGTGGGCGATAATAAATTGCTTAATGTTTTTGTATATAAAATGGCAACGAAATTAAATGTAAACATACGAACGCTGTTGACAAACTGCGAGGATCTGGCCAAAAGCGAGGACAACTTTTGGCGCCTGCAAAAGTTTCTCAAATCATTAGACACGATGGTTGCTGAGCTGGCGGCTATGGAAGAGTGAGTGGACATATTTTTTTGGCTGAAAGAAAATATATAAAAATGAAAACTCAACCACTACTGCTACAGTCCGTCGAGCGCTGCACGCATACCCAGCTATTTGGAACGATTGGCAGCACTAAAAAAAACCACCGGCTATACGGCAAACAATAATTCCAAAGCATCCACAAGGAGCTCCGATACAGACATTGCGATGCAGGAAATACGACAGCTGCAAAATACAGCTAAGCACAACGAGTTGCGTACTGAGCTGCTGCAAGGTAGATAGCGCAGTAAAAGACGAAGTAAAATAATCAGCTCCCCTTTCTCTTGGCCTTACAGATGCGGATGCACTGCGTCGCAGAAGAGTCGTTGATGATTCGCCGGCGCCAGGCGAAGCAACTAGCAGCGGAAACAATATGAACATGAACGAAGCTGTCAAGTATTACAACAATGCTCAGGAAAAGATCACAGAGCATATGCTCTCGCTGACACGCAACCTGAAGGAGCAAACGGAAACGGCAAATAGAATTATCAAAAAGGATACAGAAATGGTCTCCCGTTCCGCGGGTATGGCAGACCGTAATATCAATACACTAGGCAAGGAGGCCGAGAAGCTCGAACAGCATTCACGCAAAGCCTACAAATGTTGGCTCTGGCTAATGTTTGTCTTTGTTATTGTCGTTTTTATAGGTAAGTTGATATTGCGATTCATTCACTCTCTTAACTCTTCACTCTTTTCAGCCATGGTGCTCTTTATGAAGATCATGAAGAAGAAGAAGGCGTAAACGAGATGCTGTCTACTACTCTTCACTTAAGTCGAGTTCGATTATCATAGTTCAACAGGTTATCATCCTAATAGCTAATGGTGTAAACAATATGGGGAAAAGCATTAAACGAAAGCGAGCGCAAGACGGCAAAAAATCTAGTTTGGTGTCTGTGAGGGTACATTAACTATGTTATGCAGCACTTGGAAGATATATATATATATATAATATATATGCAACATATATATATATACATCAGATGGAAAGCGTAACTGATTGAAAACTACTTTAAACTAAGTTACATCTGTTTTAAATAAAATAATATGATTAAAAGCTTATGTTCACTATGTAATGCAACAATTGCCAGAAGTTGTCTGTGTATATATATATAAAGCCTATGTATGCCTGATCAGATAGAGCGATCATCTGATCAGTTTTAGATAGCTATGCAAATGAATCTGACACGAGTCTGACAGGCAGATCGGAAGTGTTTAGTTGCGATATACTATTGCCATAATACGAGTCTTTAATCCAAGTCTAAACCTGTTTTGCCGGCTTTGCCTTTGCAAAGGGTATTTAAGCTTCGCATATAGCTGCTCATCTATCTGCTCTATGTGTATAAAAGTTTCATTAAAAAATCTCATTTCTTTGCTTTGCAAGCATATTTAAGTTCCTTCCTCTTCCCTTTATTCATATAGTTTTAAGCACAAGCATATATATATATATTGTATATATGTATCAGTATTAGTTTGTTTGAGAATCTGGAATCTTGATAGTCTACTCCACCGGAATGAGTTCCGTAATGCCATTTTTCGTGATCAGCTGCAGCAACGAACCGGTTTTCGGTCGGTCTTTGCACTGCGTCCACTTTTCAAAGAGTTCAGCTACCTCAGCAACAGGTGTCCAGCTGCTGAAATCCGCTTTAGGCATCCATTTGCGATTCATTGGCGTGTCCAAGGTAACAGGTAGAATGGAAAGAACAAGCGAATCGATGGGCAAGCCGGAATTTTCGCCACCCAGCGAGCGTGTCAGCTGATGCACTGCAGCCTTGGCCATGCCGTAGCCAATCATACCGGGCGTGCCCTCCAAGGCAGGCTTGGCACCTGTCAGCGCCAGTAAACCGCCTTCCTTCAAATGCTGCGCAGCCAATGTGGCTGAGATGCAGCTGCTCCAGACGCTTTGCCGCCACATCAGATCCGCATTCTTGGCCAAATCTAGAAAGGAATTTCATTGTCGATTCGATCGCGTCTTGGGTGAGTATTGTAGCGACTCACCTTTCTTGGCATTACCACCAGCCCAGCCACCAGCCACACAGATCACAGCATCCAGTTTTTGACCAGCCAGAGAGTTGCCCACCTGGCTTACCACAGAGGATTCCTGATCCTCCCAACTCGAATCGCGTGGCACGACAATGCTAATATCTGCCTTTTCATTTTCACTCAAATCAATGCTGCCAACCCACTGATGGCCGAGCAATAAAAACAATTGAAATTATTAAACAATTACAATTAAAACAACAATAAAAGTGAAAGGGAAACTTACGTAGTCTTTGGCTTTGAAATGCTCAACGCAGGCCGAGCCAAGGGCTCCCTTCCCTCCATAAATGAAAACGCGACCAGCGGACATAATACGTGCACCCAGTTTTACGGCTTGAACGCAACTGAACTCAAGTAAGAGCAAAGAATTCAACTTTAATGTAAAATTAAAAAAAAATCACAACTTGCTTCGCTTAAAAAATGACTCAAAATCGACTCGTGCGAAGTTTTGCTGACTAAACTGCTGTTCGGGGTTTTTGGACTGAAAACAAGTTTTCGTTATTGTTATTGTTATTTCTGTGTTAACTTGTTAATTGACAGCTTTTCTGCTTTAATTAGAATTTCAAAACAAGAATGTAAACTTTTTGCTGCGCGAAAAGCAACAAGTGCAAAAAATCAATATTGTGGTATTTTTTGGCGGTATTTTTAGTTAACAGAAATGTTAATTCCATGAACAGCATTCCGATTGGCAGAACCGTTCAGGCGACTGTCTAATTATTTAAACAAGCTCCTACAAAAATAGCGCAATAAACTAAAATGTATTATAATTATCAGAAAAGCCCCTGATTTTCGTATTACAGGCTAAAAATTTAAATTAACAGCTTAGACGTTAAGAAACCAGTAAGTGTGGTGGCATGTCGATTTATTATCTAATTTCTATGAATGTTGAGCCTCATCTATGTATTAACATTGCATGCAATAATTTTTGTTTTTTCAACCATGAATGTTAAAATTTCTTATAATGAATTCATTGCTGGTCTCTCAATATACGTTGGATTGTTTACATTTTTAAGATATATACTAAATGTCTGGCAGCACCATTGACCATTCACAGTGCATGATTACGATATGCCCAAATCGCCATTCACCACGGTCAATGTACACGTACACTCACACTCACACACGTACACGTACACACAATTTTGTCGTGATTTCTTTTATTTGTTTAAAAATAATAGTAAAAATACTGTTAAAGTGTATAGCTAAAATGTACAGCAATGTGTTGAGTGTTTTGCATACGTTTGCGCACAATTTGGCGCAATAGGAAGAGCGAATATTCGCCAACCAAACGCAAAAGACAACAAATTGTTCGCAAAGAGAGGGAGGAGAGAGAATTTTATGCAGCGAGCGAGAGTTATTTATTTCATAAGAAATTTGTTAATAAAACTGCCAAAATGGAGCGGCGCGTAAAGCTAAAGACTATTAATCCGCATATAACGTGTAAAATATGTGGTGGCTATTTCATAGATGCTACCACAGTGACCGAGTGTCTGCACACATGTGAGTTTTGCTTCTGCTTTCTGCTCTTTTTTTTGCGCTAATTGCCAGTTACAGTTTAAGTGGGGGGAGCATGAGCACGAGCACCTGCACCGGTTGCCGTTGGCGTTGTCGTGTGCTTTTACGCGCAGTCATGTCCAGCTAAAGCTTCCAGCGGGAAAGTGATACCGTTACTTATCAAGCATTTGCTCTTATATGCCCTGTTTTGTTATACGGAGAACGTTGCCGGCTGATCGCGTGGGTGATGAAATTTGTCTATGAAAAGCTGGCAACGCCAAAAACCTAATCCTACGCTATTTGATGTCACAAACGAAGAATAAACCTAAAATTGAGCAATATACAATTAATATAGTTAGCACTTAAGCACACAAATACACACAAATATATAAATGTATAATGAAATTTTGCATTTTACATATTTTAGTTTGCAAAAGCTGCCTGGTCAAACACTTGGAGGAGAAAAAGACATGCCCCACCTGCGACAACATTATACATCAATCACATCCGCTGCAGTACATCAGCTTCGATCGCACCATGCAGGACATTGTGTACAAATTGGTGCCAAAACTTCAAGAAGGTAAACAAAAAGGTTATTAAACTGATTGAACTTCTTATTAAACTGTATGAATTTGCAGATGAATCGCGGCGTGAACGAGATTTCTACAAGAGCCGAAATATGCCATGCCCCAAGGACATAACGCAAAATCACGACGATGACAACGAGAAGGTGATGGACGCGCATGCCGAATCCGATTTCCATCGTCTCGACGAACAGGTCAACGTGTGCCTCGAGTGTATTAGCAATAACTTTAAGAATCTGCAAAGACGCTTCATACGCTGCAGTTCGCAGGCGACGATAACGCATCTCAAAAAGCTCGTCGCTAAGAAGATACTCAATGGCATCGAAAAGTATCGGGAGGTGAGTTCATCGCTGAAATTATAATCACAATATAATACAATAGCGATAACTTCCCTAATACATTGTTCGATAACCTTTTTAGATCGATATACTGTGTAATGAGGAACTGTTGGGCAAGGATCACACGTTGAAATTTGTCTATGTGACACGTTGGCGCTTTCGAGATCCACCGTTACGGCTGCAATTTCGTCCGCGTGTCGAGCTTTAACACAAGCAAATGCAAAAATGATCTATATATATATTTTTTATAATTTATTGACATAGTGCTCTATTATATATATGAATATATATTTATATATAAATATGAATCTTAGGAGTTCCCCTAGTGTTAGTTCTCTCTAAAAAAACACAAAAATATGTATGTATGTGTAAATGTGCATGTATATAAAGTCGGCATAAAGTAGTCCTTAAGTTGAACGTGATTAGCATTATCCTCGTGTGACTTTTGTTGCGACTTTTTAGCGCCTGATTTAATCAAATTGAAGACCCCATCAAAAAATTTCCCTCTCCTCTTCAATAATTGCAATATTTTTATGTTTTTTTATTTTGTTTCATGTGTATAATTTATTAATTTAATGTACAAATCAACACACACACACGAATGTATATAGCAGTTGAGTAAATAAATTTGTAATTATGTAAAGTTTAAAAAATTCAATTCGGCGCCGGTCGTTGATTTCTGTAGCTGAATCGGGGATGCGGTCGAAATGGAGGAGCTCGATAAGGAAATGTTAGCCGCGGTCGTGGGTAAGGAGCAAAATAAGGATGCGCAGGATACACAGGGCGCGATGGCATACCGTATGGCACGGCGCCATACATGGGATTAAATTGTGGACGCTGCGGCGGCGGTGGCCAAGCCTGCAAGAAAAGCAATTGGTTAATCGATAACAACTGAGCTCGGAGCTTAGATTGAGCATTCTCCTCACGTAGGCATATGGATAATCGGCAGCAGGCACTGGCACGGGTACCGTTATAATACGTGGCGTTCGCGACCGACTCCGACTGCGGCTGCGGCTGCGACGTCGACGCTGCTTTGTAACTGTTGCTGTGGTTAGCTTATGGCGAGTGTCGCTGTGACGACGTTCGCAGCTCCTGGAACGGCGACGTCGCTGGCAGCAATTACGTTCCGCTGAATATGAACGGGATCTGGCACGCATTGGTCTTCCTCTATGTGATGTTGTTGGGCGTGTTATCGATGTTTTCCTATGCCGCAGATTCCTCACTCGATCACGTTCCCTTCCCTCATCCGCAAAATATGGCACCTTTTCCTTGGGGCGTGCACGCCTTCTCGTATCTACATTTAATACACACAAAAGAATCTACATTCAGTATTTAACTTTACATATCTTCGGCGTTTGATACGTTTATATCCAGAATATCGTCTTTAGTAGATCCGTCTGTGCATTACGCTTTTGGAATATGCTGCGCGTCCTTTTTGGCTTGCCATTGCAAATCACTTTCACATTTTGTCACTAGAAAAAAAACAACAAAAACATTGTTTGCACATTTTGCTTTAAAAAGCCATTGAAACACAATACAAACCTCTTGGTGAACGTGAACTGCTGTCGGCATCCATTTTTTATGCACTTACTATATTGAATGCTATTTGTGCACTTGTAATTTACATAAATTACGCTGACAAGGGCCAAGGTTACGTGTTGCGCGAATGCATTTTCTGTTTGTGGATTGTGACGTCATATTTAATAATAATACGGTTGTATCAGAATTTCATGTGTAAGTAATATATTTATGTGCTTTATTTGAATTTGTATTGAAATTTATGTTGGTATTCTTTAATATTTTATGAAAATAACAAAAAATAACACATTCAGTGCATTCCGAGCAAAGTGTTGCTCTCGATTTCATGAAACAACCTTATTTTTTTATAATATTGAGCCGGGCTGCACATTTGAGATGCGTGTGTATCGATTAACTGAACACACGATGTTTTTTGTCAACAGAATTATGTATTAACATCGATATATTGTTGCTGTTTATTCTTAAAGTAAAATTTAAAAACATATATTAAATTTAGCTTAAGAAATGTTCACACAATTACAAAAATTAGGACCTTTATTTTTTGTAGTTTTATCTCATTCTTGTTAAAAATGCGGATGCTCAAAAGCGTCCAGTGTCTTCAATGCTTATTCATAAGATTTTCTTTTACGTATTTCGACTAAAAAAAAAAGGGAAAAGCTTGTAAACAATTTTTATGATTACAGATTTCACTACTTACGGCAACTTGCCAGTGAAAGTTAGACCACTGTGCATTTTATCCATATGATTGCGACAATAGTCACTTCTTGCAAAGCTTTCTGCGCAGTAGGGACATTGGTAAGGACATTCGCCCGTATGACCGCGCATATGCCTCTCCAAATATGCCTTAAATTGAAAGGTTGACGGACAAATGGTACACGAAAATGGGCGCTCACTACTGTGCGTCCACAAATGCTTCCTGAGTAGTGCATGTGTTCGAAATTTCTTATGGCAAATGGAGCATTGGGAATTGCGCTTGACAGACTTGCTTAGCTTTGGCAATGCGGTGACTTTGACGCTGGATTTGTTTTCAAGGTGCCATCTGTAAAGCATTGAAGACTGTTTATATTGGCAATCGATTTAGAAACAATTTCTCTTACTTTTTATGCAGTCTTAGTATGCTCAAGTGCGCGAATTCTTTGGTGCAAAGTTGGCATTTATACAGTTTTGTTTCCTCTTTCTCCTGCTTTATGAGTTTGGGTTTTGTTTTCGTTTCTTTGGGTTCTTTCTTTACGGATCGTGTGGTGTGCGTGCGCCTTGCCAGTAGTTGGCGGTAGTTCTCCTCGCACGTGCGCTTAAATCTGAACGCGTTTTGTGCGCTTAGTACGCAACTCAGGCAAATTTGTTGCGGAAGTGCATCATTGATTTTGATGTGGCAATCAGCACATTCGTTCAGCATATCCGCCAGGCTGGGCTCCGGTTGGCCTTTGTAAAGTTGCTCCCGCTTAGCGAATATGTCCACTAAGGTAACAGAAGCATTCAAACAGATGCGACAAATCGCTGTATCCATGTTTTGAAAGATTTGTTTTGGCATTGGCCCAGGGATTTCTTTGGTGATCACACAAAATATTCATATCGATAGTTTTCGCATGTCATGCAGAATATCGATAATGAACAAATAATTCTTCTTTGTCAAACAAATAAGAATAATTATATATTTTCAACATTAAATAACATTTTAAATACATAAGTCAATTAAATGTGTAATAGTATTTCTAAGATATGGCTTTATATTCAGGTGATAGGAAATCCTTGTTTTGCTTGGTATTGGCTCTGGCATATGCTGTTTGCCACCAGTGTGATCACGCGCATATCGATAGCTTTCGCATCCTCCCCATGTCAGACATAGATATCGATAAGAAACTAGCAAATTACATTTGTTAAAAGAATAATTATTTATTTTCAACACTGAATAACATTTAAAATATATTATATATCCATATATGTGTAGTAATACATATTATATATTTGATTTTCTTTTCAACTATTTCGATGCTTTGAATACATTCATATTAAATGCTTAGGTATTGACTGAAATTCAGGTTAGTTTTTTCAACAGATTTAGTTTTTTAACTTCTTTTAATTTTGAATATTGGCGGTACTTTAGTCATAAGGCAATCCGTTACGTTTGGTCATGGCACAATTATTGAGTGCCTACTGGATTTATATAAGAATAAATATATAGGATAATTTTTAATTGATCGTGCCAGAAATGCAGTTGTTTTTGTTGAAAATAGAATTATATAATCATTCTAAAAAATCCGTACGTTCGAGTACTTAATAATATTAAATTAAAAGTAATTTATGTTGCAAAACATCTTCGATTTGTAATACAAATACAAAGAGTCAATTGCTTTATATAAATACATTCTTGTCTTGGCTTTTCTTTTTCTTTATAGAGGAATATCGGAACGGAAGATGTTTTTTCTTTTTGTTTTGGCTTTATTGCGGAATGTGAGTGAGAGAGAGAGGGAGTATGGGTGTTAGTGTGAGTGATTCTACATGTGCCGAGTGTTGCCAAAGTTAATGCCCGACTGGGTGGCGCCCTTATTGGAGCCGTACTGTAGGGAGATAACATTCTGTCCGGCACGCAGCTGCTCCTCGCTGAAGTTGCGCACATTCTTGTCCGCCTCCTTGGGGCCAATCGATGGCTTGTTGAAGTTGGAGGCCTATAGCGAAAGAATTGATTTTATATATATCTATATATTTGCTAAGATCCTACTTACCTTGCGACCCAGAGACTGCAAGCAGATGACAACAGAATTGAGATTCTGTCGCTCCCAGAGATCGACACTCTGGAATGTCTCCTGTGTGGGCACACCAAAGTTCTTGGCACACTCGAGGAATGCTGAAATGTTCTCCATGCACTTGAAGGCCATTTTGCTCTCGTTAACCTTCTTAATGCAGCCCGGCTGCAAGGCATTGGCCAGCTTGCACAGGATGACGCCATCCTTGAGCACTTCAAAGAAATTGTCCGTATCGCCCGATGTGTTGATGGGCTCAGCTGTCACAGCCTTAATCCATTCCAGCGACTCCTGGGCCAGCTCCTCGCTGTACTTGGAATTTATCTGTAAAGAGTGCAAAACGTCCAACCTTCAGTATATATGCCTCAAAAGATTTGCTACATCTAAAGCCACCTTTGATTGATACATAATGGTCTACACTCCACTAAAGCCGTTTCGCAAATGAAATCATGTCTAACCCATATTTAGATTGTTTTGTTATCTGGAATTATATTTTGCAGATAACTCGTCTATCGTTAATTGGATCGTAAACATTCGCACACATGACTATAATTTAAGTTTGGTTAAGGATAAGATTGCAGTTTCCGAGACAGTTGGCGCTCCCAAAATAAAAACCCCAATAGATGTTTGTTTCTTCAGCTATCAAAAATACATTATGAAAAAATACCAAACAATCTTGGTCACATATAAATTTAGCTCCGAATATTACCTTAATTTTGTATGCATTTTCAAGAGCAAGTGAAAATCTTATCGACCTACAAAATTGGTTCTGATTCGATAAGATTCTACAAGTTTATGACAGAGTTCTAGGTATATTAGGTCCACATATGATATAAATTTCAATGCAGTTTAGCGCTAGAGCTGAAGTTACAAAGGAAATTTTATCGATCATTGAAATCGTTGCAGCTGTGTATGTTTATAGTATAGGTGTAGTTACTTTGGCAGCTTTATAACTCAAAAGTTGTGTGATTTGACTTGATATTTCAGAATAAGTTTGACAATCTAGTTATATAAATAGAGGAAAATCGATAAAAATGTTGAATTTGTTGTGTAAAGTGGGGAGCACTTGATATTGTAATCAACAAAATTGAAAAACTCTTCATTTTTTGCCAATTAGGCTTCCAAATTCAGTTAAGAGCGGCACTATGAAGCTGCAAGGCAGAAGAAACTGTGGCTGAGCTCATAAAAATTAAGTTAATTTTGGGCTAAAGGTAGCTGAGAAGTAATGTAGCTTAGAATATAGCTTTATATTATATAGCTTTATTTATATTTAATAGAAACATATATCACACATATAGTTAAGAAATGGCCTAACTTTAAACGTAGAATCTTTTCGTAAATAAGGTAAATAAAAATAAATGGAAACTTGACTTGAATGAACTTCATAGCTATGTTAAGTAAAGCTCATTGATATGTGAGCATATGTCTCTGGAAAATTGTGAATTAAGTCACGTTTTCAATCTTAATCTATCTCTCCTCTCTCTCCTCTCTCTCTCTCTTTTTATCTCTAAATGCATAACCATATTTGCCTATGTTGCGCTGCTGCTTTAGCTGTTTTAGCTGTTTTTCACTCTGTTCGTATCGCTGATTTGGCCATATAAAGCTCTAAAGCTTAAGCGCCAGCTGTTTGGGCGTCCTTCGCACCGTTTTGGCTCATAATCGAGGCCCACTTGTTGAGCGTTATTGGAGTGGACATGCGAAAAAAAAACAAAAAAAAAAAACAATCGAAAACCACAAAAGTTGTCAATTGGTTGGCGTGTTAAGTTTCCATTTGACAGTGACTGTGAGAGGGAGAGAGAGAGAGAGAGAGAGTGTGTGTGTGTGTGTGTGTGTGTGTGTGGGAGAGTGAGACTGTTGTCACTTAGCACCCAGTTATTAGTTTTAGATTTAATTGAATTGCTGTCTGCTAACTGATTTCAGATTAGCAGGAATTCTATTATTAAGGGTACTCCCACTTTCTCCCTCTCTCGCTCTCTTCCCCTCGTGGTTTCTATTAAAATAAATGATCTCACAAACACTTGTCGTCAATTGAGTGGTTTGTCCCTTTGATTGCGTTGCATTTTTTGCAATTGCTGAGCTTGCGAAAGAGTACGAGCAACGACTGAGCCCTACTCTGCTTTTAGTAATGCTCAAGCATTATTCAGATTATATATAATCTTCAATACTTCAACACTCCTTGTTCTCAACACAAATTTCAATATATCTCTCAATAGTTGTTCTATAACGACTGCCTAATACCCTTTACTGTGCAAAAATTAAATTAATAATTTACTTAAGTCTGTCATTGAGTCAGTTCGGCTAACTAAATTCATCACTTCAATAACTTTAGCAACTCTCTTGTAAATAGGGTTTAGCAATATTACATAAAGTAAGTAATGTAAAACAGCAGCTGCAATTGACATCAACTTCATCACAGCCAATATACCCGTTCAGTAAATTGTAGAGCATATGCTGATTGCTTTGTTTGCCAATCATTGTGATCCCCCCTAAAACAGAGCGATTGCAATTGGGGCGTTGCATAACTGAAGGCGAATGCACTGTGTACCTATCGAATGCTCACTGTAGCTGTTCGTCTCAGCGATAAGCAAATTTTATGAGCTGCACAGTAGAAGAAGAAAAAGTTATGTGCTGATCAAGAAGCCGATATGCAGATAGACACAGCCCATTAAAATGTAAATCAATGAAATAGTTTTGTTTTCTTTTTATGTCTTTGTCAACAGCTCTTGACATGCCCTGTGAAATAGACATTTGAATGGGGTATGCTGCCAAGAAGAAGAAATTTATATAAGCTGTATATATATTGATATAAATATATTATTATATATTTTATATAATTGTATCAGTATCAATATAAAATATTCTTTTGCCAAATCGATAAATATCGATACGGAAGTAACTGTGATATACTTTATATGAAACATAGAGAGGTATGCCACATAGGTAGCTTGTCTGTTTAGTATATTATATTACTGCTTTATGGCTCTAGTGTTATTTAATCGATAAGTCGATTATTGCTGTGCTATCCTACACTAAGTGTTAATTGATTATCTACATTTACTTTAACAACAGCAATTATCGATACAGTTATCGAAACACGCTGAAACTTAATTGAAATCTGCCAAAATTTTTGGCAAAGAACGTTTAGCACATTCAGGTCGGGTCATTGGAGAAAACTGCTGACCCCAAAAAGAAAGAAATTAAGCTGAAGAAAAGAATCTGAAAATAATTTAACAATCGGTTCGAGCCATAGCTCAATTTATCATGTTTTGTATGTGATTTTTCAAAAACAATTAATAAAAATTTCTATTGATTGACATTTTCCCGACACAAGCGACAATAATGACCATCATGATCATCATGATGATAATTATGTTGATGATATGTGGCAGATAAATTGACGCCCGCGAGGCGTTATGAATAAATTTTGGCTTAAAAAATACATAGATTCTATAGAACGACGGTCTTTCGAATCATAAATATTATATATATAAATATATATATATATATTTGTACATATATATACTCATTTACATAGACATAAATAAAATAGCCGTTAAGAGCCTAATCAATTCGCTCGATTTCTGGCACATTTGCGGTCTCTGCATAAATATTTATATACATATTTATATATCTATCGACTTATCTATCTATCTATTTTTTACTTTTGTTTGGAATTTCGGAATTTGGAGTTGGCAAACATGACTTACAGCCTGGCTTAGAGAGCAACAACAATAACAATAAGCTAGCAAATTGAAAGGTAAACAAATAGTAAGCTCTAGTCGGGTGTGTTCGACTAGCAGATGCCGTGAGCCTTGCGTTTGCTTGAATAGCAAACAACAATTTACTTTATGGGAGCTGCCGCGCCAACTTCTGCCTGTTAGCAACCCATTATACCCTGTATTAGCATGTTCAATGGTTGCAGGGTATGAAAATGTCTACGAGTAATATATTTTTTCGCTTCAGCTTCTCTTGTTTTATTTTTTTTCTTTATACAAAAATTTTTAATGAGTCAGCAGCCTCCGATATTTCAGTTGATTTTTTGCTCTATGAGAGGTCGTCGCGAAATTCGACGACTCTATAATGTTGCTGTGTACGAAGTACAGTTAATAATACATACATATGTGATGTATATACTTACTTATATACAGTCATATGTATATGCAAAGTTCTAGAACGTGTGTTCCGCCTTATCGTAGAGAGTGCAAAATAAACGTATGTATGTATATAAGTCTTATGTATACGAAATATAATGGAGAGGATGTCACAATGGAATTTCTGCTTATCAACAACGTTCTGATTGTGCTCAACAAAATTATATATATACTGTGTGTATTCTTGAAAGTCTAGGCCATGACATTTGGTCTCCAATTGGTCAACGGGCCAAAGTTATTAAAGCACAGTTATAATAGTTGCCCTCAAAATGGCGCCTGCGCATGCGCTGCTTACTTTGAACAAAATAAGCAAGCAATTTGCAAAGTTTTTAAAAGAGAAATTTCAAATGTATTCAGCAGATGAAGATGGAGTTAGGGTTGAATTTTATTTTAAGACTAACTTTTTGAGACAAAAAAATCTAAAGACGCAAAGATGTACTATTCACATTTTTTTGTGATATACAATATACAATAAGAGCTAAGTTATTTACAAAAAATATTTAATAAATTTTTATTTTTATACATTATGCAAAAAACGTATACTTAAAATTTTAAGATTTAAGCCCTTCTGGTTTCCGAGTTTCAATCTACTGAAGTCGAGCTTAAAAAAGTTACATTTCTGTTTCCATCTGCCTAACTGTATGTGGCAGCCCAGTTGACACTGACATTGATGTACGCCTTGACGAATGGGCCGGGTACTGGGTCTGTGGGTCAGTTGATAAATTAAGCGCGATTACGCGCAATTACAGCACAGTGCGACAATGCGTAACAACTGCGGGAAACTAATTAATTTCAACAGTTTTTTTTTTATTTTGATGGAGTTGCCTGATTGTAGTCTTACTGTACAGGTTTGCTATGGGTATTCTTTTCTGTGCCCGCACGCAAGGCGCATTAGCGTTTGCCAAGCCTGAAAGCCTCTTTATTAGCTTGAAGAGCTTTTAGTTAAATTAAAAGTGTTTGCATACAATGCTCGCCCTTCCTCTCTCTGTCCTTCTCTCGCCAGACCTAACGGCACAAGCCCTAGCCCGCCTTGTATCCAAACTAAGCAGCGAGCAAACGAAACCGGACTCAAGCCCCAAGCTGCAACAGCAACCAACACAACAACTGCATCGCAGAAGTAAAGTACAAAAAACAGTTATTTTAGCTTAGTAATAAATTTAAAGCCGTTTTGTATATACCCTGTCATTAGGTAATTTTTTATTTCCAAGCAAACAACTCAGCTGACTTCACAGCTGTTTCCTTGGGTGCAACACAAAATGCATATACCCGCTGTTCATCAATTTAAATAGGTTATTGCGAAAAAGCAACTGTTAACTGCAGACAGGCTGCGCTTTAAGGAGTTATATATGTGTATGTATGTTTGCGTGTATGATTAGAAGGGAGTGCTTTATGTCGCATAAATCTAACAGACGCTGACATAAGTTTCCGTTTCAGAAGACGCGCATAGTGTATAAAACTATTGCTCTTTCGCTCCCCATCTCTCTCTCTCTCTCTCGCTCAGTTACGATTAGCGTGGCAACGGATCATTGCGTAATGATCTTTTTTGTAGGGATCAGCAGATGATGTCATTATTGAGTTTGCAACTGAAGCAATAATTCAACAAATGATGATGATTAGTTCGAAAATTAACAGTTGACGCATAAAATTTAAAAAGAAGCAAAACAAAAGAGCCTGCTTATGTGTGTGCGTATACTTATGGACGCACAGTTGTGAGCGTGTGTGTGTCTGTTTTAGTTACGTGCAAAATAAGCGGCGCTTAAAAATAAACAAAAACAGCAACAAGAAAAACCGATTGGCAAATCTGTTCACCAGTTGCGCTTAGTTTTATTTCCGAATTCGATTTCGCTTTCTTTTCGATGTGTCATGGCTGCTTGTCGATGACAATTACAAAGCATTGCGGGTGACCGATATTTGAACGAAAACGAAAAAAAATACCAAAAAAAAAACCAAAGCACTCGAGCTTTGAATACCGCAAGTAAAATAAATGAGGTCAATTATGTGACTGATTTTAACTGTTGTTTTACGATATTTTTACATTTTGCTTTGCTAAAATGTAAACATTGCAAAAGACAGTACAGTGGTACATAATAGCTTTTAAAATTTGACTTTTATATATTTTTGTATGCATGTATGTTATGAGTAGGTATGTATGTATGGGGCGAGAATAAAAAAATTGAGAACACGCTCTTTTATTATATTTTTGGCATTCCTGAGTTTCACCGGAAATTCAAACAACATTTGATTTATGATTAAGTTGAGTTTTGCCATCACTTTTTATGGCTTATCTGAAAATGTATGACCACAATTATGATTCGTAGCTCTGTTAGATACATAGCTACATAACTATTGTACGTTTTTTTTATAACAACGGACCTAGAAGAGCTCGACAAGTTCCATTTGGTAAACTGATACGGTAGGGAACTTGCTTGCGGATGTATTAATGTGACCATATCTATGCCTGCATGTGTATAGGCGAATATGCCTGCGTGTGCGTGTGTGCGGGTTCCAGTGATTACTATAGGTACGTGCTAACGCTTCTATGGGTACCCATATAGAAGAGGAATGGGCGAACAGACGACTAATTAATGGCTACATGGTCAAAGAGGCGTGGGGTCGAGAGGCGCAAGGGTTACAGTTAGGGTATGTCTAGAAAGCAGAATCGAAGAAGAGGAAGAGGAAGCGGAAAAACGTAGGGAGCGCCGATGGCCAGGGGAAAAGGGGGTTGTCTGTTGCGCCTTCAATAGTTACTCGATTTTTGCTGAAATTTGAGTCGTTGCCATAAAAGTACACAAAAATAACTGCCAACCGACTCTACATTCACACAGACATAGATAGACAGTCAAATGGACAAACAATTTTTTAAAAGTTGATTCAGCGGCATGTTGTTTTTGTTTGCTTATGCCACACACAGGCGCATTTACACACTTACACACTTAAGTGCGGCGCGCATGTGTGTTGGTACGTCAAAAGGTGCTATCGCTACGTGGGGCGGTTTAGATACACTTGTATAAAGTCTACATATTTTGTCTCTAAATATGTAACCTGCATACATACATATGTACATACATACACACATGCAAGTCCATTGCTTATATATGGCTATAAGTTGAATAAGTAGATCAAGAGAAAATATTTACATTATATTTATAACAAGCTGCCATATCGATCAACTTCAATGGAATAAATCAAAAACGAAAACAAAAACAAGGGCATTCAAAGTTCGTCAACTCGTAGATAACTCTCTTTCGGCTTCTTTAATATTTGTTTTTTTCCATTTTTGAAGTTAACGAAGACGGGCAGCTGGCAGGCAGGCAGCCCAATGACATCATCGCGCTCTCTCGCTCCTGCGAAGCCGTTGTTGATCGCGGCGAAAAAAAACAAGAGGAAACATAAGAAAGGGGGCTGCGGCGCAACAAGCTACGCGGCAAATTGAGGGGAGACGCTAAGGGAAATGTCCCTCCTGTTGTTATTGTCGTTGGCTGTTCTGTTTGACCAATGCTGTAACTGTATACATTGTTTTTGTAGTTGTCTTCCATTAGTGGATTGCACTTAATCCGTTCGCTCTTCCCCTTTCCTCACTATCTCTCTCACACTCGTCTTCCATTTACCAGATACAATTTCAAATTTCACTCACGTCGCAGGGACAGTGCATTGCGTAATTGCCAAGGGGAGCGCGGGGAAAATGGCGACACTGGGATACATACAAGCCCAGTTCCGCATATATACCATGCCTACATATGTAAATTGCAGTAAATAAGCGTCACTAATGTCAAATTAGTTTAAAAGAGAAAGGGAATGCACACAAGCGAGGGCAGCTTTGCGGTTGCTGCGATCCCTTTTGCTCTCTGCATTGCAATTGGGCACCCATGAAGCCCATTGAGCATTAAAGAATTAGAGAGATGAAATTGCTCGGCTGCAACTGAACGAAACCTGACAAAGCATTATTTAAAGTGCAAACAATCGCTTAATTTAGATTCAACTCAAACTTCAGCTCTTAGATATTACGCATGCATAGCCACATACACAGAGACACTCACGCACACATACACGCATACATAGTCAAGCATACTTAAAGATGACTTATCAACGCGAACTGCAAATTGGGAATGAGGTCATCTCTAAGACCATTTTTAGCCTGAATTTTGGCGCGCGAGAAAAGACGCAACTCGGTTTCAAATGCCCAAATAAAGGCATTGCAGCTTAACAGTCACACACACATACACATGCATGCATACAATATTATGTTTGTTTTATTTTTTGGCAAAAATTTGGTTACCTTGCGCTGCGCTTCGGCCGCAAAGCCACTCTTTGGAGCACGATTCGAAGACATGTTAATGTTTGTTGTTGTTGAAGTTGTTGCTGCTGCTGGATTTTTGGTTGGAAACGGGTTTGCAGGGTGCGTTGCGTTACGTTTTTGGTCGAAAAAAGTAGCTTAACGTTGCACTCTGGCCAATGGAATGTTTATCACAAATTGGTAATATATATATATAAATATATACGTTCACGATGCGTTCAACTAACGTTCGCACACGACAAATACTAAAGGCGCTTTGAACGTGCCATCCAAACTACCAAAACGAGGAAAGCTCGAAGCCATTAACAGTGCTGCAATGTTAACAGCGACTGCCGGTATGAGAGCCAGTAACAGCACGAGAGCGTAAGGCAATAAATATGAGCCGCTCTCAAAAGCTTTCAACCTCAGCTGCTGCTATTGATGATGATGATGTCATAATGCACATGTCGTAGCTAACGGCTGTTTGAATGAGTTTTTCTCTTGTGACATTGAAAGCAGTGATATGAAGCCTGTTATTAGTAATAGCTGTGCTTTCATGCCTTATCACAGCATACCGCCGTGGCCATGTCATTGGTTGATAATACTAGCAGTAAAACTAAAAGCGGATTATTTTTTTTTGTTTTAGTTTGCCTTGAGAATTAGTTACATTTTATTCACATAAATATATACTTGTTATGTAAGTGTTTTTTTTATGTTTCAAAGATAAGAAGAGAATTGCATAATTTGTTTTTTTTTTTCAGTGTATTTAGTGAGTGTTTTTGTAATGTGTTCTAAATAAATAGGGGGAATTGCTTTTATAATTGTTTTTTTGCACATATAATTGTTATATTAAATATACATAGCTCTAAGAATATGTTTTTTTTTTTATATATTCTCACTGCAGCCAAGACAAGTTTTTTTATTTTTAATATTTATTAAATATTTCATTTGTCTTTTGATTATATCGCCATTAGTTTTTATTTTAATTTTATTTATTTTTTTAGGAAAAAGCATTCCATTTAACTAGACAACTATTAAACGGTTTAAATGGTTGTTTTTATCAATTAATTTTTTTTAATCTTTTTTTTTTGCTCTCATGCATGTTAAGGCCCTCGCGCTCAAGTACAAGTGGATGTGGCATATATATATATATATGTCTGTATATATATATGCCTTATAGACTATGGTTTATTTGAAATATTGTTTTATTTATTTTTTACAATTTTAATTTTTGGGTGCATGCTAAATAATTTTGCTAAAGTTTTTTAATTAAAAAAATAATCATAATTTATTTTGCACATGGATAAATACAAATTACAAATATAGATGTGTGTGTATATATATATATATAAAAAAGAATATCGAAAATATATATATATATCTAGACTGACGCGAAAAATAATATACACAGAGAGAAAAACACAATTACATTTAAACAAGCAAAAAATGAGCAGAATTGACAGATTAATCAAAAAAGAATTCTAATTCCTAGTTATATATGTATGTGTATGCATGTGTGTGTAAGTGTGTAAGCACTGATATCTGATATCCGTGTTTGTTGTTTACATAGGCTACGCATCGCATATTCAACATAGAACAATAGTATCAGCAAATAATTTCAGACAATATTTTTTCGTAATTCTTCCACTTTCATTTCTTTTAATAAATAATACCTCACGATTCGTTGGCTCAACGTATTTTTAAACTTAACTTATACAAACAACTGTGCAGTAAAAAAAATTGGGCAATAAACACACAGTGGGGCTTGGGAGGGGGGTACGGGGGAACAGCGCCCAGCATTGAGGTCGTATATAAATCGTATTATCATCTATTACATTTTCCAAACATTTCTCTCTTCTCTCTCTAGGGGGGAGCTTCACACATAATATGTCCCATGCTTCATCTCTTATTTCTTTTTTTTCTTCCTTCTTCCTCTATTTTCTATATATAATTTTCAATTATATATAACGCAGAGTTTTGGACTCACAAGCAATTTTCCTTTTACACACAGTAATTATCATAATTATAATTAGCAAGAAATGTAATTAAAAATCATCAATTATTTGTTTTTAATTTTTTTGGAACCTTCTGATATCGAATTGCTTTGCATGATGATGATTTTGGGCTTGATCAGCATTATATATATGTTAATATATATATATATCATTTTTTATATGGTTTATCAGCATTTTCTTTACTTTTTTGTGTCTTAGTTCTTAACTAATATTACATGCAAACGTTTTTTCTTCATTTCTCTTTTGCAGCTTGGCCTGCGTTACAATGTTTAGTTCTCTTTTATATATATGTATATAATAAAGTGTATATAGTTTTATAAGCATTTTTCCTGTTTGTTTTTTGTTTTTGTTAGTATCGCTAGTAACCATAATTTGTTGCCTTTCGCCTTCATTACTTTTGCATTTTGTTTTGTTTAACTCAATTCTATAAATAAATACTCCACACACATTTAGCTATATATCAGTTTTTTGTTGATTTTCATATGTTTTCTGTTTTTTTTTAAATAGTTTAGAAAACAATCGTGTTTTGGTTAACTTCAACGAATTCACAGCAGCGATATATCTGTAAATGTATATATAGAGATTATTATATATAGTATATATACTAAATGTAGTAATTGTTAACCTTTATTCTCGTGACTATCAGCAGTGACTAGCGTGTTGTTTGCCGCTGTGCTCGTCAGCAAGCTGTTGTTGTTGTTATTATTATTGTTATTGTTATTATTGTTCATGTGCAGTTGTTGCTGTTGCTGTTGTGGTTGATGGGACTCGATGCTCAGATCGATTAGTTGCGTAACAGCTGGATTCACTGCATCCTGCAGCAGATTGATGTCGCTGCAATGAGTAAAGCCCATTTAGTTGTCAATTAAGACTGTAAGCAGGTGCTGCTATCGACTCACTTCTTGTTGCTCACATTCTCGATATGGCCATTCCCATTGGCCACTGCTGCTGTAACTGTTGCAGCTGTTGTTTCCACATGCAGCTTGCCATTGCTCACCTCGTACTGTTGCAAGTTGTTCTTGGCATTCTCATCAATTATCAAATTTGAGAAACTATTTATGAGTGAATTCTCTTTGTCCAGCACCGATTGCTCATACATGGCCTGACTGTTTGGTGGTTGCTCCAATGACTCTGTTTCTGTAGCTGGTGGAGCAACGGCGTCATTACTTGTGCTGCTGCTGCTAGGAGAGCCGCCAGTTGAGTTACTGCTGCTGCTGTTCGCGTCATTTGCATCCTTGGGTGCACCAGTCTTGGGGTCCGAGGATTCCTGCCAAAGTAGTTAAGAATATTAATTTGGAAAAATAGTGAGTTTAAGATATTAATATTTGATTACCTTGACGGGCGTGGCAGCAGCACCGCCACCTTTGCGGGTTCGCGACATAATTGCTTCGACGCGTTTGCGTCGCTCTTCACGTTCCTTTTCTTCGCGCTTGAGGCGTTCGGCTACCTCGACGCGTTGCTTTTCAGCCTCCTCCTTGGCCTTCTTTTCGGCCTCCTCACGCTCGACACGCTGGCGTTCCTCATCCTCACGCCGGCGCTGTTCCTCCTCTTCGCGCTGTTCTGCTTCCTGTTAAAGGGTTTCGATTTAAAACTGAATGATAGAAAGCTTATTCCTTGTATCCTACCTCGATGGCTTTTCGCAGACGTTCCTCTTCGCCGCGTCGCTGCTGCTCGGCCAAACGTGTGGATTCCTCTTCGAATAGTCGCTGGCGTTCGGCCTCTTCTTCTTGTGCCTTGAGCTCGGCAAGGCGCTCAGCCTCAAGCCTTTGGCGCTCCAATTCCGCCTGTCGTTCGGCCTCCTCGCGGGCCAGGCGTCGTCTTTCGGCTAATGCGGCCTTAGCCTCCTCCTCAGTCGTAATCTTTTTGGCTATCATCGATGCGGTCATCAAATCGTTATTGCCATCTGCAGATGGGGGCGTCAATTCGCGCACCTCCGAGTTCTCCTTGCTGCCGCCATTACGCAATGTCTTCTTAGACTCCTGTGGAATTTGTGGTGGTTGCAGTGGTTGTGGCTGTGACTGTGGCTGTGACTGTGGCTGTGACTGTGCCTGTGGCTTCTCATTGCCCTCGTCTGCCTTCTCATCAACATTGATAGATGCAACTTCTGGAATTGGCTGCGACACCTGTTCGTTTTGTGTCTTACCATCTAGTTGAAGTAGCTGCTGTTGCTCCACTTGTTGCTGCTGTTGCACTTGCTCCGTTTTTACATTGTTTAATGCCTCCTTCTCCGCTTTGCTAACAGCAATCACTGCATCAGGAACTGGCAACTCTGCTGCAAGCTGTTCCACTGGATCCTTGGCCACACCGTTTGCCTCTGGTGCAGCTGTTATCGTGGAGCTGCTGTTGCTGCTGGTCACAATCATGGACGTGCTCATCACTGAGGGAACAGGTGCAGCCTTAATTGTTGACTCCTTGTTTCGTCGATTAATCCGTTCCATGCTGCCGGTGCGACTATGTGGCTGTGCCTTGGAAGCGGATGCAGACTTTGGTGGCAGCGTTTCCTAAAATCAAACAAAAACTTACATGTAGATTGTGTAATGAATATAATTTAGATAAATATAATAAGCTTTTAAATAGGACAAATGTTTGTATATAATCGGAAGCTAACCCGCTTTTGTGGCGTCTTCTTTTCGGCGCTGTGCATGCGCGTTGAGCTGGAGGTGACGATCATTGAGGTGGACATGAGGTTCGGTGTTCGTTTGGGTGTCGTTTGTGCTGTAGACGTGGATGGCGACGATGCCGTATTTGTTGTTGTCTTCAATGGTGGCTTATGAGTGTCCCGCTTTAGTTTATTCAACTCTGTGGGTGGATGAGTTCAGGATTAGGATTCATGGAATTCAATTAATTTCATTTTTTTACTCACCATCTAGGGACATGCCAGTGCCTGCTATGCTAGCTGGTCGTGGTTTGCGTGGCGCCGTCGCTGGGCGTCGTGCCACAGGATTGGCTGTGGACAACGTTGTTGACGTGGACATCGCGCTGCCGGGACGTGAGCCGCTCAGATGACCATGTCCGCCGGGTGTTACATTGCCAGAACGTGAGCCTAAAGCGAAAGAAGATTAGTTATGGCTGCCAAAAGCGACTTAGTGTATCAGTTCTATTACTATTAAATTTTTTGGTTATATATGAGCAGGTGAGCACCAAATAAAAATAATGTGATTTGTGAATTGTGACCGTCACCAGAGAGCGTTGTCATTAAGGTAAACAATAATGGGGAGAAGGAACAAAAGACTAGAAAATAAAATCCTAAAAAAAAATAATTAAACAAAGTACCAAACATAGAGAAAGACACAATTACGTAGAGTGGGCAAAACGGAAAAAGACACAAAGCATAAACCACGTAACCTATGGAGATTGGGTGTGGGTGTATGTGTAGAATGTGTGTGTGGGCGTATAAAGTGTGTGGGTTATTATAATATATAGTTTAGTCCATACGAAATCGAACAAACAGTTGACAATGCTCAGCACACAATATGGACCCATGAACGCCGATTGATCGATTGCACAAGTACAGATGTTATCGATTTGAAATATGCCAATTGTTGCTCAGTTCCGTAAATTATCTTTCTATCGATTGTTTCTTTTTATTTGGAGAGCAATTACCAAATAAATTAATAATCAAGTAAAAATGTAAACTCCAGTAGCTTTACAAAAATCGACAATTATCGATTTGTCATTGTTCACCGTTATAGAGGGTTACAGAGTAGTATATATATATATATATAAAAATTATTTTGAGGGGTTGGAGCTATAAATAAAAGTCGATTGTTATCGATAAATACTACTGTGTGGAGCTATAAATATATTAGGTAGGAGTTTATATAAGTTATAATGTTATATTATGATTTCTACCGTTATGTTTTAGACAAGTCTATCGATAAGTTATAGCTGTATGTTAAGAAATTTAACGATAAATTGTAGTTGAACTTTATGAAATCTATCGATGCCATTAGATTCGAACGTTATGGGATAATGTTTAGATTACGATTATTTAAATACATGAATCGAAGCTTAATGGTGAAAAACGATCGATAAGTTCACATATCGAATTTGATAATAACGGTATATATCAGGAACTAATGTGCTCCATGTGAAGGCGTTGGTGTGTGTAGTTTGTGTGCCATATGTTGTTCGCTTAAGAAAACAAACCTGTTAGCTACTTTTTAGGGGATTACTAGGTGTGTGTGTGTGTGTGTCTGTGTGTTTGGGGATGTCAAATGGACTTCTATGCTAGCCACCGCGGAAGTATAAATATATAGGATGTGTGTTTTGGTGTATGTGTGTTATGGGTAGGGTATTTTGTAGTTGTTGTTTGGATGTTGTTGTTGTTGTTGTTGATCGCACACACCTGCATTCACTAACAAACTAGAAGAGTTCATGAGCAACAATGAGTTTGGATCGAGGTCGTGATAACGGTTGTATTTAGGGTTAGTAATAGTGGAGTTCGCATATTGTTGCTGGGCACGCCTAGACGACAGGTTGTTGAATGAGGCAAATGAGCTTTGAAGATATTTTTTAGTTGCTGCTGTTTGCAAGCCAAGATTCGATTGGCGTTGTTGTTGTTGTTGTTGTTGTGGGTAGTGGTGGTGGTGTTGTTGGTGGTTGTTGGTGCTGTTTGTGGTCGACCACGAATAGCTTATCTGTGTCATGCTCTTACTGGAGTCACGCTGACCGCTGCCCAAAGGCCGAAAGCTTGTTGAAATGCCGCCACCCAGCGAATACTTTCCACGCTCCCGTTGAGCACAGCCAGCCAGATGAGTCATGCTGCGCGACATAATGCCAGTCGCTGTCGATGTGCCACTGGCACCGGCACTCGCACTGCCCGCTCGCTTGCCCCTAGCCGGGCCACGCCGACCGTTGGCACTGTGGCCACCTAGCGAAGACGTCTCGTCCAGCATTTCCAGTTCCCGTTCACGTCGCTCCCGTTCCAGTATGGCACGCATATGCTCACCATTGCGACGTATGGGCTGGGCCAGCTGATCCAAGCGGTTCATCGAGTAGGCGCGTCCTACTAGGTGGGTCGGTTGTTGTTGTTGGTGATATGTAAAGTGGAAAGTGGTTCAGAAAGTGTTGATGAATCAGAATCAGTATCATTGTAGCATTGCATTGTTGTAGCTGTTGTTTGTGGTTGTGGTGGTGGTGCTTGTGGTTCCTTATGCAGCTATATATATATATATATATATATATATATAGTTATGTATATATACAGTAGACGTCACACTAATGGGCACAAAATTTTGCTACAATATGGGTGGTTGGGTGGTGTGTGGTGTTTAGTGAGTTGTGAGCAGAACTTGTCTAATATTATATCTCCGAGTAGAATCAAAAGCAAGAAGAAACGAAAGGCCAAACCTCTCATATGGTCACACAGCGGTCATTGTTGTTGTTGGTTCCTAACTGAATACGTTGATGAAATAATGTATGTATATGAATAATGGATGATGATGATGATGATGAATACAAAATCATGACAGTCAGCTGAAGAGCTGGATACTGATGATGATGATGACGCTATGATGATAGCTGGAGGCTGTAGAAGTGTTTTTTTTTTGATTTTGAGAGGGGGAGGGGGAGGTTGTGTGGCTCGTTCTTACCTGGGGTTCTGGGCGTGGTGCTCAATGAGCTGCGCGAACCGTAGTGCCCGTCTCGAGGGCTGGGTATTGTCGGCATGAGATCCGTTTTCCTGCGGTAAACGCTTCGGAACATCATGTTCTGTTGTGTTGTGTCAACGATATCTTCTGCAATTGTGGTTTTTGGGATTTGGTTTTTGTTTTTTTCTTTTTGTTTTGTTTTTCATTTGATCAAAAAATGTTGACCGAAACTTGGAACTAATGCAAAATGTATCATCGAGTAACCAAAAGCAAAGGCTAAAGCAATTACCATGCCAAGTGTGTGAGAGAGAAAGAGAGCAAGAGAGCTACTAAAAATCGGGTAGTTGGATAAAAAATATATAAAAAACTAGAGGCCGCCGCATGGAGGAGGGAGAGAGCGTTATAGATAGAGCGTGACATGTTAGGGCATACAAAACCTAATTACAAGAGCATTGCAGCTATCGATAGTAAAAGTTATCGATGTTATCGATAACACTAACAAAATCATTAATATCGTTAATCATAATCATTAATAGCATTTCGCATATCGTGTGTACTGACTTTTAGTGTATTCGGAGTAAACACAGTTAAATATCGATCATAACAACCGATTAATTTCATAAACATCAAATAACTATATTCATTAAAATGTATTAATTATTAATAACATACGACAGTCGATAATTACAATCGAACGCTTTTATGCTCATCCTACAGGATTCTTTTTACAGGGTACAATTATTAGATCATGCAATAAACTTGGGCGCATGCCGGTTAGGAGAGCTTCTTAGAAGAGGGCGGCGGTTAGGGCAACAAACAAACAAACAAAATAGGGTAATATAACATAACAAAACAGGAACAATAGAGTGGAAGAAGAGAAGAGAAGAGAAGAGGAACCCTCACCCTTACGATATGAGTTATTGTTGTTGTTGTTGTGGCTTGCAGTTGTTGCTGTTGTATATGGTCTGTGCGCAGTTGTGGTTGTTGTTGTTGTGGAAGTCAGTTTTTGGGCGTTGTTCTTAATGGGATGGGCTGGCCCATCGATATTTATTTCGCTGCCAGCTATCGATAACGAAAAACGCTTTGGCGGCTCATCATTCGAATAGCCCCAATTGAAAACCTCGTACATGGACGAAGACTTACGGCGATGATCTGTGTGCAGAGGTGTCAAATGTGGGGGCAGTTTGAACAGAGAGAGTGAGAGAGAGAATAAGTGAGAAATAGTGAGAATTGAACAAATTAACAAGAACTGAAGCTAAAAATCCGGAATTAGCTAAAGTGACGGGTGTATCAAAATATATATAACATATATATTGTAAATCAAATAAAAGAGGTGTAGGATAGGTGTTATTGAAATCAAGTTAATAACTTTTTGCACACAGCTGCAACAGTTCACAGGTACTGGGGAAGCGGTTATATATAGACATATACACACATATATATATATATAGTATATATGGTGGGAGATTGTCACGTAAACAAAACTGAGTTTTCTTTTTTTTTTTTAAATTACGAGTGGTTTTGTCTAAAGTAATATTAACTGCAAAATAAATAGTTAAGATTAAGTGTTGCTGAAGTGTATTATTCCGTGTTGTGTATGTGAGTGTGTGTGTGGGTGTGTCTGTGACAGTTCGACCGAAAGTTGTTTGGATGGGGCATTATTACTACTAACTCACCATCGTGTCTGTCCGTGGATGAGGAGGTACGCTTCTTAGCACCACTATCGGCGAGTTCACGTTCGGAACTGCGACGTGAGAGCGAGGCGCCCGCTACGTTTGATATAGATGTGGAACTATAAAAATACAAAATCATAAAACATTATAGCATCTATATAGTGTGTCTAGACTATATAGACGCACCGTCTTTGACTCCAGAAAGTGCTGGGCGATACCAAGCCATAATCCGCCGGCACATCCAGCAAACGTGGCGTTGACGAGCCAAAAGCAAACGCAATCGAATTTCTATCCCGTTTCTTTGTCTCTATTCGGGATTCGCGCTCCTGTAAAGCCAAAATTGGAGGTCAATATATGTTTGTATGAATATATTTGTGCGTTCAACACACCTGATTCTTTTTGAGTATATACTCTCGTCGCTCCTTCTCGGCCTCAATTATGGCCTTTTTGCGCTCCTCCACCTGATGACGTTTCTCTGTGTCACGCACGCGTATCTCCTCAATGCGACGACGACGCTCGTCCTCCTTTTGTTCGCGATACTTTTGCGCCGCCTCGGCTTGAGCTCGCAACTCTTCGATTTTTCTCTGTCTCTCCTCATTTTGTCGATCGCGCGCATATTTCAGTTTCTCCTCGCGGTCTTTGGACGCTGTCAAAATGTAAATGGCAAAGAAATATGTTAGAATTGTATATAATCTTGATGTAGTTGCGATTGAGAGCGGGGGCGGTGGTACTGGCTGGCAGGTGTGGCAGCCAGCACGAACATTCATATTTCACATGTAGATGCTAGTTTTAATCAACAAAATTATTTTGCTACCTGTGGCAAATAAAAATCGATAAAGCTTCAGCATTATTGTTCATATGCTGCTGCTTTTTTAATACCCTACATTCCATGAACATAGGCAAATAGGAAAGATTCGTATAATTTGCTATTTAAGTTAAGGCAAGAAATTTGTGAATTTTCTAAGTCAATAAAGAAATTGAAGAACATATATTTTCATAACTATTTATTAATTATAATTGTAAACTAAAAACAAGCTTGTATTGAGTCTATTGTAGGCTTCCTTACAGGGTATTAGTGAGCTCATACAATTATTTTATAATCAATGTTCCCTTCAGGGCATTTGCTAGTCTATCAAGCTCAACCAGAACTAGAGCTTACTTGCCTTTTTTTGGCATTTGCCGGCAACGACTGCCGCGCGACTTTTACAGCGACTGACGTCATCGCCGCTCGATGTACGCTCGCTTTGTATGTATGTGGGTCAATTGACAACAAACTACAATAACAATGCACACACATACACACACACACACACACACACACACAGGTCGCCCCCAGAGCAAAGCGATGAGCAAATAAGGCAAAAGAGTAAAATATAAGCGCATACTTGTTTTTTTTTATTAAAATGACATTGAGCCATTGTGCAAAATAAAAGCAATAAAAATGCAAAAATTATAAAAAAAGAAATTGTAAATTGTAAAAACTACAAAAAAACAGCCAAGTGGCAATTGGTCAACTAACTTTCTGCGCATTCGTTGTAATCGGCAATCGCCAATCGCCGGGCGATAACGCGTTATCGTTTTTATTGGTATTTATGGAATTTAATGACGTAATTGTGGATGCAAATTGTTCGAACAAAAGGAAAATACACAAACTCCCAACTGTAACAACTGGTATTGAATCGAGGCCAAACTCTGTTTTTATTTTTTTATCGGAATATTTTAATGTTATTTCCATAACAGCGGTTAGATAGCGAAAATGCTTATCATCACCTGTGAATGTAAATGATCATGCAAGAGTCAACAACCTTGAACGCTGGCTGACGACAAAGACGCATCATCTATGAAGCTACACATATATGTATATAGCCCACCTTTATGTGTTTTCTTCTTTTAGCCTGCTCCATGGGCTTGCTTTTAGCTTCAACTGCATTAGCAGCCCACTCGCGCTTTGCCCCTAGACACAAGAATTTTGCTATTCAATTTGCATTACTCTTTATTTTCAGAGCATTCGGCTTTTGTCACAAGGCGTGCAACGCAAAACATTTTTAATTGATACCAATATTTTTATTTGCAGACAATTGGATTTTTTCTTTTTATATAGTTTATATGATGATTGAAATTGCTTTGGCGTTGATTTATATATTGGTTCCAATCAAGTATTTCTTATCCTCGATATACACTTATGTATACGTAACCTTGCGTAAAACATTGCGAGCTTGGTGTTAGAAGCTGCATACCCTATGGCAAAAGAGTTTCAGAACTTAAGCCTGTCATATCTCTCTTTATTTCTAGTATATGTGACATATTTGCGCTAAAATTAAAAATTATGAAACTCTACATAGATTCCTTATATCGATTTGCCTCGGTGTATGATATCATATATTAATATTAGCTTGGTCGAGGGTAGTTTATAAAATTGCTGACCTATTAAGATATATAGTTATCTATTTATATATATATATTTATTTACGTCTTGTTTATGCTTAGTAAGAGCATGCAATAGTCGCCTATGTAAAATTGTAAATAACACACACATTTATAACCCGTATTCACTATATATAATAATTAGAGTAGTGTATAAAATGCTGTCTTACCTTTCCGTTCGGCGCTGCCCTCTCGGCTTTCGGGTCGTTTGGGTATGTTTTCCACTGTAAGTAAATAAAATAAGAAAAACAAAAACAAAATAAACACTTTAGTTTGTGTTTTGGTTTCGTAAGAAATATTTGTAAACGATGTGTTGTAAAGTTCATTCAGCCCCGCTATATTTTTATTTTTTTTTAAGTATTTTCCACGAATTTTCACTGGCTTTTTGCGAACACTCACTCGATAGAGTCCAAAAAAGAAATGAATATGAGAATGTAACATAAAAGAAAAGGAAAATCAATCGGCTTCTGTTTTGCACTTGTAGGGCAAGGAGAAAAAAACACGCACTTGATAAGTTGGCGGCGGCAGACGGACAAACACACACATGCAAACGCGCACACACACAAACAAATGTGCAGCTGCAGCGCAGCTGCTGCCTCACGATGACTGTGAACGCTGGCTGCGGCTGCGGTGACGGCGAAAATGTTTTTCCTCTGGAAACTTTGAACGAAATTTTATTTATAACTCAAAACTCCGGTAAGGGGGGATTTAGCGCTGGCAAAACAACAGCCACACTGTAAGGAACTTGAAAAAACACACGGGGGCAAATTTCACCCATATGAAGCAAACACTTCTGGCTTCTTCTTTTTTTTCGTTCGCTTTTTCGAGTGTGAGTCGTCGTCGTCGTTGTCTTGGTTGCTGCTGCCCATTCGACCAACAAAATTTTTCTCGTGGCTCTTTGTTACGCGTATTGTTTGTTAAATTTTTGCACTCGCCAATTTACGCGCACGCTTTTGTAGTTATATTTTGTTTGGTTGTTTCACGTTTTTAATGCATACCTGCTGGGTTATTCGAATAATTTTCTTGCTGGCCCTCAAGACTCGCCATATTCTCACTATATTTTTTTCTACATCTACACTTATCGATACTGAGCACACAACTATCATGCGCAGCGATAATGACTACTCGATCATAATCACTCGATATATGTGTGGCTGGCACAGTTGCTATTTCAATAGTTTGCTGACTGCTATACAACTAATATCAACCCGATATGTGCTAAATAATGTCAAAATATTTATCGAATCCCGCGTTTTATGTTTGCAATCTCGCTTGGAGTTAAAAATTGTAATTTAATTAAGTACAATAAAAATGCCAGAGGAAACAGCAATTGCGGTTGTGGACAAGCGCAATAATTTGCCTTGGATCGAAAAGTATCGGCCTGTTAAGTTCGATGAAATTGTAGGCAATGAAGATACGGTCGCCCGTTTATCCGTCTTCTCTACCCAAGGCAATTCGCCAAATATTATAATTGCAGTAATTTATTTGTAAATTTTAGTAAAGACATATACACTTAAGTCAAATGTATTACAGGGACCACCTGGAGTGGGTAAGACGACAACTATACAGTGCTTGGCCCGCATCCTACTGGGCGACAGCTATAAGGATGCGGTGCTTGAGTTAAATGCATCGAATGAACGTGGAATCGATGTGGTGCGCAATAAAATTAAGATGTTTGCCCAACAAAAGGTCACCCTTCCACGTGGTCGCCATAAGATAGTCATCCTCGATGAGGCGGACAGCATGACTGAGGGAGCACAGCAATCGCTGCGACGTACCATGGAAATTTACAGTAATACAACGCGTTTTGCGCTCGCTTGCAATACGAGTGAGAAAATAATTGAACCAATTCAGTCCCGTTGCGCGATGCTGCGTTTTAGCAAACTATCCGATGCCCAGGTGTTGGCTAAGCTTATCGAGGTGTGTCAACTGGAGCAGCTCAAATACGATGAGGATGGATTGGAGGCGATTGTCTTCACGGCGCAGGGCGATATGAGACAAGGTCTTAATAATTTGCAATCCACGGCTCAAGGATTTGGTGATATAACGGGCGCAAATGTTTTCAAAGTTTGTGATGAGCCGCATCCCATGTTGTTGCAGGATATGTTGCAACATTGTGCCGGCAATGATATACATAAGGCGTACAAGATCTTAGCCAAATTGTGGCGCCTCGGCTATGCACCGGAGGATATTATTGGTAATATATTTCGCGTGTGCAAGCGGTTGAATGTTGACGAACAGTTGAAGTTGAACTTCATAAGAGAAATTGGTATCACGCATATGAAGATTGTCGATGGTTGTAATTCGCTGCTGCAGTTGACTAGCCTTTTGGCACGTCTGTGCGTGGCTGCTGAGTCTCATTAACATTAAACATTTCCATTTTTTGTATATCCAATAAAACCTTTAGTATAATACAACTTGTTGAATGGATGCAAAAAATACTTTAAATTTGATTTCGATATTAATCGTAATTATTGTGTTAACCGCGGGCTATCGAATAGCTTTCATGTTGAATTCTATCGATTATGTCATCGTTTTGAATATTCTTCGCGGTTTATTACTTTACCTATTTAATTTTCTGTCTAAACATAGCTTGGTAATATATTTATAAGTATTTATATGAATTGTTGCTATTTGTGGTAGGCGTAATTACAATTTGTTGAATATATGATAAAATTAATTTGATTGCGATATCACTTGGTAGAGCGGCATTGCAAACATCTGTTGCGGTATCGACTAGTCAACATGAAACCGTGGGCGATATGTTGATGTGTGATGGTAATCGACTATGTCGATGGTCTCTTGTATTTCTAGTTGAATTTTTTTCGCGGACGGTATAACAATAAAAGAAAACAGAAAATTGAACGTCGCACCGCACAAAAATGCAAATGCAAACGTACAAATTGGTGGTCGTTGGTGGCGGCGGCGTTGGAAAATCAGCCATAACGATACAATTCATACAGGTGAGGCGCACGGAAAAGATCTGGTGACGTCGTCGTCGTCTATGCTGCTGTATAAGCAAAACCAACAGTGTTGCGCATTGATGTAAAAACGTGATCTTGAAGTCGCTATGACAGTGATATATAGCGTAGCGCATCACTAAATCCGACAACACGTCAGGAGAGGGGCGCGGCGTAACGTAACAAGTGGGCTGAACCCTTGTTTTGGCAAAAGCAACAAGCGACTTACTTTGTTTGGCGATATATATACATATATGTGCGTGTGTGCTACATAGTTTTAAGCATAGATCAGCGCAGCGAACTCAAGTTGAAATGTATTTTCAAAGAAAAATGGAAACAAAATGGAAAATCGGCATGTTTTAAGGGCGTTGCCCAGTTGAGCGGCCTAAATGGATATTGTGACTGGTATATATCCATATAAATGTGCATGTGTATAGATATGGGTGTGTGTAGAGTGTGTGGAGCTGAGGTCAATCTAACGGGGTGTTCGTCATGGTCACGACCACGGTCTCATTCTTATTTCGTCCGTCGCACCATTCACAAAATGTGGCAATGCGCCTAGCAATATTTATTTTTAGTTATTTGCGTCATCCTCATCTGCCCATGCCACAGCTATTCACATATATACGAGTAGTATATATATGTACCATATGCACACTCACACACACACATAAACATTTGTTTTTATGTATGCCAAGATTTTCATCAACTGAAGTAGCGCATTAAACCGTGTGTAAACAAATCAAAAAGTGCTTCAACAAAAGGTTTTATTCACTGCACAGTGGTTAGAATATGAATTAATTATAAATATGAACTAATTATATTATTATATGAAATTAAATAAAAAAATGAAAAAATTAAAGAAAAAGTAAATACATTTTTATTTAAATATATCTGTCTATTAATATATACTTAAGATCAATGTCAACAGCCAGATCGACCTAGCACTTTTAGGGTATCTTATAGTCGGTCAGTAGCGAGTACGTTCTAATTTATTATATATAACTATTAACTAATTCACAAAACAAAATGATTTATTAGAAGTATAACTCTTCATATCGTATAAATATATAATATATTTATATTATTCATTCATAATCTATTAACGATTAATTAATCTATTTAATTTAACTTACTTTACAGAGCTATTTCGTGACAGACTATGATCCAACCATCGAGGACTCCTATACGAAGCAATGTGTCATTGATGATGTGCCCGCCAAATTGGATAGTGAGTGGAATCGTATATATATATATATATGTTTATATCGGGATATTAATGCTTATCTAATACAACAGTTCTGGATACAGCTGGTCAGGAGGAATTTAGTGCAATGCGTGAACAGTATATGCGTTCCGGCGAGGGTTTCCTGCTCGTGTTCTCGTTGAATGATCATTCCAGCTTCGATGAAATACCCAAATTTCAGCGTCAAATCTTGCGTGTCAAGGATCGTGATGAGTTTCCCATGTTGATGGTGGGCAACAAATGCGATTTGGAACATCAGCGTCACGTCTCGCTGGAGGAGGCACAAAATACCAGCAGAAATCTAATGATACCCTATATTGAATGCAGTGCCAAGCTGCGAGTGAATGTGGATCAGGCGTTTCATGAGCTGGTCCGCATTGTGCGCAAATTTCAAATAGCCGAACGACCCTACATTGAGGAGGGTTTCAAAAAGAAGGGCAAGAAGAAGTGCTGCCTCATGTAAAACTGGGCAATTAAAACGATTCTCCACAAATCAAGAAGAGGAGGAGAAATATGAATGTAACGAGTATAACACCAAAATTTTATAATTAATTAATAACGCGCGTCGACTGAGCTATTTAGAAATTCCGATGACCCAGTAAATTGAAGTAATCCCAGCTACAGCAAAAACCCAACGAAATGCATTTTGTTAACTGCCTGAACATAAAATGAATTGTCTAAAAGCTCATGCTACGCCCACACTCGCCAGTTAAACTAACTCAAAAAAAAAGAAGAAACGAATGCAAAGCTAAGCAAAGCAAACTCAATAAGTCCACAGCACATTTACATAGAAATACTTACATAAATACATGCATGCATACATATATATATATATAAACATTTATAAAACATATACAAACACACACACACTCACACATATATATATTTTTGTAATATTATTTGTTGATCGAATGTGCAACAATTAAGGACAAAGTGTTTTTTATGATTAGAAATTTTTGTGAGAAATTTTGTAATTGAAGCCAAGTTTTTGAATGTTTGTGTTAATTTGTTCGATTAAGCCAAACATTAATGTGTTATTGTAATTTGTATTGTTATTTACTAATAATATATATCTATATATATATACATACATATATATGATTCGATTTTTGTTACGCGTAATCAAAGATTGTGTTGTGTTTAATAACAAATTGAGTGCCTCGTTCTCGTTGCATTTAGTCAGCGCATTGATAACAAAAAATAACAAATAATAAATAAATGCAATTTTTATAATTAACAAAACACATACACAACAAAAATAAAAATGAGAAATGAACAATTTTAATTGTTTCTTGTCATAATTTTAGCATTATATAAATATTTATAAAACGAAAGGAATTTGATAAAACGCACAATACAATAATATTTTGTAAACCTCTATAAAATTCTACTCTATGTTTTTTTATACAAAGTGTGTAACGTTTTTTTATATTATATATACATATATATTCTTTGTTTTACTACTACACTGTTTAATTTAACGATTCTTAAATAATACTATATATATATTTATATATATTTAATACAAAGTATATATGCGCAATTCTAATAAATACATAAAAATCACAAATGCTTCCAAAATGTTCCAATTTTATTCATTTATAAATTCGACTTGTAATATATTAATTATAGATTAGATTAGATTCGTAATAGGCTCTGATGTCGAAAGCTGTTAAACTTTCTAGTTCTAGTTTGGTTTGAGTTTTTTTATCGAAACTTGATCGATTTTTGAATCTGATTCTACTGTTTCATATAGTCAAAATTGTTAGAAAAGTGAAAGCTTTATAAAGATTTTGGGGGTTTATAGTTGCGGTCAGGTTATATATTAGTAGATACAGTAATTCTTATACTCGTTCAAGGGAATATATTTATGAAGGTATCTCATTTAATAGTCGAAACCTCAATCCAAAATGAATAATGTGGCTGCCGTAGATCAACTTTCCCCACATTAAATGTAAATAAATTTATGACAATTAATTCATAAAATTATCTTTACAGTTGTTGCTCTGAAAAAATTATAGATATATTTATATATTATATATTATATATATATTATTCATATATCACTTTAATCTTAAATTTCAACTTCGATTGATTTGTTCTTTAATGACGTCAAAGCTGCTTGGGCAATGATGAGCCGCAGCTGTTGTCTGATGCCAAAGCATCCTTAGAAGTGTCCTTAGTTAATTGAATGGTCTGTGGCAAGTTGGTCTATCGTAGAGCTATAAAAGCAGCTCGCAAGTGGTTCATAGCTCATAGTAGACAAGATGAATTGCAAGAGTGAAGTCCTGATTGCCGCTGTGCTCTTCTTCCTGCTGGCCTGTGTGGAGTGTCAGGTGAGGCTCAGTCGAGCTTAATCCTTAGAGATTTTGGTGTAATAAACTTCTCGTTCCGCAGTTGACATTCTCGCCGGACTGGGGCAAGCGTTCGGTGGGAGGTGCTGGTGGTGCGGGTGGCTTCTTTGAGCCACAGCAGGGCAATTGCAAAACCTCCAACGAAATGCTGCTCGAAATCTTTCGCTTCGTTCAATCGCAGGCGCAACTATTTCTCGACTGCAAGCATCGGGAATAGACCAACGAGGACCGCGACTGGACAACACTGAGAAATGCTAATTATATTCTATACTCCACTATATATATTTAGTTCGATGTTCGATGTATGCATGTTGTATGTACGAGTACACGAGGTAGTCGTAGTCGGCATTTAGATTTAGAGCATTTTTTCCGTTTCGTCTCTCTCAATGTTAACTAAATATTTTAGCCTAACTGTGCCTAACTGAAAAGCCAAAAACTCAATAAATAAGCGCATCCGAACATATATGTTTTATAAATTATTCCTCTGCATATATGCATGTCTATATGTAAACATATAAAGGTATATATGTGTATATATAAATGCATCATATCACTTGGTGCTGTGGAGATGTTGTGCTAGAGTAAACATCGTCTCATCGCCAATGCATGGCATGTAAATGTAAAGTATTATGTTATTTAGTTAGTGCTCTACTCGGCGATTCTCACAAATTCAAGTAGGTCGAGAATGTTTTCAGGCTGATATGTTTTTTTTCAAGTGTAGTGTAAAGAAAATTATGTATAGAAATGTGTATGTATGCAAGTGTGAAAGTATGTGATGTATGTATATAAATATTGTATGTATTATATGTATGTATGTATGTATGTATGTATGTATGTATGTATGTATGTATGTATGTATGTATGTATGTATGTATGTATGTATGTATCTATGTATGTATGTATGTATGTATGTATGTATGTATGTATGTATGTATGTATGTATGTATGTATGTATGTATGTATGTATGTATGTATGTATGTATGTATGTATGTATGTATGTATGTTGTATGTATGTATGTATGTATGTATGTATGTATGTATGTACGTACGTATGTACGTATGTACGTATGTACTCTGTAATTTTGTTTACCTAAATTGATGATGCTCTCCTCTGCGATTCTCAAAAATTCAAGTAGGCTGACAGGTTTTCATGCTGAGATCGGTAGTGTTGGAGTACTGAGGAAGAGGAGGAGTTGGTGAATCTGGAGGAGTTGGCAGAGCAGGAGGAGTAAGCGTTGCGAGACCCGGAATAGGAGCAGCTGTTAGAGGATTAAGAGGGGTAGGCAGAGCAGGAGGAGTAGGCAGAGCAGGAGGAGTAGGCAGAGCAGGAGGAATAGGCAGAGCAGGAGGAGTAGGCAGAGCAAGAGGAGTAGGCAGAGCAAGAGGAGTAGGCAGAGCAGGAGGAGTAGGCAGAGCAGAAGGAGTAGGCAGATCAAGAGGAGAATTAGGTGTAGGAGGAGTAAGCAAGGCAAGGGGAGTAGGCAGAGCAGGAGATAGTAAGAGCAGAGCAGGAGGAAGAGTGAGCAGAGCTGCATGTGTATATTGTGTGAGTGAATGAATGAGCATAAACAGTTACGTACGTATGTATGTACATTTATACACATACATGTGCATGCATGAGAACGCTCTTACACCTACATATGCGTAATTGCAGCTATGTATATTCTCTTATAGCAAGCAAACTTAATTCCTTATGTTCACGCTCCACTCTGCGATGCAATGGAGTTGTTTTACCTTGGTAAAGGCCACAGTTGCTCCTTTGCATACATTCATCATCAATCAATCAGTCAATCAAAGCATCAATGCTGAGCTGATATGCTCTATGCATAAAACTAGATATGGTTAGTTGGACCTTGATGGGAGTTCAACAGGTGCTTTACCTTTTCAAGTTCAACTGAACTATCATCACACATATTTTTTTATTGTTGTCGAATTTTAATCAAATGATTAGATTTAATTTCGAAAATTGCATCAATTAAACCGTCATAAATCGAAATAATTGTTGAACTTTTTTTATTTATTTTGATTTCCATTTCTCTTTTAAGTTCGGAGTCGTCCCAGCGCCCACAGTTCAGTGCATTTCTGTAGTTCGCTTAAAGGGGAACGTGTCGAAGTCAAGAGCGATGGGAAAACTATATAAACTATATAGCTGGCGCACAGTAGTTGGGATATGTCTTGTCTGGCTGTTCGACTTGGTGAACTGTAAGTTTCTTCTGTTTTTGTTTTTTTTGGAAGTGATTTAAATATTTGCGATTGCGATCGTGACAAATGCATAAACAAATCTGTGCCTTAATTTAATAACGCCCCGAATTTATTTTGTTCGGAAATTTGTGTCATGTAAACAGCAGTTAACATGATCGCTCATAGCTGCCGACCTAATCGGATGTCAAGCGCCAGTGGCCCAGTTATTTTAATTTTCTGCTACCAAAAAGTTAACAAAGCATGGCAGAAGTGGGTGGTGTGGGGGAAGTGGGCAACGGGGCAAGGGGAGGGGTGAAGTGTGAGGCAGTGACATCGGCTGCATGCAGGAAAATCTGTACAGGCTCGGTTCAGGCAGCAAAACTGAGAGCTCGAAAGTCTTTTGTATATATTAGCTTATTCATAGTCTGATCGATTCACTTTGGACTACTGAAATTTTCAATTGGGCTTTCGTGCGTGGCCCGAACCTTTGGCCAACCATTGAACCGGCCCTGTGTGCTGCGCTTCCGTTCTGTAAAAAGTCAAGCGAAAAGTCCACAAAACGTTTGAATTAAATGAAATTTGAAATAATTTGTTGCAATGCAATTTAAATGGATTCAGTTGTTGGCCTGAAAAATTGACTTTTGGCCAGCTTTGGAGCAGTTGGCTGTTAGCACTTGGGGCAGCTGCACGAATCGAATCGACCCGAATCGCATTGCATCCTTGGGCCATGCTGCTGGACGAGTTCTGTGTGAAGGTCTACTTTTGGCCATTTCTCTCCTATTTGGCCAGCATCAAGGGCTGGTGTCCGGCGTATCCCACAGGTTATTATACGGTCTACCCGTTGCCAGTGCCGCCAGTTCAAGTGCCATTAACGCCCACATCCACGTCCAATGCAGTGTATCCAACGTATCAGCCAACGCCGCCTTTGCCTCCAATTACAACGACAACCACAACCAGCTCCACCAGCAGCAGCAGCACCAGCACCACCTCCACCACTACGAGCAGCACCACAACAACCACAGCGGGCGTGACCACAACAACCACAGCTGAAACCACATTGCCCGCAACGACTTGTCCTTCTGCGCCTCTCGTGTGCCTGCCTGGCGGAATGCCACCGTTGCCCAATTGTCCCTGCATCGACCCTCGACAACAGCAGCAGTTGGCTTCGACTATGCCTATGGGTTCGGATATGATGGTCTTTATGCCGCTTAATCCGAGTCGACATCGTCGTCGTCGACGCATCAAATTCCACTAGTTACACAATCGAGCCTAGAACCCCGAGCCTCCTCCCCTCCCCTCCCCTAGTTGTAGTTGTTTGCGCAATAAAAAAAATTATATTCCAAACCAATCGCTGCACTTGCACCCAACCCAAATCCAAAATTGTACCATGAGCTCCATCTGATATTCGTTTTAGCTCAGCTCCAGGTTCCAGAGAGCTGTTACGATGCACGCGCTCGCTCTGGCAGCTGCGTCCCTCTCACTAGCTGCTCTCATCTCGTCCAGGAGTATCAAACAGGCACAGCCGATCAGGAATTTCAGACGTTTCTCGGACAGTCTATTTGCGGGTTTGATGGCGCCAGCTTTTTGGTAAATCCTCCTCCACAGAGTCCATCTCTTCGACGGCTACTAAAGAGCTAAGGCTGCTTTTGCAGGTTTGTTGTGCCACGACTCGTGCGCCCCTTGTCAGTCGTCATCCCAAGCAGTTTTTGCCATCTGCCGGTTTCTCTTTCTCCTCGCTGAGTGGCCCGACCACGGCTTCGCCTCCGCCTATTAGTGTCTTTCAGCCCACGCCCCCTGTCAATCAAGGTAGTGTGTTGCGTCCGACTCCAGTGCCCAACACTGCACCAGCTACGACTACTGTGCCTTTGCCTGTCTTCCCCTCGCAGCCAGGTGGCGCGAGCAGCTCTAACGGCTGTGGCATAGGTGGCGCTACCACAAATCGTGTCGTTGGTGGCCTGCCCGTTCGCAAAGGTAAGCAATAGCTCAACTAACTTATTCCCTCATAGCTAATTTTCTCGTCGACCAGGTGCCTATCCTTGGATGGCTGCCTTGGGCTACTTTAAGGATAGCAATCGCAATACCTTGGATTTTCTGTGCGCCGGCAGTTTGATCAGTTCACAGTTTGTTGTGACCTCGGCACATTGCATCAACTCCATGCTGACGCTGGTTCGTCTGGGTGCACGCGATCTGTCCAACACAAATGAGCCGGGTGTGGTCGATTACCGCATCCGACGCACTGTGCTGCATCCGCAATTCGATTTGTCTGCCATTGCGAATGATATTGCCTTGATAGAGCTGAATGGCGAGGCGCCATCTAACGGTAAGTAGCGGCGAAAAGTGGTAAAGCATTTTATAGCTCTTTCACCCTCTCCGAAAATCCTTCACCTCAGCAAAAGTCTTATAATTTCTTTCTTATAATTCGTTCAATTCCATTCTGAAGATTGTGGCGCCATCTAGCGTTGAGTGGTGACCGCATGAGTGGCACAATGACCTCGGCAGCTTATAGTATGCGCTGTTTAATTAACATATTAGAGTCTATAGGCTTTGTGCTGTGTTTGTTCATCTATCTGTCTGCCTGACTCTCATTTTATCTGTTTGTATTTTTTTCTGTGACTCTCTTCGCTCTTACTGCCTTTCTTTAATGAGAACGATTTTATATTTTATACCTTATATTTATCATATATATATAGTCGTGTATAGTCATTTCTAGTCGTGTTTAACTTTTTTTATTTTTCTTCACTTTTAAAATATTTCTTTTAATTTTTCCAGCTGACATTCGGCCCATTTGTCTGCCAGACTCAAGCCGGTTTCTGCTTGAGGATCAGTTCGTGGGCATGAATCCGTTTGTGGCCGGCTATGGGGCAACGAAGCATCAGGGCGCCGCCTCCTATGTGCTGCGAGATGCCCAGGTGCCGATCATATCACGGCGGACCTGTGAGCAGAGCTACAAATCTGTCTTTCAGTTTGTTCAGTTCAGCGACAAGGTAAACCACATTGAATGGGGAATGCCGTCAAAATGAAAGTTTTTAATGCCCTTGCAGAGGGCAATCGATGCTATAATATACTTAATTTAGTTAGCTATTTCAATTCTGTTCCACCCATATATACCCAACTGATAGGGTCCCTTCTATACTTCATATAGATCCTGCTCATCATTCCGATCTCTTCTCTCTCTTGCAGCTAATTTGCGCTGGCAGCTCCACTGTCGATGCCTGTCAGGGGGATTCCGGTGGACCATTAATGCTGCCGCAGGTCAGTTACACAGTGCTCAGGCTGACTCATCAATGAACCAGTTTTATATTTTTGTTTTGATCTTGATTGAGCCACCAAATCAGCCACGAATCCCCCAAGGTGATTGAGTTTGTTGCCATCTTGCGGGGAGAACTCACACGACAGCCAAATTCCAAAAGCCAAACAATCATATCTTTTCACTCACACAGCTCTTAACTTTATGATCACGCTATATGCTATATAATATATATATATATATATGTTTTTATTATCTTAGCTGGATGGCAGCATCTATCGCTACTACTTGCTGGGCATTGTTTCCTTTGGCTACGAGTGCGCCAAGCCCGGTTTCCCCGGCGTCTACACGAGAACCAGCAGCTACATGAATTGGATACAGCAAATACTTGGTGGCGCTTCGAGGGGCAGAAGGCGATGATTTGTTACTGCTGCGTATAATATTTGATTACCAATATTTTAAGTAAATGAAAGAAACAATAAAAATTTATGAAAGCATCAATCAATCAATATTCAAGTAATGTGTAAGATATAGAAATTATAATATGTTAACTATGAATATTTTTTGTATTGCTTTATGTAATTGTTAAGCTTTTCTTTTATTTTTGTTATTTATTAAAAAAATGTTTACATAATTATACTTTATTAATAAAAAAAATATAAAAGGATCCTTGTAAAAGACTCCAGGAGCAGACTCTCTTAAGAGAAGCCTGGACATAGTCTTAAGATTCCCATGTTCGTTGTATAAGACTATAGCTTAAGCAATACATATATATAATATATATATTATATATACAGTATGCTTTTCTATGAACCTATCAGACTGGCTGTGAATCTATATAAATCTCAGTAGACTTAACTCTATACCTTGCCTTCAAAGCTATCTATTCTATTCGATCATTCTGCTTATCTCAAAGTTATGTGGATGTATAGGGGACCTAAATAAATATGCTGATACTTTATGACGGCGTATATGAATTTCTAATGAGCAGCGGCTGAGTTAAACCAGTCTCAAGATAACAGAAAAAACCTACGATACTGAATGGTCTGCCAGCTGGCATAGGCGAGTGTCCTGTGCAGGACGATCTCTTATCTTTAGTGGAGACTCTTAATGCGATGGTCAGAGTATGTGCGATATGATGTTTGATGTTTGCTCGTAACAAAAAAGACAAACATATCAGATATCATCTGTCATCATCATAACACAAATAGTCTAAATAGAGAACATGGGCAATTTGTTTAATATATAATTATTTCAAATGCCAATTTTCCCTATTTTTTGATGTATTCTATATATAGAAAATCTTTACACTGCAATTACTTCCACACAACACTTCAAAAAAGTACCTGAAATAAACGAAATTGATTTATTTTTCTTAATTTCCTTTCCGTATTAAAACTAAACTTACATTAATAAACATGCGAGCATTACAAATTGGGTATTTCCAGAATGCAATACTCATGAAGATGAGCTTGATTTGTGAGTTTATAAATATAACGGCATGTTGCGTGTGTGTTTTCTCCTCCCCTCTCTCTCTATTTCAGCTTGAACTAAGTGTTACAAGCCAAAAAGCCAAGAAAAGTCTAAAGAGAGCTTGTCCAATTATGCAGTTGAGTTGGATTTCTTATGTCACATAAACTATGTTCAAGCCGGAACTGGTCAGCAGGAGTTGCTATCTGAATTTCCCACCTTCTGGCACCATTGCGACATTCTACAAAAATTCAACTTCAGCTTCGACTTACTCATCGACATTGAGCCTATATATAATATGATGTTCTATGATAACCGATTGCATTCTATGCATAACAATTGGCTTACGACTGCTCGGCATTCCGAGCAGATTCCAGTCCAATGCACGCAACAACACTGCGAGAATCATCGAGTATGGTTAGTATAAAATTTATGCTATTTTTATTTTGATTATATTTTATTCTTAACATAAACGTAAACAAAAATGAATCATATTCATATATATATATATATATATATATATATATATATCATATTGATGCCATTAAACTAGTCATATAAAAAGATTTTCTAATTAAACTATAATTCTAAGCAAGCTAAATAATATTAACTATTAATCAAATAATAATCAAATATATATAACAGAAATTGATTAACTCTGTAAACTTGTGTTAAGAATTGTTTTTTTATGCACATCTGAAATTGTGTAATCTCTTAAATTTCCTCTGCCTTGCGCTCGTCAACATTGAAAATTTCTCTCAGTGCAGTGACTATGTCATCGGTTAGATGCAATGCAAGTCGCAAACTAAATCGTAATCTCGCTCTCTTAATCCGCCTGTGCTTCACACAACGAATGCATACAAAAATATCTCAGTTCTTATCATCGTCGATCGTCGCTTGTCGCTCGTCGATCAGAGATCTCGGGGATGAAAACTAGCTGGCGATGCTTCGTCTATTGATTAATAAATAGTTTTTACTTAATAAATTCTGCACGAACTGACAGTTAACAATTAGTCTGTCAGCTAACAGCTTCATTAGGCGACTTAGGCTAAATCCGTTTAAATAATTTAGCTAATCAATTGCAATTAAAACATTGATCCAGTACTGATCAAGCATTTATGTGCTAAGCAAACCTCGCTTTGACTCACTTTCAATTCCTAAAACTCGACAATGACAAACGCCAAACGCCAAACGCCAAATAGACGCCTAGTTGACAACATTCTCTTTCTTCTCGTTCTCTCTTTCTCTCTCTGTCTCTTCACACGTCCATCACATATTTTCAGCAAATATCTATAAAGCATAAGTCTAATTGTATACCCTAACAGAGATACCCATCCATAGATAGCATTGTATTATTTGTGATCAGCTGCAATGAGGCTTGGCAGACTGCAAATACCCGTTCCACATTGTTTATAGATACATCTATAAAGGAACTCAACAACTTCAAAACTTTGTGATTCCCGCTTTTAAAAGGCGAAAGATCAATAGAAAATGTAAAGTAAAATATAAAATATAAAAATAAAATGTTAGCTCTCAAAGTATAGTTCGACGACTTTCTACCTATAAAGACTTCAGATTATATCTCTACACTCTCTTCGCTTTGTCAGTACATATAAAAATATCTCGGCGACTAGCACCAATTGTTTAATTATATAGCTATTCTCACAGAGCTTATATAAATAACTATTCGCATGTCATATTTGAATTCGCGTTATTTATATAGTTGTTCTTCAAGCACTTTTATGGGACTATTCTGGAAGTCTTAGAGACTTGCAGCTTACATAAATCTTAACTCAAATCTGTATTAAAAACTTTCCATATTGCAAAATAAATATCGATGACAAATTTTAATCACACTACGGCAACCGTTGAAGATCAGCAGTGTTAATTATATAATAATATTTATATGTATTATATCGATAACTATCAGATCGATAACATCCAGGTATATATGCATGCAGAATTGAATATTGTTTTAAATTAAACAAATTACAAAATTATTAATTGAATCAATATTAAAGAAATCGATAAATATCGATAAACATAGTGAAGAACATTAGTAGGTTTTGAATGAGTCTTGAAAACTTTTCAGACTTTTATTGTTATGTGGTATGTATCTGCCAACAGGGTATCTAACTAGTCGGTCAACTTGAACCTGTTTTCTTAATAATTACTTTGATTACCCTGGTACCAACAGTTATTATAATTTCTATACTATATAGGGTATTTTGTATTCAGCTATACTCAGCGACTTGCATTGAGAGTGCATGGCATTTAGCACTAGATTTTATGCAAATTATTCATAAATATATATGTATATATGGGCAATTAGAACATATAGGATATAATTGCAGCTGGAACACGATATTATGGTATATATTATAGTTAGCTATTATAGTCAGATTCAATGCAGTTCAGTTCGGCTCACAATTTATGCATTCTAGCCAAAGGATTTGTCATCTGTCTCATTTAGTTGGGAAATTGCATAAAATTACAGTTGATTTTGGTGATTTTTTTAGTGCTGAGATTTTTAATTGATATACTACATAGTCGATGAGATTAGCGCTCTCGATGCTCTGCCATTGAGAACAAAAACGCGCTCGCTGCATATATAAAAACCCAGCTCGGCTTTCGAACGCCGAATCGTTGATCGCTGACCGCGCACGCAAACGCGTTGTCCAAAACCAAATTCGAGTCAGAAAAAAACGCCAGTATAATAATAATAACTATAAAGAAGCTTGGCAGCCGGTCCGAAAGACACGCTCAGTCTCAGTCTGATAACGTACGTCGAGTCGTGCACGTCGCGAGTGCGCAACGCGAAATTGGATACGATTTTCTATAGATAATATCTAGCTATCAATCTATAAAGCTGCGACAAAATGAAGCTAGTGCTGTGTATTGTGTTAATGCTTGGCTGCCTGGCCACGCCCACGCCCGCCCAGTTCAATCGCCGACAAGGTACAGAATCTCGCTCTCACATTTCCACTTAACCTTAAGCAGAGAAACTTCTAATACTAACTAAACAAAAACAAAATTAACAAGTTGTTTATGATTGCGAGGCTAAACCCGTTCCATTAACAGCGACGCAACTATAAAATAATAAATTTATTTATATATATATATTTATTGATTTTAAGGGAATTACAATTTTGAGTTGCTTAAGTGACAAAGTTCGGCTTTTGTTTTTGCTGCTCGATTTCTGCGCACAAAATCTGCTTTTGCTTGAAACTGGTTCGATATAAACTTAGCTCCATTTTATTTATGTAAAAATTATATATTTTTAAGGCTATATTCTACGCTTCATTTAGCACTGTTTGTTTTGTCAAATTTCTGCACTAAATGTTTTTTTATATATTTGTATTTCAATTGAAACTCATTCAAATTTAAGGTAGCTATGTCTGTATGTAAATATAATATTTTTTTAAGTATGCTAATAATAATATGCTAAATAATATTTAAAAAGATTCATTTCATATTCCTTTCTCACTGATTACTATCGAATAACAATGTTTTGTCAAGTTCGTTGCCTAAGTCTTTTGTTTTCGCTGTTATATTTCGGCGTAAAATAAATTATTTTTAATTGAGACTTGTTCGAAATTAGCTCTACAGATATATAAATTGATATATATATATATAAATTTATATATATATATACTAAAATGTATTATAAATGCTTTTTTTTTTGGTATTACGCTTCAGGTTCAGTCCGTAAACCAGTCAGTGTCACTGTCACTGTCATTGCAAGCTAGCTCCAAGGTCAGCTGAGCGCCGCTGTATGCCAGTCGCCGTTTCCTTACAGCTTTTATTATTATTTATTTTGAAATTTTTGGCAATTATGCAGATGTGTTTAGGCATTGCGAGCACGTTTTACCGGATGCCTAATGGCAGCAAAGAGAGAGTTTAAAGAATTTTAAGTATTTCAAGCACATCTCTATAAGATTGCATTAAAGTAGTGTTTTTTTTTTCAGAAGTATGTCACGAGCCCATAAAGTACCACATAGATATAGATATATATACATACATTAATCATCGAGATCAATCATTCTAGATTGATCACCCTCACTGATCTTCTTGTATGCATTTAACTAACTGTTTGTATGTAAGCTAATCTCTCAGCTATAAATGAATTCCGTAACTCGCTGTCATAACAATCATAACTCAAAAATAAAACGAGATTTCTCAACGTTCGATTGCTTGAAGTACTTTGATGATGTATTCCATATATATGCAAATCCTATTCACGGAGTTCATTTAGTATGGAAATTAAGTTCAAACAAATGACTATCTTTAATATATATATATATGTATTTAGATATATCATTCACATTCAATTTTAATGCTTACCATATCAAGTCTCTAATCTGTGTCTCGCTTTTTGGTCCATTTTTAGTTCGACAAAACTGCATAACGCCCGAGAACTATTATGGTAGATGTGTGGCGCTTAGTTATTGTCCCCAGGTGGTGAATGTCTTCCAGCAGACCGATAGAAACACTGCCGAGAATTATATTTTTCGACTGCAGCGCAGCTGTGGCACACGCAGCGTTAATGGCGATCCATTGGTAGAGTTGATCTTTCTTCCGTTTTTCCGAATTCCATATGCTTAAACTCCTATCTGCTATTTGCTATTTGCCATTTGCTTTCGATGTAGGTGTGCTGCACTCGGCCAATTACTAACCCGGTTACAGAACCACCTGTGGATTTTTTCACGCCCACAGAGGATGAGTTTGTGCAGATACAGTTGTCAACGACAACGCCTGCACCGGATAACAATCCCTTCCTGTTTCCCGTGACCCGAACAACAACAACAACTCCACGTCCGACGACAATAAGGACAACCACTACGCCAGCTACATCTGGTTCGCTTATTGAGCCGCGTGGACCCACTTGTCGCTTTCCACCTGGCAAGGTTGGTGAATGTGTTGGTGAGTACTCAGTGTAGCGAGATCAAAATTAAAAAGGCTTTCTTCTACATATCGTTAATTTATTTGTAGAAATCAGAAGCTGTGAGCCCGTTCTCAACGAGCTTAGGGCTAGGCAAAGCGATGCCGATTTTGCCAATCAATTGCGGGCCTCGAATTTGGTATGCGGTAGTGTTGGGACCCAGGTCTGCTGTCCCACTGGCCAGACGGTGCCCTCTCCAACAACATCCCGGCCGCCCGTCAATTTGAATGAGGTGCCACGTCGTCTGCCCACCGTGGCGGAGGGCTGCGGCTCAACACCCAAGGCATCGGCCTTCAAGAAGGTTGTCGGCGGCGAGCCGGCCAAGCAGGGCTCATGGCCCTGGATCGCTCTGCTTGGCTACGACGATGGCTCCTCGAGGCCATTCAAGTGTGGCGGCTCCTTAATCACAGCCAGACATGTGGTCACAGCAGCCCATTGCATTCGAGAAGATTTGTAAGTGGATCGAATTGTTCGAAAGAAATTCTCAAATTGAAAACATTTTTCCGTTTAGAACATTTGTGCGTTTGGGCGAGCATGATTTGCGAACGGACACGGAGGCGCGTCATGTGGACATCAAAATTGCTAGGGTAGGTATAAATATACAAATACAAGACTCTGAGAGCTAAAGGGTTGCTCAGAATCTTCTATCTACGTATCGAGTTATCTAGAGAACTAAAGTCGAACATGTTAATTTGCAGATTTTCTTACACTTTCTTTTGCTTTTCTCCATTGACAGAAAGTGAGCTATCCGCAGTATATTAGGCGCATTCAACGTGGAGATATCGCGTTAATCTACTTGGAGCGAAACGTAGAGTTTACGGATACGATATTGCCTATCTGTATGCCCAGCAGCCCAGCTCTGCGCTCCAAGTCCTATGTGCAAACGAATCCCTTTGTCGTCGGCTGGGGCAAGACACAGGAGGGTGGCCAGTCCGCTGAAGTCCTAATGCAATTGATGATACCCGTGCTCACAAATCAGGAGTGTCGCGAGAAGTATGCGAAAGTGGGTCGTTATCTGGCGCAGGAACAATTTGACGAGGCAGTGCTTTGTGCGGGCCACTTGGGTGGCGGTAAGGATACCTGTCAAGGTGATTCCGGGGGACCTCTAATGACATCCGAGGTGGTCGATGGACAGATGCGCTTCTATCTGATTGGCGTGGTGTCCTATGGAGTGGGCTGTGCACGCGCCGAGATACCTGGAGTCTACACGAGTACACAGTACTTCATGGATTGGATAATCGAGCAGCTGTTGGATACGCCTTAAGAGAATTTAACTAACCAACTACTTGTATAATAATAATAATAATAATAATAATAATAGTAATGATGATAACTAATCATGGCTGAAGCGCTTTTAGCGAAACTCTCGTCTATTGACATTGGACTTTGTTCTCATGACCTAATCCTGAACGTGCCTTAGAGCCAGAGACTTATGCAAATAGCCTCATCAATCATGCGTCTAATGAACGTCTTGGTCAGGCAGCGACCGTGATCTAAGTCCTTTTTCTCTTCTGTGGTGGTTGGGACATGTGTTAAAAGGGTTGCGAAGGGTCTTCAGACCTAGACATGAACTGCATTCTAATTGTGAGCAGGCAGGATTTGAATACATTTGAAAGTCTAGGCAGATCTTCAGAGCATTTGGCGCCATCTCAAAACGTTGCCCACAATGAAAACCCCAAAATCCGAAACCACCTTTTGGCACGCTTCAACTAACCCTCACTGCTCGCAGTGCTCTCTAATCAGATCAGATGCCAGCACCAAGACGCAGGCTGTTCACCCGCGCATTTGTGGTCACATGTCTATTGTCTGTAAAGGAGTTATCCTTTTGTCTATTGCCTTGCCTTGTGATTCAAAGCGCAGCTGCTGTTTCAATTCTACTTTCTCTACTTCACGCTCTGCTGAGCCAACACAACTCGCTTTGCATTCGCAATTAAGCCAGCATCACAACATTCAATGATCTTCACTGTTAACCAAGATCATTTATCAATAAATTTGCATATGAAAATTTGCATGCGCAAGCCGATTTGCGAATACCCCTAACACAAGGGTGTTAATATCATCATTAGCTCTGATATCTTTATTGACAGCTCGTTGCGAAAAACAGGGCAGCGCAGGGCTGGGATTAAGGCATTGAGGGTTTGTCTTTGCCAAAACAAAAAAGAAAAAAAAAAAGACATCAACAGTCAAGAGGTGTACAAAAGGATAAAACCCACAATTCGCAAATATAAACACAATTTGCCAGGCCACAATTCCCATTGATTTCGGCGCTAGGGGTTAATTCTCACACGATCCATTTCAGCTGAGCTGATCAATTGCCAAGAATTTGTGATCTGGGTAACATTGAAATGTGGGCGCATCAAATGCGATTTTGATAGGATTTTCAACTAATTTAGAGAAAGGGAATTGTATACCCTAAATAAGAGGCGATTAGCTTATACATCATTTACTATATGTATATGTGATCAAAAGGATTGTTAATTCAATTTCAATTACAATACATTAAAATGTTGTATTCTAGCTCCAAAAATTTTTAATTGAAATAAGTTATTTATTATAACAGTGAAAAGATGTTTGAATAAGTAAAAATTTTAGACATGATTTATATATATATAGCTTCAATTTTTGTCATATGGACTCAGTCTGAGTTTCAGTAAGTTTCATTCAAATTGAGCAACAAAACAAAGCGTCTGTATAAGGACTGTTCTCTATACACTTGTGCATATGTACGAGGGCTGTTTAAAAAGTAATTCACAGTTTTTGATATTTTGGCTCCATCAAAGTAAATACATTTCAGATATAGTACAACTGGGCCAATTCCAATTCTCCAAGCTCTGCAAAAAATCTCTTGTGTGATCTTCTTCTGCAGCCTTAGCTGCTGCCTTCAATGGAAAGATACTCGTTTAATGGGCTTATTCAGTTTCGCGAATGACCTAAAGTCACAATGGGACAGGTCTGAGTAATACGTTGGATGCTGCGGAATCTTTTGCCCAAATGGTGATACAGAATTGTGATGGAATAGGGAAAAATTGAAGACGAACCAAAGCACGTTATACATGCCACATTCGGAAGACTTTTTGGAACAGATCTCACATATGTATACCAAGTTTTCTCAGCATAAATTTCAGGCAAATCGAAAGCTAAACTTGAAACTTATTCAAAATCTAACCAAGGAAAGTAAAAGGCAAAATATTTAGTGAAGCTCAGTACCGGGTGCATTCTAGTCGGATATGCACGACCTAAGCACTCTCGTTTGTATTTATTACAAAATAGTTTAGATCACAGGATGTACAAGCTAATTATTGGCTTAATTATTAGGATTTAGGTCTAACAAATTGAATTTAATTAAATTGCACTGAAAATATTTCTAATTTTATATCAAATATATTTATATATAAATAGTTGACGAATCCTAAATTTCTGGTGAGGCAACATTTCGCTTGAGCACCTCATTCAGTGTGGGGCTGAGTGCCAGGGCGGGATTCGCCACTGCAATGATATTATCACCCGCCGCTGAGATGACCTGGACGCCGGCAGCTGTCAGATCCACAGTTTCGCCCAGGCCGAGGCTTTCGTTCGGCTTTGCACAGCACGCGTCCAGCGAGGAGACGGGCGATCTTTCACTTTCCAGACCATTGCCCTATGAAAAACAGACAAAGCATTACTTCAGATATATTTTGAGCTAGCCAGCTGATGGGACGGGACGTTTGGACGCTCCACAACACATACTCACTGGCAGTGGCGGCGAGCTGGAGTTGCTAAAGGAGAAGCGCGAATCGTTGTCCTCAAAGTCGGCCGATTTGCCCAATCTAAAGTATATGACAAGGGCATTAGTCAGTTATTAGTTATTTGATAATTGGTTTAAGCTTACGAGAATTTGGCTATTTCCGTCAAATCGAACGGCGGCTTGGCAAACTTTTGGTACATCGCAAACAGATTGTAACGCGAATCCTCCACAGCCTCCTTTTAGTTGGTATTTTTTGATGTTCAAAAATATTGTTGATTAAAAACTTCGAGAAACTTTATTAAAGCTGTGCTCGACAGAGCAGCGCAGTAAGCAAGGCGAGGAATACACGAGTTGTTCGTTTGGGTTTTCAAAAAGCGATCGAAATTTATTTATTGGCTCAACGAAAGGTACACCACATATTGCAGAAGTCAGAAAATAAATATATATATAACAGCAGAGGCTACACACTATGTAAACGAAACTAGAGCTAAGTAGGCTAGCAGTGAGTCAACAATGTGCTTGGGTTTCCTATAACAGATTGAGGTTAGATTTTTTAAGTTGAAAGATGTATGCGATAGGTGAGGTTAGGTTAAATAAGATTTGATTGGGTATCGATTAGTTTAGATTGAATTGGGTTTACAACAAATATGGAGAGATAAGTTTGGGATAGGTAGTGCTATGTGATGTTACTAAGGGTCTACAGATTAATTCAAGTTATATTTAATAGTTAAGTAAACTAGTAAATTTGGAAGAAGGGACTGCAGTGAGGTTATGTTGAGTTTAACTAACAGTTTCTACAAATATAGTTGAATAACAAACAAAGTAATACTGTATAATAATATATATATATATGTATAACAACAAGTAGACCAATAAAAAATATAACAAGAGAGAAGAATGAAGAAGATGAACGAAAGATAGAGAATTTCGTAGCTTAAAGATAGGTAGAAGAAAATGTCTGTGAAAGAGTTAATTTTGGAACGATATATAGATATAGAAAGATAGATAGATAGATGGATAGCAAGATAGACATATTGATAGATAGATATGCAAATATATAGATAGGTAGGTAGATATAATGATAGATAGATAGATAGATAGATAGATAGATAGATAGATAGATAGATAGATAGATAGATAGATAGATAGATAGATAGATAGATAGATAGATAGATAGATAGATAGATAGATAGATAGATGGATAGATAGATAGATAGATAGACAGATAGATAGATAGATAGATGGATAGAAAGATAGATAAATAGATGGATATATATATGGATAGATGATGATGATGATATATAGATATAGAAAGATATATAGATAGATGGATAGCAAGATAGATATATTGATAGATAGATATGCAAATAGATAGATAGATAGATAGATAGATAGATAGATAGATAGATAGATAGATAGATAGATAGATAGATGGATATATATATGGATAGATGATGATGATATATAGATATAGAAAGATAGATAGATAGATGGATAGCAAGATAGATATATTGATAGATAGATATGCAAATAGATAGATAGGTAGGTAGATATAATGATAGATAGATAGATAGATAGATAGATAGATAGATAGATAGAAAGATATATAGATAGATAGATAGATAGATATATAGATAGATAGATAGATAGGTAGATATATAGATATAGATTGATAGACAGATACATAGATGGATGAATATATAGATAGATTCATATATAGATACATACATAGATAGCTAAATAGATGTGAATATTTGATGACTAATATCCGAACGCTTAAACACAAGTATGAATAGGAACAGTTAGACAGACAAACAACTATGTTAATATGATACAGATATACTTATATACCAGAGCATAAATCAATCTCTAATCTATTTTTTTAACTTTTCCAAATCTTAAGTTAGGTAATTTTTCAAACTACTTTAGTATACAGACTTAATGTATACTAAAACATCTATGAAATACTTATGCAAATAAGACTAGACTAGACTAGACAGTTAGAGCAATACCAAAGACTACAAATTATAAGCAAGTTCTCTATACATATGCCTAAATATATATATAAATTCATATACAGTAAAGTAGCCAGATATTCTGAAAAGAACCTCTAGCCAGACGTTAGTAAATCGAGTGATCTTTCGATCGCACCACAAGCTGCAAAGCAAAATGTTGGGTTAACTTTGTGGAAGCTGAAGCTGAAGCTGAAGCACTGCACCAGATAATCTAGACCACAGGTTAAGGCTCAATGGATTCGGTCTTCCTTACCCGATTCAGTTCGATGGGCAGCTGAGCAGCCTCTGTAGAGGAGAGACGCTGCCTCTTAATGCTGGGCAGCATGGCACCAGCAGCTGAAGCTGATGCAGATGCCGAGGCAGCAGTCATTGCATCGCTGGACTCGCAATCCAGATCGATGCCCGTACGCTGCAGCGCCTGGCTGGGCAGCTGGGTGAGCAGACCGCCATAGCGAGCTATGCTGGCCGAATGGCCAAAGCCCGCGTCCTTGACAATCTGACGAGCTAGTGGAAAGAGCTCATCACGCCGCGTGAGCAGCCAAATGGTTTGAGGATTACGACAGAGCTGCGCCGCCGCCTCGTTCACACAGACCTCGTGCAGTGTGAGCGGCTTCTCTGGACGTCGCTTGCAATCGAATCTACCATAGATAGCCGAATACTTACGTATCTCATCCATGCGCCTCGGATCGTGCTCCGCCATGGCAATCACCTGCTCCAGCTCGCGGGTGGTGCGCTTCTTGGAGGTCTGCGCACGCGGCTCCCGTTGCGGCAGCTGTCGTGCAATCTTCTCGGCGCACATCGTAATGCGTTGCACCTGCAGCTCGGTGAGCACAGGTGTTAGCTGTGGCGAGCTGGACGACACCTGATGTGCCCCAGCCACACAGCTGCCCACGTTGCTGACCACCAAAGGCGTCGTTGTTGGACTCTGCAGCACTGGCAAAGCGGGGCAGATGACAGGCGCACTGATCTGCGCCAGAAGCTGAGCACTGGCAGCCGAAGTCGGAGCAACTGAAGCAGCAGCAGCAGCAGCAGCAGCAGCAACAGGAGCTGCGGGCTGAAAGGATGCGTACTTATGGCGTGGCAACGCAGGCGTTGACTCTGAGTTGAAGATCAAAGCGGGTGCGGGCTTGGTCGGTGTCTCACATAAGCCTAAAACAATATAAGAAAATATTAGTAAGCTTCTCTCTCTCTCCATCTCTCTGCCTCTCTTACCTAGCTGTGGCAGCATGGCTCCTTGGAATAGGCTCGGATTGTTGGCCCATTCGTGCAGCGCTTTCTGCAGACGCCGCACATGCAACGGCTTCGATGCCATGCCCACTAATGCCATTATCTCCAGAAACTCCTCCTCGCCCGCATCGTACAGCTGCTGCACATCATCGCCGCCCATCTCCAGCAATGTGTCGTAGTAGGCCAACAGGCTGGCACGCTGTAGCACACGATATAGCTGCACCTCTGCCTCGTTGCTCGGCCGCGATGTTGCGACCACTGTAAGAGTAGAAAGAGAAAGGGGAGCAAATTATTAGCTAAACTATAGCTATATATAGGGAATATATTAGGTAATCTATAGTTGTTAAATTTTGATTTTCTATATTCTATATCTCGATCAATATCTTCCTCTTTGCGCCACACCTTTGAAGACTACATTTAAAAACAGAAAAAACTTCTTCTTTCTCTTCTTCATCTTCTTCTTCCTCTACAGCTTCAGCCATGGGTATCAAAATGATATTTATAGAGCTGCCTCGCCGCTAAGTTCTCACAATGTTGAGAGACCATAAGAAAAAAATTTAATTAAATTCGCCTTTTTTTTATATAAAAAAAAACTCGACGGACGTCTGGACCGTAAACCCTTTTGCAAAGCACAAAAAAGAGAAAGAAAAAACGAAACCCAATCAAAAAAACGAGAACTAAAAAAAAACTGAACGGACGAAGTCGGGAGCGAGCTCATCTGCATAAGCAAATATCAACGAGTGTGTGTGTGTGTGTGTGTGAGCAACCCTTTCGCTTTCGTCCTTAAAGCAGCCAAGGATGCTTGGGTACGGCATAAAACTTGTTAGAAATGCGTCACGCATGCGCAGAGCCAAGGCGAAAGCCAAAAAGGAACCCAAGCAACATTTTAATCCTTTTTATTTCTCTCATTTTTTTAGCTTAAAATATAAATATTTCCCTCTCTATCTGTGCTGCTCTGTCTCTTTCTCTCTGCCTGTAAATGATGATAGTATATTCGCCTAGAGTTTCTATCATCTGGCATCGAGCAGCTTCTGCTCATCATCATCAAAACCTTCTCGTCGAGGCAGAATTTATGGCTCGCGTTGCGCTCAAAAGGCCGCCAATGAGGCGAAGCGCTGATGATTATGTCAAATCGTAAATAATTATGTGAGAATATTTTAGTCCGGCCTTTTGGGTAGCAGACGTCTCTCCAGCCAGACCCAGTCACAGCGCTTTCCAGTTTCCCATTGCACTCTAGCAGCTTTAATTAATAGAAAAACGAGCTGAGCCAACTAAATTATAACAAAACAGGGCAAATCACAAAAAAGAAAGAAAAGAAAAGGAAAAACAAAGCACACACATCGATCGTTGGTTGGGTACGTCAATGCCTGCCTTTTGTATACCCTGCAAACGCTGTGTGTGTGGCGGTGCGAGCTTAGGCTAAGTTAGCTCACGGAACATAGATAGCTAACTGAGCCAAACTATATAAAAGCAGAGATGCTAAGCATTTGAGTCAAAGTTACTAACGATAATTATCGATATTAGATTTGAGAGTTGGTGTAGATATATAGTTAGAGACTTGATTAGAGATATTTGCTATATTTATATCATTTATTACAGCTCACGGTCGAATATCGATAAATATCGATTGTTAATATATCTGACAAATGTTGCTAATTAGTGTGCGACATAGTTATATATAGATATTGTCTGGAGTGTCTTGTTAGTAGAGATATGTGCTATCGTATCGATAATTATCGATAACTAGTATTTTCAGCATAGCTTAGAGTTTCAAGAGCTGCAACAATAGATATTTAAATACTTTATATTTACTCAGACATAACTAAAGAACATCTCTTCATGCCTACAAAAAAATATATATTTTTCGAGCTATTCTTCTAACTTTCAGTATACCTATGAATGCCTATATTAGCTTGACTCTTATTGCCTGTATCAATAGCTGAATCTGCTGTCAACATAACAGGGTATCTCTGAGTGTATTACCCCGAGTTCGAAATCACTCACTTGTTTTTTGAGCGCATGCGCAGACGCTGGCGCTGCTACAAGCGCAACAAACTACACGAGTAAAATCAGTAGGAGGACGAGAAGGAGCCTGAGATGGAGTTGAAGGTGGCGGTGGCTGTGCAGCAGGCATGTAGCGTGGTGTAGTTGGTGTTGTCACTTGATGCGTTGCCAATCATTAACCCATGATTGCATGCCTGTCACAATTTATGACACGTTGACAAACTATTGAAGGCAGCAATTTTCCAAGGAATCCCAAGCAAAAACCCATAAACTCCATAAAAGTTGAAAGCGCAACGAATGAGACTGCAAAGTTTGCTCCGATATCAAATTGAGCTCCGAATGGTTGTTATTTTTAATGGATATATATGTAACTAGATATAGTTATATATAAAAGTCTATATTTATTTTGTAAAAATTGGGTTGAGAAATTAAACGAATTTTTGTTATGGATCCTAAGCCGCTAAGTTGGAGTAGAAGAATAGTGAAGTTTAAGCGTAGTCAAAGGTCTCTTGAAGCTATAGTTAAGATATGGAAAATCTATAGAACAATTAATATATATATAAAATACGAAATACATAACGCACGCAATCTTGGCAGATCTTAGAATTTATAAGAATTTTTGAGAAGTTACAGGAATATCTTAGAAGATTTTAAAAGATCTCAGCAGATATAAGAATATATCAGCGAATCTAAAGCGATCATAGAAGATCTCTGAAGCTTTCAGAAGATTTTAGAAAAATGTGAGACGTTGTCAGAAGGTAGCTGAAGTTCACAAATGATCTCAAAAGATCTCCGCAGATCTCGAATGATCTCACAATATCTCAGCAGATAGAAGATCTAAGAAGATCTTAGAATATAACCTAATATCGAAGAAGCTTGCATAAGCTCACAGATGATCTCAGAAGTTCTCCTTATGTTATTGCCCCTAAAATCCTGTAGAAGTTATTATATCATTGATGATTTCAGAAGACTTTGTCATACTAAAAGAAGCTGTTATATCATGTCTCTAACAATATTCTATATACATTAAGAACTTGACTTAAAGATTGTGTTTTCTGAGCACTTTTGGGGTTAAGTTGACTGTCCAAGCGACACTTCTTCTATGCCTGTTGCCTGTGTGTGCCCAATGAGGAGTATTTAACGCAGACGCAGAATCTTTTTGCGTAAAACAGAAGCGGGACTCTGTGGATGGCAGATATCACAGATGTGGATAGCAGCGACTGAGGGACTGAGGGACGACTCTGCCACTGAGAGGCTGAGAGGGAACTGTGGGGCGAGGAATTTGCAGCAATAAATAAATGAGACGTGATTTCAATACACAAATAATGCGAGGGGGGCGCGCAGGTTGAGCTTGGAGCAGGAGCTGCAGCAGGAGAAGAACTGGAACTGGAACTGGAACTGGAAGTGGAACTGTCTGGCCATGTGCCTTCGCTTGGGGTTGGGCCTGGGTTGGGGGCCTACGATTCACTGTCTTCTGGGCAGCAGCGCTTGGCGCGCTGATTGTCACTCGGCTGCTGCAGCTTGTTGATTTTTTTTATTATTTATTTAATTTGCGGGTCGCTTTTTGCTACCGTTCGCTATATACCCTGTACTCGTGGGAGAATTGTCCATTTCGGGCATATTGCGAGGTATATGAGGCGAATGATTCTAACAGGCAGTGGGTGAAGAGTCGTGGAGTAAATAAATACATGTGTATATATAAAGATGTTGTATAAAAGTAATCGATGAGCGATAAATATAGACCCTATACTGACTAGATAAATATGCCTTTGGCTTACAGATATTGTAGAGATATTTGTAGAGGTAGCTTAATTTCAAAAGTATGTAGAAAAAATTTTTTTGTCAGTTTAAGTACCAGTGTAGGTCCCAGTATAGGTACAAGTAAACGTATATGGACAAGTATAAGTACAAGTATAAGTACACGTATAAGTACACGTATAACTACAAGTAGAAGTACATGTATAAATACCAGCATAAATAGTAATATAAGTATCAGTTGTACAAACAGTATAAGCGCTAGTATAAGTACAAGAATAAGTACTCAGCATAAGTACTCATACTGGTACGAGTACAAGTATAAGTATCGTTATAAGTACAAGTAGAAGTTCCAGTATAATTACGCCCAAGTGCAACTGGCAGTATAAGTCAAAGCTTTTTCAATTATAAGATCACACATCAGAACAGTTATAGCTGCGTATAAGAGTTGGGGTTAAGCAATTGCTGATTTATAGGATATCTGCTAGTGTGCAGCCCCCCACAGGCAGCGTTATTATATGTTGCGCGTTGTTGGGGCAAGACTTTTAATGTTGGCTGCTGCTTATGTTGACGTTGTTGTTGCTGCTGCTGCTGCTGTTGTTGTCATTTGCTAAATATGTTGTTTTTATGCGTTGGCAAATGGCGAAGATGGACAAAAAATGAACTGCAGTTGCTTTTTAGTTGGCACTTGAAAGCAATAATGACATTCGACGCCACATACCAAGCCGCACAGCCTGGACAGCAGGCCAGGTGAGTGTGTGTGAGAGCCTGTGTGTGTGTGAGGGCCGTCAATCGTTGGCGTCCGCTTCGATTATGGGCAAAGGAGAAAAAAAACGCGCGCGCATTGATTCGCAGACGCCGTTCGAACTGCTGAACCGAAAACTATTTCTCATATACAACGATAAAAATTGGATGGATGGCAGACTTTATATGTTTTTTTGTTCAAAATTCTTGGATCGTTCAAAATACCATTGATGGCCATAACTTTGGAGCGTTCGTACGTGCCAATGGCCGCTGATGAAGCTGCCAGCTGAAGCAAAAAGCTTGGCAGCAGCAAACGAAATGCGACTCGGAGGCAAGGCCTTGCCTCGTTAGCTACCCTCAGCCAAGGGCTGGGGTAGGTTTTTTTTATGGTTTTTTCTTTAGTTTCTCTACAAGCTACCCCTAAGACGCACCTATCATGTGGGTAAGCCAATAGCTACCTGAGTTCTGGCGCTCATTTCATTGGATGTCCTCCATTTGTATAGCTAGACAATAGATGCGGCTGCTGCTGCTGCTGCTGCTGCTACTGCTGCCCCTATCTAAAGTGCTGCTCAGGGTGGGTTTTTTCGCAGCACCAAGGAAATGCAAACCGGATTCTAAATTGCAAAGCTATGAGCAACGGCAACTTTTTCTATTGTTTCATATTTCCGTTACACAAAACAAAACCAAACACAAATTTCACATAAAACAGGCGAAGCTCTGAAAAGCGCGGGAAATTGAAGAAAACAAAGAAAAAGGCAAACTGGCTGAAGAATTTGATATGCAGCGCGAATTTGTACCAAATGAAATAAAAAAAAATTGATTTAAATATTACTTTGAGCAGATCTTAAGGAGTTGAGGAACTCAAGAAGAACCAAGGCCAGGCTGACCTCATATTCTTTTCTATATATTAAAGAAATATTTAAAAAAAAAAGAAACAGAAAATTTAAAATATATGAAATTTCTTTAAATTTATATATATGTAAATTATTATATTATTATATTATATTATTATATGTAAATTATTGTATATAAATGTTTGCTTTAGACTGACTCAGCCCTTGGGATTTAGATTTATGGATATGCTTATGCTCAAAAGTAATACCCACTAAATATATCATAGTAAAATTATGCGTCTGCCAAGTATATATGAATTATACATATATATATAAATATACATATATTCAAACCAGTAGTTAGAGATGACTACAAATCTTATGAACAGATATAAAAAACTATTAATAACTCATTCCATAACATTCATATATTAGATGAGTTTCAATGTTCAATGGATTTTTATAAGACTTAAAAAATATTTTTTATAGAAAAGCATAAATTTATTCATAGCATGATTTATCCCTAAATTCTGTAACTTTAACTTTGCCATATAGACACAATATATATAGTATATATATCTATATGAAAGTTTAGCTTTTAAAAGAAGCCTAAGAAAATATCTTCATGATCTATATGAATGAAGATCTTCCTCTTTCTTATGGATTCATCGGTCTAATATCGCTTTTCTTAATATACATTTTAATTTCTACTTCAACATTTATCTTCCCTATCCCTATCTTTCCTATTAGCTTTTATTTGAAGTCACAGAAAAAGCTTTTTATGCGCTTATTCCTCTCATTAAAAATATTCTAATTTTTGTGAATTTTTCGCTTTAAGGTTTCGCTTTTTAAAATCAATTTCCATATCTACTTACATGTGCCGTTCGCATTGCGCCCAAAGATCTTGCCCTGCGGACTTAGGATCGGGCTGGAGGAGGCCGACGGTGCGCCGGAGTGTGAGCGTTGTCCCTCGGATAGGCCGCTGGCCAAGGACAGATTGTTGACATCGTCCTGCTTGAGCAGTTCGATGCTGTTGCTGTTGCTGGCGATGGTGGTGGTGGTGGTGGTGAGCAGTGATTGGGGCAGCGACTGGAGTAGAATGTTGCTGCCTGAGCAGCTGGAGCTTCCGCTTCCTGTGACCAAACTGTGCGTCTTGCCGGCTGGCGAGGGAGCTGTGCTCGTTGCCGAAACTGTTGTGGAGGCTGCAACTGCTATTGCTGTTGCTGTTGCTGTTGTGGTTGTTGTTGGAGAATTCGTCTCCATTGTCGGTGTTGTTGCGAGGACGTAAAGGACAGCCGAACAAGAACAAACAGGCACAATGAACCCAAACTAAATGCATGCAAATACACACACAACAAATCAAAACGAACTCAAAATAAGGATGCACTACAAGAAAGCAAAAATTAACTACACTACACGTCAGGATTGAGTAACGTTTCGTTTAATTATTTGGTTTGTTTTTGTTTCGATTTCGATCTCGATCTCGATCTCTGCCATCCGCTCAGCTCGAGGCCAGACGAACTTCTGTTCTCGTTGCGACAACGACGCGCAGCTCGTGGAACCCTTTTTGCTGCATCTTTGAGATACTTTCGAAGAGAGAGAGAGAGTCGACATACAGGAAAGAAAAAACATGTACATAGAATCACGCAGCAGACGTTGCTGCCGAAAGGGTTAAAAAGGCTGAAAAAACGAAGCAACAGAAAAACAACAACAAGCAGCACAAGCGACGAAGGCGAAGGCGAAGACGAAAGCCGAAGATCGTAGCCGAAGGCTTTTCACTGTAGGCCAATGAGGGTAAGTTTTTCAGCAAAGTAACTCTTATTAGAAGACAGTTAGAGAGATTGCTGCTATATGTCTCCGCCTCTTGCCTCGCGCTCTCTCAGAGCTGTCAATTGGGTGCGACTGTTGGGCAGTGTAAGAGCGAGAGAGATAACTAGATAATGAGAGTGAGAGTGGGAAAATACCTTTACAGCTGCGTAGACATTTTGATCGCCTATTTAATAAACCCATTTGCCATATCCAAAGAGTATGCTAAACAGTTTTTTTGGGCAAGCATCTGAAGAACTATTCATAGAGAGTTGCAATTTATGTCATATATAGGTATGCAGTAATCAAGTAGAGTTAAATTTGGTTTAAAAATATGCTGTGGTATGATCATTGTTGGATTATATGTTTGAATTAATATATATAGTATATGATAAGCTCAAACTTACATAACTTTACAACTACATAAAACTTATTTCAGATCATTTTTTATACGAATTGAGAAGAAGTCTTCAGAGCTAGTCTACTCTCTCTTAATCTTCCAATTTTGAAGCTCTAGCTTTAAAACTGTGAAAGATACAATCTTAAAAGATTTCCGCCCTCGTTTGGCTTGTATATATCTACTATATATTTTTGGTCCACACGCGATTTGCCGTGGGTGTATCGGGAAAATCTTAACACTCGTAATGGAAAGCGGGACAGACAGCAAGACGGACATTGCTCGTTGTAGCTCATTCTCCTCGTGAACGAGAATAGAAAGGGAATAAAGATAAGCTTTGCTAGTTCCCGCTAGAGTAGAGCATATCTGCTCGTCGCGCAGTCGCATTAAGTAACCATTTTTTGCCAGTTATTTTCCGTTAAAAATCTGCATACATTAAAAGGGTTATTCATCGTAATGCCCCTCGCCCAAGTTGAAATTGATTTTTTTTATTCGTATTCCTTTTTTTATGAAATATGATGAACGTATTTTCTTGTATTTTCTTTTTGTATATACAAAAACAGTTTACAATAGATTTTTTGCTTTTATATTATTATATCGTATATAAGTATAATAAGAGGGGTGTGTGGGGAATACTTTGCTTGCTCTACGAGGGGGTGGGGGTGGTGTTAGTAGATATGAGTTAGATTACACTAGGATTGGGTTTACGTTAACAGTCGTGGTTAGGTAGCCGGAGACCCTTTGTTGTTTTTGGGGAACCCAAACCTCAGTCATAGGCCATTCCCGAATCAAGGATGAGAGGAAATTGCTACAAGTGCGGGGTTCCAAGTTTACTTTGGCTCGGCCAACTATAAATTATTGACGCTTATTATCTGATTGATCCAGCCTATGAACGAGGAGACTTTCACGTAAACGCCGGGCACATCCACCCTACCGCAACCGAAGCCCCAAGAGACGAGGCCGGCTAGCTCAAAGAAGCCATCGTCCTGGCAGACCAAAGGACCACCGCCATCGCCTTGGCAGGCATCGTGTCCCTCCTCGCCGCCGGCACAGAAACTGGATGCGGGCAATATGAAGATCTTCTCCGTGACCGCGTTCACCTTCCTTATACACTCCGTATCGCTAACAATGGGTATTTCCGCCTCGCGCACACGCAACGGAATGGGACCAGCTAAGAGTGTAGTTGAAGTCAGTTAAGTTACTTGTATAGAGTCATTCATGGCACTCACCTTCGCCCATGTAGCCGTAGCCCGTAACCGTACAACGCTTGCCCGCCGTATGGCTAACACCACGTGCTGGCAGGCAAACCAAACAGACGCCATCTCGCAGCTCCGCCTGGCCGTGCAGCTTGAGCAGCGCAATGTCGTTGTCCAGCGTCTGGCTATTGTGGTTGTGGTGTATATAAGTGGTGGCCACACGCAAAGTCTGGGCGCCCGGACTGCCATATTTACGTGTCAAATCGTAGTCACCCACGCGCACATAGATCGCATCGCCAGAGCGAACAATGCTGCGAATGGAAAGGAAGAAAGGATGAGAGTTATTAGAGAAGTTTCGCTTAGATTAGATAAGTGGAGACAGGGCAAATATTGTCTTACAAGTCATATTTCTTTCAGTGTACTCACTTGGTAACACAATGCGCTGCAGTGAGCACCCATTGGGTGCCAATGAGCGCTGCACCACATAAATACTGATTGAGCGAATTGATGAGCGCCACCTGCCAGCACCACTCCCCATTCTCGCCATCCTCGCCGCCAACCACTCGCGCCCGACGTCGACTGCTGTAGTTGGCCTGCAGATGTCCGGGATCCGAGTAGCTGCTGCGTTGATAGTACTCCGGATAGACAATCGCCGAAGACGACGACTGTTCTGGCTGATCATGATAGGAGCGCAGTTGATTGCTCTGAATTCCGCCGCTGTCCACCAGATCACCCAGTTTATCATTGTGAATCTGAATGGGCACAATGGCCGAGCCGAGCACCAGGCGTTCGTTCGATTTGTTAATGCTTCCGCTGCCGCCGGCATAGACTGTGGCTAGCTGCCTAGCCGTACGCTGTACGCCGTATTTGGCGCGTGCATAGGAGACATAGTTGAGGGCCGGCGAGCTGCGAGCGCGACCCGTACGCAAGGTGCCCTTGACACCGCAAACATACTTCGAGTAGACATGTGGACGTGGTGTGGTTGTCGTGGTGCTGGTGGTTGTTGTCGGTGGTGCTGGCGGTGCAACTGGCGGCAGTGCGGGCTGCTGTCCAGGTGCGGGTCCATAATAATCCGCATAGCTTTGCGGAGGAGGCAATCCTGGTTGATAAACATGCGTGTGGTGCGGTGGTGGTGGTGGTCCTTGAGGCGGACTAGGCATGTAATTGCTGGGTGCATACGGCGGCGGTGGTGGTGGCTGCTGCTGCGGTGGCTGTGGTGCATACGGTGGCGGCGGATAGTTGAAGTAGGAGGTGTCATTGCGTGTCTGGAATTGTTGTTTCTCCAAAATTTTGCTCTTGGGCGCGCAACAAATTTGACCCGAACGTTTGCATCTAAATAGATCTGTCATCTCGGCGTTTTCTGAGGAAGATTAGCAAGAAATTTCAAGGGACTCTCCTTTATTTAAGGTGGATCTACTTACTGAAGCAGGTGAAACTGAGCAGGCTGACAATGCAGGAGCCGGGACATTCCTCGCGTGGATCTGGAGTGGGCGTATTGGGCAGTACATAGGGCGGTGCTGTGGGCGGTGGCGTTGGCGACGGCGTTGGTGGCGGCAATTTCGGTTTGGGTGCACCGGCACGCGAATTGTCACAGCAAACTGAGCCCTTGGAGCAGGTCGTGGGATTCGTTAACAGCACAGAGGGACGTTCACAAAAGGCGGCCATAATGGTGAGCAAACAGAAACCCGGACAACGTGGCACAGCTGGCGGTGCCGGCGGTGGTGGTGCAGGTGAGTTCAGTGTACTTTCGGCAAACGATATGAACTGTGAGAGCAGATCTCCGCCAGACTGTGTGGCAGCTGGTGCTGGTGATGGCGGTGGTGGTGCTGGCTTAGCCGCTGGCTTGGCGGCTGGCTTGTTGGCTATCTTGGTGGCTGGCTTGCTGGGGGTTGGTGGCTTAGCAGGCGTCACTTCAGAGGCAGTGCCCGTTAAGCAGCAGCTACCCTCCCCGGGGCAGAAGGCATCGGAATCGATCTCATCGCAGAAGATGGCAAAGATGCCATTCATACAGTCACCCTCGCATTCCTTCATCACTTGACCCTGATCTTGGCCGGACTTGAGCTTGTTCTTGTTGCTATGGTTATTATTCGATGTTTCCTCTTCGTCATCATCCTCCTCTTCCTCCTCATCATCCTCATCCTGGGCAGCAGCTTCTGTTGTGGTGGTTGTGCTGGTCTTCTTGTGCTTGGTAGGCTTGCTTGGTGCGTGACTGTTGTTATTGTTGTGGGTCTTGGTGCGTGCCGGCTCGGGCGTTGTGGTAGTAGTGCTTGTGGTGCTAGTAGTTGTTGTGGTGCTAGTCGTCTTGCTGGCCGTGGGCTTGGGCAAAGTTTGATTGCTCTTCAGATTGCTCATGTGCTCTGTGGAGATAGACGAACTCAGTTTTGGCTCTTCACAGGATAACTCTCAGACTTACTGGCAGGTATGTATATATCCTTAGGCAGCTTTCCATTGGCGTACTCATCCAGTGAAACGCAACACTTGGTACCCTCCTTGCAGAGACCTCCGCTAGTCAAGTAGGACTCACAATATTCCGCTATGTGATCCTCCATACAGACGCCCGTGCAATTCTCTGTGAAAACAAAGTGGAGTTTAGCCTAGTTTACGTTGCTTTGGCTGAGGTTTGGCTTACTATTTTCATTTTCCGTTTTGCTAGCCTCCAGTTTATCCTTAGATTTGGTTGTAGTGGCCTTTTTTGTGGTGGCAGCTGGCTTCTTGGTGGTGGTGGAGATGGTGCTTGCAGCTGGACGCTTTGGCTGTGGCTTTGGCTTTGGCTTGGGCGTTGTGGTCGTCGTTGTGGTTGAAGTGGTACGTTTAGTGGTGCTACTTACAGTCGTGGAGGTGCGCTGTGTGGAGCTGCTGCTGCTGACTGTGGTTGTCGTTGTTCTAGGTGTGGTGACAGCGGTTGCGTTTTTGCCTAGTTTTGAAATGGAGATGCTTAGTTGTGGGAGACTAAGGATCAAGGATGAAATTCGGACTGTGTCTCACCTGGCGCACTCTCTATGCAGCACTTCATACTGGGCGAGGGGCAGGGCACATCGTCGAGCACCTCATAGCAGATAAGCGTGGCCAGCGTATGGACACAAACACCTGGGCAATCCTTGGCATCCGCTGTGCTGGTAATCGTATCCAACAGGCCGGAAAGGAAGCTGCCCGCCAATGATTCATCCTGTGCCCGAGCCAGAGGCTTGTTGGCCAATAGCAGCAGACAAAGACTCAACGTGCAAAGTATTCCTTGCGAAGTTCCCATATTACTTAAATTTTTCATATCACTTTGTTCAATTGTGGAAAAGTTAGCTCATCGCGTTGCAAGAATCTGCGAAAGAGAAAGACAGATATTGGGATGAAGGGGCGAGAGCGAGAAGAATCGAAATTAGCCAAGTGAAAGTTGAGCTTAGTCAGCGCCCCCATCCATGTAACCCCAAAGGCTTGTGACGTAACAGAGCGCTTAATGTCTCAATGCCTTGCAGCATCTGAGCTGAGCCGAGCTGTGCTGTGCTGCAGCTGAGAGCTGAGAGCGCCAAGAGAGAACCCCAAAAGATCATTGGCCTAGAAAGCGTTCAGCAAAAGCCTCACTTGCCGCCTTACACTGAGCGAAAAAATACAGTACTATGACCAAGTTTTTATTGATTCAAAAAAAGTTTGGATCTAAATTTTTCTAAAGAAAACAAGTTTGGAATAAAGCGTAAAAATTCTTATATTAAGAATTTAAATATATTTGATCAAATCAAAGGTAAAAATTCTTCTTTTAAGCATGTGAATCTTATAGATTTTAAAAATAGTTGTAGATAATATTTGAATATATTCGAATAAGACTAGAAATTTGTAGTAAGAAATGAAAAATTTAGACTTATAGAAAATTTTCAGGCGAATACACTTTGGATTTCAAATTGAGGAATCACCACCTCAATTCTTAAACCCATTTTCTTCGAGTGTATTAAGAGCAACTTCTTCAGAGGTTTTATTGTATGGGGGCATCTGTCGAAAAACCAGTTTAATTGCTTGTTGCCTCGCCTCATTCTGGTTAATGGACTGAGGAGCTGGTTCTGTGACAGGTGCGTCCGTCTAACCGCTGTATAAAGCTTTCTTATCTACTATGCCCCATTTTAATATTACGTATACGTCTCCCAGGGGGATACAAAAAAAAAAACAAGTGGTACAGCAAGAGCATTTGATATACGAGGCCTAATAAATGTATTTGGGTTGACAGTTGCATGAAAATAGTTTAAAAGGTAGTTGAAGTACAGTTCAGACTCGTTTTAACTGTGAAAACTTTTGACCAATGTGGAAAACTAAAGGCAAGAGTTAGAACTTAGGTAAGAGTCTTAACCGAAGAAACTGAACTGAGCCAAAAAAGTATTAAAATATCAAAATAGAAATAAAAGCCAAGTTAATGGCTTAAATACCACAATTAAAAGTACATTAAATTCTAAGCAAAGGTTTAAATTCCTCATTGAATCTCACTGAAAGTCTAGCTTTTCTTCCCAAAATTCAAGATGAAACGTTTTAGCATTATGAATGAAATAGAAAGTACATTGCCCCAAAAACAAAAATAAACAACAACGAAGACAAATTGAAACCAATCTCAGTTGACAGATCTTTAGCGAAAGTGCTGGCAATAAATATGTAGTTGACTAGCACTTGACAATGGCTAAAAGCCGAAGAAAAATGGCAGAGCTATAGCTAAATGACAATTATGTGCCGGCCACAACTAGTGTCCCGCTTCCCCTTCTTATCGCTTGCTGCATTTGCCTCACGTGCGCGTCGCTTTCACGTTCAAACCGGAAATTTTAGACTTAAAGGGCCAAGACTATTTAGAAAAAAAAAAAACAAAAAAATTGTCACTAAGCCAGGCGTGTGACAATCCTCAATCTGTATATAAAAGAACGAACAGCTAGAAAGCTGAAGCGCCTGTTCCAAGCGCTTGGCTAAGCCAGGTAGAACCCAAAAAAAAACTGTAGTGCGCACGTCTTTTGGGTCAGCCATCGCCACGCGCTATCTCTGTCTGGCGCATGGGCACACCTACGCCATCATGAATACCAAGTCCGGCACCAAATTCGTTTAAGTAGGTCAGCTGCATAAGGCGCGACACCAACAACAGTAACAGTGGCATGTTACAGCCTGCTCCACTACACCTCTCGCTCGCACTCACTTTTTAAGTTTAGCATGCGAATTATGTGTTCCTCACACTTGAGGCGAGTCGTAAAGAAATTCTTTCATTAAACGACGGCAGCCAAAACAAACAGAAACCGAAACAGAAACACGCATTCAAATGCCGATCGAACGGTTAACAATAACGGTAAACGACGGTTGGCAGGCACACTAGCTACACTAAGAGAAAAAAACAAATTTTTTATTTCCACTAAAATCAAATCGAAATGCGGCCAAGGTCGATATTCCAAATTATTGAATTATGAATTTAATAATAAATAAAACATTATTCAGTTTACTTTAAATGTATGTGTAAGTATAAGAATATATGAGTATACGCTTTCTTTTCTCTAAGTGTAGCATAGTTGAAATCAATTTTTATTTGGTCAACTGCAGATTGTTTTTGTTTTTGCATGCTCTTGTCTATAAACTCTTTCATTTTTAGCACTTCCATTAAAGTCCCGAGACACAGTTACATACACACACAGGCACGTACACACACATGCATATCACTCTACCAAAGACAGCGACTGATCCAAAACCATTGCGACTGAGTCTTCGTCTTTGGGCCGCAATACGAACAAGTTAAGCGACTTTTTCCCCTTCTTCTGTTTCCTCTACTTTGTTTGCTCTTTCTGAATTTATGGTAACGGTAAGCACAAGACGACACATAACTGTGCGCTGGATCAGCAGGACAGCGTAAGGCGGCGCAGACGTGTCGGGAATGCGGCACAGTTTTCCAATTGCTAATGGTTGCGTATGCAAAGTTCTTACAACACACACACACACTTGTATACATACACACTTATATGAATAACGTAACTAACCGTTCTTAATGCCGGGGCAACTGCACCTTGCGAAAGCCAGCAACAAACTGACCAATGCTCAAGGTTCTCGATGCTTGGTAAGCCGCCAAGGCCAGCAGCAGCCACGAGCAGCGGCCACAGGCCGGAGAAAGTGAGCAAAAGAAACTTTGTCGAAAGAGCAACAGCAAAGAGCGAGCGCTGCGCTCTCTTTGCCACCTGTTCTCGGCAGCAGGCAGAGCATAGGTCGCTTACAGCTGGTCGTGCGCAAAAAAGGATCGCTTGACAGCTGTAATGGCTGCAATTATTGGCACTTCAGAAATTTTGCGACCTTTTTCTTCGCTTAAGCATTAACCCCGGAGTGTGCCCACTTAGCGGATTATATTGCTGCGATTGTTGTTCTCGCTTTCTTCCCTTTCAGCGCATCGTTCGCCAGGCTTAGTTATGCAAATCTCAAGTGCACTCTGTGCGAACCCTATGCAAATTTCGCAAGTCAGCAGGGAATTTGTTTATTACCTGAATTTTCGCATGCAAATGCATTGCTAGGATAACTGTTGACTGTTTTACTGTTGTCAAACAATGTCGAAATGCAATTATGAGTGCAGAAATCGAATGAGGCTGGGAAAAATTGCATAATCGCCTGCTTAAGCCGAACGTCACGTGGCTTGGGCAACATAATCTTAACCTCAAATATGCAAAGAAAGGAATTTCTACTTTTTTACTTTTACTTTGTCTAGCTAATTAGAGCTGGCATAGCCTATAGCATGTCTAACAAATGTCTAGCAAAAGGACAACCTTAAGGAAGATCTTTTAAGTGATGCGGCGTCTCAGCCTCTGTATTTTTCGGATGTTCCCAGGCTTCAGACATCCTAAACATTCTTCACACGAACGAAATTTGAATAAAACGCTGCCTAAAAAAATTGAAAGTGGTAAAAAAAGTGAAAAAACTTTAAAAAAAATTATAGAAAAAAACTTATTTATCATTCTGTGAGCATACTTCGTATACCTGAAATTCTGGCCCCTGGGCACAAGGCAAATAGATAAAGTCCTGTGTTGGTGGTGGTGGTGGTTGTGCCGTCCCCGCTCTCCGTCTCTCTCTCGTTCTCTGTCGTCCTGCGTATGCAAATCACGTTGATTCCTTTTCAATCTCAAACAATGAAAGGAGGGTCGTCCTTTTCGGCCACACATGTTTTTCGCTTCTCCTTTTTTTCTACATTAATCGTCCTATTTAAAAAAAATATAGTTGATTAAACCCTTTGCTTGTGTAAAAGTTTTTTTTAGCTGATTTTTCCTCTTTTTTATACCGTTTGCGAGTGTTTTTTCATGCTCATCCCGTTTTTGTCATTTCACTTTTTCGTGGGAACTGTGGATCGGACAGCTATATATGATAATGAAGTATACAAGGCGGACGCGAATAAGAACACGTGAGATGGGAAGAGTGAGAGCTTAGTAATGGGTGCATGGTACAGGTCTAAAGATATTAGAAAATCAGAAATATAAGACTTTTCAAGGAATAAAAAAAAAAATTTTTAATTATTTTTTTAAAAATATTTTTTGATAAAAACACTTTTTGGTTTTAATTCAATTATACATTTTATTTTCAGTTCCACCTAGTATTAAATTTTACAGTTAAGTCAAATTTTGATAATCTATGTTTTTATTGTGGTTACATCTTTTGTTTTCCAAGACGTTGGTAGAACAGTTCCCTAAGCGATTAATGCTTAATCATTTTGCCACCCTTCCTCGCTTCAGCCATGCTCGATCTTCTGATCTGATTTTAGGGAGAGGCGAGAAAGTTGGAAGAAAACAACTCGATTTGCATATTGAGGATCATGTAAAAAGGGGCTGAGGGTTTGTCATGGGAACAAAAGATGAATGCTTTATCAGTGAATAGATGCAAATCAATATTTGATGTAATTAATTAACATCATCAAAAATAGAAAACAACAATATTAACATTTATCAATCAATTTGAAGACAATTCAATCAATATCAATGCAAATCAGTCAATTAATTGTTTTACATTTACATTTACCTAAAACTAAGCATATAATTTATATTTAGAATAAATACAGAATGTACTCTTTGGCTTGACAATCAAAATTTAAAATGTATTCTCAATAAAATTACAATAACATCAATGCTTCTCTTGTAGTTTTTGAATGTAACGGCCTGGGACTGTTGACTGATTGGCCTGAATTGATGTGGCAACGCCATCAGCGCTATCTTTTGAATGGCATGAAAGTATCGATACCATTGGCACATCACACATCAAATAGATATCGATATTAATATACGTACGTGTCCAAAATCAGCTGCGTCGTAGCAAACAAACAATGCGGTGAATAAATACCTCTTAACTGGCGACATTAACAAATTAATATACTGACGAAATCGGTGGGAGTTAGTTGCAAAAAACCAGTAGCAGAGTAGAGAAGAACTATGACAAGTACACATAAATTGCGGCGCAAGGCGTTAGCGAGCAGTGGCCTAGCAATCGCTTTGCTTGTTCTGTTATATTGGACCGATTTTACGGGCGGCTATTTTGCAGCTCTCGATGAAGCTGAAACGAACAAGAATTGTTTTTGTGAGGTAAGGTTTGAAAGTGGATCATATATAAAAATATACCAAATATATATATAAATATTTTTATTCGGCAGCTCGAAGGTTCTATTAACGATTGCAGCTGTGATGTGGACACGGTTGATCACTTTAATAACATGAAAGTCTATCCGCGTCTTCAGAGCTTATTAGTGAAGAACTTCTTTCGATTCTACAAGGTTAATTTGAAGCAGGACTGTCCCTTCTGGCCGGATGACAGTCGTTGTGCCATACGTTTCTGTCAGGTCGAAAACTGCGAGGAACAGGCCATACCCGAGGGCATAAAGGATCAATCAGAGCATCGTGATAAGGCGGCTTCATTCAAGGTATGTTTTTTTTATATATTTATGCATTTATGCATTATATATGTAGAGCACGTATTTCTTTTCAAGGGGCTGCACAAATTATTAGCAGTTACAGTGAAAGTAGCCTAAAACGAATGTCTTCTGCTGTTACTACAGTGAAAGTTAGCCTGAAGTTCACGCAATATCATATCATTTAGCTTTTGTTCTATACAAATGTGAAAGATAATCGATTCGTGCCTTAAATAATGTTTTAATTAAAGGCAGCTGTCCCTTTTTAGAAACTTCACTGTATCTCCAATTCTGTTATCAGCAGGTGTATTAATTGATTTTCGACAGACCGTTTCCTTTAAGTAACAATATTTATTTATTATCTTGCTGCTGTATTGGATGAATTGTCATAAATTCCAATCACTATCTATAAATATATAACTCAATGAATGAACGTGTCGGCAAGATATTGCATATAGTATATATAAGTATCTTCAGTGCTTGACAATCAGCTAAACATGACGTGGCTTATTGATACAGATGTGAAAAGTTCATTCAGACGCCTCTTATTGTGAGACCAGCCTCCTCAGACAAGCTGTTAAGTCTATAAGATTGTTGCATTATTATTTAAACAGCTGTATAGCTAAGTCTCTTCTCTCGTAATGACTTCCTCATTAACTGATCTATATTTATCTAGTACACCCGTGAGGCACAACTGGAGAGCAGATGCTCGGATGTCGAGGATTTTGACAGTGCATTGGGTTTCCTGGATACGAGCATCAGTGATCAGGCTCATAGGGAATTCGAATTGTGGGCTAAACACGATGAAGCCGAGGAAGATTTTTGCATTGTCGACGATCATGATGTTGATGCACAGTATGTGGATCTATTGTTGAATCCGGAACGGTATACGGGCTATAAAGGCGATTCGGCACATCGCATCTGGAAGAGCATATATCTGGAGAACTGTTTTGGTGGCAACAACGAAACCGCAAATAAATTCTCCAGCTATATGCCTCACATGGAGTTGCGTGATGTCTGTCTGGAACAACGTGCCTTCTATCGTATCATTTCCGGATTACACTCAAGCATTAATATACACTTGTGCTCGAAATATTTATTATCAGAGACAAAGGATTTCCTAGACCCCCAAGGCATCTGGGGACCTAATGTCAAGGAGTTTAAGCGTCGCTTTAGTCCAGAAACAACTAGCGGCGAAGGTCCACACTGGCTACGCAATCTATATTTTATCTATCTAGTCGAATTGAGAGCGTTGGCCAAGGCAGCGCCATATTTGAGACGTGAGAATTATTATACGGGAATCGCCGAGGAGGATGAGGAAGTAAAGCTGGCTATGCACGACATGCTAACGGTCATAGAGTAAGTAGAGCTCTATATTTCTATAAAAGAAGTATCTCATGTTATCGTATCTCATTACAGATCCTTCCAATCACACTTCAATGAGAATGCCCTATTCAGCAGTGGCATTGCCTCGATTAAATTCAAAAATGATTATAAAGAGAAATTCCGAAATATCTCACGTATTATGGATTGTGTTGGCTGTGACAAGTGTAAGCTGTGGGGTAAATTGCAAACGCAAGGTCTGGGCACCGCACTCAAAATACTCTACTCGGAAAAACTGAATTTGGCAACGGAAAGTGGGATTTGGGACAAGCCACACATCGAGGCGGATCCTATATTCCGATTGTCGCGAACAGAAATTGTTGCGCTCTTCAATGCCTTTGGCAGGTGGGTATTTAAACCTTGGTTAAGCGAGCTGTGAATATGCTAAAACAATACCTCGTCAGAAGATACAGGGTATTGCTTAGCTGACAAGGTCACTTGCCCTTTTTTCTAAACAACATTCGTGCATTTCACTAATTAATGTATTTTTGTTTCATTTCAGATTATCCAACAGTATATACGAAATGGAAAATTTCCGGCGTGTACTCAGATAGCCAGATGAATAGTAAAACGCCCCTTAAAACACGTCACGAGTCAAAATTCCCTACATTTCGAGCTCTCTCATCCGCGTACGACTGCTCAAAGACTTTTAGTTAATTGATGCGTACATCTATTTAGACATAATTTAATGATGGATATGATTAGGGCCGGTTTCCCTCCAAAATAGTTACCAGCAGCAGCCAGAGGCTACCAACCGTGGACAGCTGTATTATTGTATATATTGGGAATGCATTAAAAAGGTTTATACGTAGGCTACTTGTACTTTACTACCCCCACCCCTATTTCCGCTACACAGGTGTATATTTTTCATATTGTAAGTTAGAGTATATTAATTTATTGTGAACTATTGCATAACTATTTCTAGGAAACAATGAAAAAATAAAAAAATTTTCTTGTGCAATAATTTTGTATGTTTTTTATTCCAGCCGTTACAGAAACAAAATGCCGCAGTATTAAACGTAGGACAGTCTGAATAGTGGAGGCCAATCGATAATAAATAACAATTTTGTTTGTCGTACAGCAACTATCTCATTTAATGGTAACACATAGTTAGCGTTGTCATGCCTACTGTAAACTAGCGACGTTAATAGTGGCGGCGCTACGATAACAATTATTTTTGACATGCTGCGTAGCAACATTAACTGATCAGGCGTTGCCATGCCAACAACAAGCTGACAACGCTGTCAGTACATTCAAACACACTCAATAACAATCAACAATATTTTTATGTTATATAGCAACCGAGTTTTTTGTTAAACAGATGAAAATCTGAGCCCAAGAAGTACGGCTTGATTAAACTAAATATATATTTGTATTCAAAATGGTTGTGCTACATGTGAAACGCGGCGATGATCATGTGTTTCTCTATGAAACAAGTGTGAACACGGCCACCGATACCGTTATACGAGAATTGGTATCGGTTTACAATGGCCGCTTGAAAGTTCAGCGCATTTGCATGGAGATTGAGGAGCTGGCCGAGCACGGTACAATGCTGCCTGAACAGATGAGGCAGCTGAACGATGATCAGATCGAGGAGCTACATCTAAAGGATGAATGGGCCGATAAATGCATTCCCATGGGCGGTTTTAGCTTCAACAAGGATCCGCTGTGCCGGCGCAACGGCCAACAGCCAAACGAAGCAATGCGCAAAGTGCTAGAAAAGGCGGTAACTGATGCCAAGGCAATGATAGACAAGGTATATTGCTATATTGTACATATCGTGTATGTTTATAGCTATTTACCGTTTCATATTCAATAGAAATTGTGCAAATCGAATTCGGCTCTGACCCTGAAGATCGTTGAGGAGGCATTGAACATTTTGCGCGGCGCCGTGATGATTGTTTATCCAATGAAGCTGCCTCCGCATGATACCATACAAATGGAATTTATTAATATGGAGGATTTAAGTGGCACGCAGGCCTCAAAGGAGGTGATTGAGCCGTCCAAGGCGCAATTGTGGTTTGCAGGACGCCAAATTTTAATGGGCAAGCAGCTGAAGGAGTATTTGGGCAGCAATGATAAGACTAAGGTGGTGAAACCAGTTTCAGCTATATGTAGATGTTACAATAGCTATATGTTTTATCTTCTATCAGGTGGTGGTCAAGCTAAACCAACTAGGTGAGGGTCCACCTGGCAGGGAGCAGGTCATAAACGAGCAGCTGCGTCGACAAATGATGGCAGCTAACTTCAAGCGACAGGAGGAGCTCAAGGTAAGTCTCAACTAAGCTCGTTTAAATAGTGTAAGGAGAACTGTGATGGTGGATATAAGAGTTTTTAAATAGATAGTATTGCGATTGATGAACTTCTTTAAAAGTATCCAAATTATTGTGATTCCAAACATGCTTTTCCTGCTCGAGCGAGCTTTGAAATGCTTTATTTATTAATATTTTCTATAAGTATGCTCTTACATATGTATATAAAGTATATATATCTATAAATGGATTACATAGGTTTAATGAAATTTGTAGAAAGTTAAGTTAAGCTGGGTCTCAAAAGCTATACCCTATTTCTTAGGAATTGTGCAAATCGGGCTTAAAAAATATTCAGTAATACTTCCCAAACTGCCATAAATTTTCTTAAAAAAAAAACAAAAATTTAAGGTAGATATTTGAAATATTCTTCACCAGACTTGCTGCCCATATTTTTCGTAGATAAATTTCGCATAGATGAGCTAAACTAGTTCAGAGTATAAGAGAATTCATTGTATATAGGCATAGCTACTAAATCTCAAATCGTTAACCGTTGAAAAATGGAAAATCGAGGCCAAAGATAATATGACCTTAAATCTATGTGATTTCTGTGTTCTACAAACTTGATTTGTCGTCTTTTCTCTAAATAAATGCATTTGCCCAAAAAAAAAACATTTTTGGTGCCATTTCCTATTAAGGAATCTAAGAGCTTATATAAATGTATATATATATCTATATAGTTATATGGTTCAGCAGATAAGAATCGAGTTTTTGTCGAGTTTTGTCGTTGGTTTTGTATTACAATATATTCCCTGGATTATGTGTATGTGTGTGTATATATATATATATATATATATATAAATTCTTGTTCTAAATGCAACTGACTTTGCAAATTCCAAGGCACATCTACTGAACCAAGCTGATTAAATAGTTATATATATATAGTTGTTCGTAATCCTAACTTTAAAGAGGTTAGTTATAAAGCTCTTGAGAGTTACATTTTCTATAAAAGAATGTGAATGCTAAGAAAACCCAGATATATGTATATATAAATATTTCTATAAATATAAAAAACAAAGATTTTAAGTAAACTTTTGCAGGTCCCTAAATATTTGGTAGAGTGTCTTCCATGTTATGTTGGTTGTTCTTTTTTCGATTTTCAAGCATATATATATATATATATGTATATATATATATATATATATATGTATATATATATATATATATATACCGAGCTCATTTTATAGCTAACCTTCAACTATATAGGACTATATATAGACTAGGGCTATATATATTTAGAGTATAACTAGCGGCTTTTCGGGCACATCACATTTGCTCGCCTTTTCGTCCTGATCCTCGGTGAAATGCTGTTCATTGGAGCCGGCAGTTGGACTTAACGGTATCAAGGATTTGGTGCTGCCAATCATTTCGGGTGTATCATAAGGCAGCGCCTGTTCAGACACCTGCACCACCTCTACTTCAACCACTTGCTGTTGTTCTATTTCAACCACATCGTCATCTGTGTCATAAACTTGTTCCGGCTGATTGGCGGCCGCATTGCCAAAGACATCATCATCCGAATCGTCGCCGGCGCAAACACAACGCATCTTCGCATCGTCACCCACCTGCAAAGGAGGGAAGTATTTAATGCCTTCAATTGATAATCTCTAAAATGTATAACTCACCTTGACGGACTTCGTTATCACGCACAGCGAAATGGAGGAGATCACGAAGAGCACAATCGGCACAATCAGCGAGACGACCAGCTCGCGGTAGACCTTATCCAGATCGTAGCGTGCGACCACAAATTCCACATTTGCATCCTGAAAGAAGGGTGGTTAAAGCTCTTTGGACTGATAGACTACGAGATACTCTCTTTTTGTTTCCCTGCAAACTACATTTCTCTCTATCTGTTACATACATACTCTTAGCATATAATACCCTATTTTTGAATTGCTATAGCCTACAAGGCATACTGCGCTACCTGATACAGCGCTGCTTGGCGCCAATTCCTTGGTTACGAGTGGCAGTTGCCTTAACCCCACCTGCTACAAACTTGCCTTATGCTCCTGGTACGCAACATTTGAAACCCGATCCCCCAGCTCGGCTGGTTGGCCAGCTGCTTGGTTACCTTGTTGTAGTAGCATTGATAGCGTGACTGAGCTGTGTTATTATCGCCATCGTTGCCATAGCGGGCCACGAAGTCCTTGCACTCTCCTTTGAGTGTGTTGACACAGCCCTCTAGATTGATGAACAGTTTTTTCCAGCTGTAAATGGTTAGATTGGCCTGGTTGGGCAGAAACTTTTGCTCCGGATCTACGGCATGTGTGCTGTTCTCATAGATGGCCCAGAACTGGGTGAAGTTCATATACGGAGCCGGCAGAGTCTCATGCTCCAGCAAGGTGCCATTCAGGCAGTCCGTAGCACTAATAGAAAAGCATTCGAATATAGCTTATATAAGTTGGATTCTATTCGTCACTTACGTAATGCGATTGTCTGACTCGCGAGTGACTGTTGCACAGTTGGTCAAGAGATTGCCATCGTCCTCCTTCCAGAACTCGGTGGGTTCAATGCGTACGCCATGCTCCTTGCCGCGTGCCTCGTTGAAGGCCACAGCGTTCTCACAGTCGGCAGCAATCACATTGTCCTCCTGCAGGCAGATAGTCAAGAGGACTTATAATCGACATCCTTTAGAGGTACTTACGTGCATGATCAGCGTATTGATATTGGCTGTAGTTATGCGTGAGCAATAGCGATCGCAGCTGAAGGGTCGTTTGATCTTCGTGCAGTGCACGCCATGGCACTCGAAGAAGCCATTCAGCTTGGTATTGTCCTTGGCAGAGTTAATAACTGGTCCATCGGGCTTGTGATGACACAAAAAGAACTCGGACATGTTCTTGCAGTGACCTGAATAAAGAAGTTTCGGAGTTGAGATGAAGTTAAAGAGAAGTTGAAATGAACTTCAGCATACGTCTGTTAGTCTCTCTATAAAAGACTCAGCTTTTCATGCAATATACTATAATACTATGATATCCTATCCTATCTTTCGGCACTTACCATTGGAGCAGTTGAATACGCCGCGAATGTTGTTGCAAACGGTGCCATTGTTGCAGTTGAATTTGTTCAATCGATTCAGGTCAATCTGAAAGCGATAGAAGAGGGCGGCAGATGTAGTAAAAAGATTAGATGTTTGCATGTCCATTTCCGTTAATGGATCGTAAAGACGTCTTGGCGCCAGAGAAATGCTGCAAATGCTACAAATACTTGACACATATTTGCCTTCGCATCGGATTGACAGGCTCTGAGTCATCCATTTCGCTTGCGATTTTCTTTTATTGATGGTTCAAACTAAGCAGAGGTTTAATTTTCTCAAGGAAACGACTTTATTGCTCGTTTTATTTTGTGGTCTTAACATTATGAAGGAACCAATTTCATGTGGAGAAATCTTTTACTAAAGGTTCAAACTCTTTTCATAAAGTTTCAAACTCTACAAAGAAGAGAATCTAAGTGGTTCAATCTCAATAAATGCCACTTGTGGTTGAAACTACACAGATTCAATAAGATCTTAAACTTCGCATTGGTTCAAACTCCGCAGCTTACCTGAGCACATGACGTATTGGTCACCCTGGTGCAATTGTTGAGTTGTATATCGGTGCCATTGCGTCGCACCACCGAGTGAATCTGCGGACAAAAGCCACTGGTGCGAGTCAAGCACCACTCGCCGCAGGAGGCCCAAGGACAATTGTTGGGCATTTGACGATCGACTGTTTGGCACATGACCGGATCCAGTTCGAAGCCCGACTTGAAGGCTCTGAAGTAGAACAAAGCAGCTAGAATATATAGAGAGAGTGGGGGATGGGAAGCGTGCGGTACTCACTTGAGCGAGGGCGAGTAGATGGCCACACTCAGATAGACAATGGAGACGCAGGACAGCACCATAGTCAGCTGGCATAGGCAGATGGCGCGACAGATGCGCTTATCCTGTTCGGGTATAAGGCGCGGCTTGTCCTTGCGACGTGCCATGGCTATAGGGTAGATAGGACTTGTTGAATTCGCAATCAAGTCAACTTTAACTTTTTCTTTTCTCGCTGCTTTACCCTATATATATCCTTTTCAAGGTGACTGGGTTGAGGGTGGGTTCCACTTGCTGTTGCTGTTTGATTTGCTGCTATTTGTTCTATTTGTGTGTCAACTGTTTGTTTGCCGTACGAACTATTTGAGTTGCGTTTGTTTTGGCCAACTTTTGCACTTGCTGTGCATGTCCTTTGCTGCTCTTTTTTAATGTCCTTTTGCTGTGTTTTCCTATGTTTTCCTATGCCCACACAACAAGTGCCAAAGACTTCGGTGCGCTGCTATTGACCGCTCGCTTGCAACTGACTGAACCAGTCAATGCCTGTGCCTGTGCCTGTTCGTCCTGGCATTGTCCTGTTTTTAGCCAGGCTGCTCAAAGCGTACTTTTACTTTCCAAATGAAAGCGAAAGTAAAAGTATGCCAAAACAAACCCTTGGCCTGCCTGCCCGCCACCCTCCCTGACCCCAACGCCTGCGCACAGCAAAAGCTTTCTCTCTGTCTCTCTCTCACCCTCGCTTTGAAATCCTTCAAATAAAACTCTCTTTATTGTTTTTTTTTAGTGTAATTTGTTTATTTGTAATTAGGCCGTTAGCTTTTTTTGGTTTTGTTAAATTTGTTTATTTGATAAAGACACGTTAAGTAAAAAATGTTTTTGTTTGAAATATTTGTCGGATTTTTTTTGTTTGATTTTAAAAAATTCTCATAAGCAACGTGCGTTATATATCGGTACTGCTATTAAGCTATATATATGTATATATACCATATACATATATACATATGTATACATAAATATATATATATATATATATACATATATATATATTTATATATATTTGTTATATATTTCCATTAAATTTTTCATTTTTATATTGTTTTTTTACATAAGTTTTTTAAAACAATTTCAAAATGTCGCAAATTGTGAGTTTGAATGATTGTGGAATATTCATATATATATATATATATTTGGTTCCGATTTCTATGGTGTGTGTCTGAATTCATGTAGTTCATATGTAGAACTCTCTAATCCCAGTTTTTTTTAGCTAGGTTTACAATCATTTGATTTTTACGTTTTTACGAATTTGTTACTTAATATTTGTTTTTTTTTTTTTTTGTTTTTTTATGACTACTATCACAATTCTTTTTTGAAAACAAGCATCTTATTTATTCTTTTATTTTTGTGTAGAAATTTGAGTTTTATCTAATGTATCTATATATTATGGAAATGGTGGAGCATCGAGAAGCGTTACAAGAAATAAGCGAAAATTTCTTAAACTCAAGTAATATAAAGTTATTTATATATATATGTGTGTGGTATATAAAGCAAGTTGTTCTACGAATTGAAAAGTTCTTAACAAAATTAGTTTGAAAAGTTTGTTTGGTTTTGTCAATGCTCCGCTATAAGTAAATGTGTCCTATATAATAATGGCAGATGGTTTCCTCTTTCAATATATAGTATATAAGCTATTTGTATATATATATATGTGTGTGTGTGTGTGTTGGTATAGACTACATAGTTAATTAGCTATTTGTTTAAGGAGTTTTTTTTGTTGGTTTTTGTGTTTTGTTTAACTAATTTGTATTTTTTGCTAGTATTCCATTTCATCATCTTCATCACTGTGACACAGAAGTTTGCTAAAAGAATTGATTGGAATCGTAAAGCTATATAGATCAAATGCTAGATTGAGTCAGTTAACAAATTAAGTCAAAGCATGCCAGAGAGTTGTTTCCATATGTGTGCTAGGCCTATGATAGGTACACTCAGAGAAAAGGCCAGCAGGCATAATTTTCCATTGAATTATATAATATAACCAGACTAACCAAAAATATCCTAGCCTAAATATCTATATATCTTATGCACTTTTAAAGCTTATTTCAGGCTGTCAAATTCTGCATTTTTTTTCTTAGTTCCAAAACTTTTGGAATTCAGTTGATCTAAGTTTTCTTTGACACTGGGACAGAAAAAACTGCAAAATATGAAAATTTTAAAAGAAGTATCAAGTTCTAGTTAATTAGTTCAGCTTTCTAGCTGCTTAAGCTTTTTCTAGCTATTAAATTCTTATTTTAGAAAAATTATCACACTTCAAATTATAATGCAGGTTTAAAATAATAAGATCTTATGCTTGCATTTAGAAAATATATATCGAATACTTCAAAATAAGCTCCATTTGTTTTAACTATAATACGCTAAGCTCAGAGCTTAAGTGCAGGCTAAGTTAAGTCTAAAGACTCAACTCAGAAGTTAAATAAACGTTTTCTCCCCTTGTTAGGCATATTTTCTCTGAGTGTATTCAGCAGCAAAGTAAAACATGCAAAAATGAAAAACATTGAACTAGCAAATACATTAAATCATCATGCTCATATATATATATTATATATATAAGATTTAAAAATATACTTTTTATATTTAAGTTTAAAATTATTTTCTTTTGTTTTTTGGTCGAATTTGAACTGAGCTTTGTATAGTGAATATTATTTAAAGCCTGGACGAGTGCAGAATTTCTTTGCTTTTAAGTAAAACTTGAAAGTATCTAAGAAATATTTTATATATATAACATATATATATATACATATATTTATATATATAGTCTATAAGATGCATTTATCTGTTTTGTGCTCTTTAAGTTTTAGAAGAAAAGTCTTGTAGAGAGTTGAGAAAATGGGTCTAACTAAACGCCCTTGAGGTGTATAATGCTATATAGATTAGATTCTTACGATATGGCTTAGCTTGAAGCTGAGATCGACCGAAAAGATATATTTGCTAAGGACACTTCAGAGTAACTTTTTTAAAGCTTTTTTGTTTATGTTCTATGCATTGGGTGTGTACTGAGCGTGCTGAGATTCCCTTTGGTTACATAGAGCTTTACTTAGATCTAGGTTTTTGTAGTCCTATTTCAATTTCATTTTCGAAATTCAGGCACTGTCGCTTTTTAGTTATTCATTCAAAATACATTCAAAGTTAAGGACTTTTCCGTATTACATTTCATGCAGTTAACGATCCTGAAAATAATTTTACAAAGAGAAAAGAAAGAAAGAAAGAGAGAAGGATAGAGAGAGAAAGGAAGAAAGAAACACGTAAAAGGCATGAACAAGTCGGTGAATGGAGAAACGAGTCTTACAATTGTAATTTCACAAACTTAGGATAAAATACGTTTATAGCGGCCAATATAATAAGGTTTAACATGTACAATCGAGAACGATAACGATAACGATTACTATTACGATTACGATTACTTATGACAATTCCAAATACAAGGCACAATGGAATATTATTTAAATTGTTGGATGTGTGAGTGTGTGTTTAGGGCGGGTATTACTACAATACGGGGGATTTGGTCTGTTTTGTTTAAATGAGACTCACTCTTCCTTTGTTGGAAACTTTTCGGCATAGACACGCGAGGACTTATTGCACGCCTTCTCACAGCAGGGGCAATACCAATAGCTCAAGACACCAATTGAAATGGCAAATAGAACATTCGGTATAATCAGCGAGAGTACCAAGTGGTACAGATTGTTCTCCCATGAGTAACGCCCGATAACCACTTCCGGGTAGGCGCGACTGTAGTAGCAGGGAAATGGCTCGCCAATGTGATTAAAGCTATAGCAAAGAGAACTGTGGATTAGTCTTTCACATACGGCATACAGCACTAAGTTGACCCACCCATATTGTCTGGCGAAAACACTGCAATTGGTCGTCGGTGGATAGCCGCAACCCTCGGAATTGATTAGAAACTTTGTGTAGCTAACATCCCAATTGACGCGCTCCAAGTCTCGAGGATTGCGCTCCCATTCGCTGTAGGGTATTCGCGTATAGTTGACAAACAACTGATGGCACCTGGTCGAATAGAATTCAAATCGCACGTAAATAATCAGATATGCATTAATAGAGAAACTATATACTTAGTGAGTGATGAAGTGCAGCCCTCGCGACACGAACTCCAGCTGCAATTCTTAATGCCCTCCGCATAGATGTGATCGATCACAACGCAGGTCACCGGCACCGGATCGTAGTCGGCGATGATTGTTGAAATTGCAGGATCCACAACAAAGGGTATCAGGAAGAGAAATGTGAACACCGACAAAATGGCAGTCGTACCTATGGAGAGAAACTCTCATTAGTTTTGTAACTTATGTAATGAAGGATGGACAACGAAAAACTGAAGGAAGGACAGCTGAAGGAAGCATAGAAAGGGCAATTTAAGGAAGGACAACTGAAAGAAGGATAACTAAAGGAAGCATAACTAACAGTTAGAAAAACTAATTGAAGCAAGGACATCTGAAGCAAGAACTTACCAAGGCACACGGAGGTGTAGAATTTCGCCTTCTCGAGTATGGTATCGATTTCGATCTCCTCTCGCTTGGCCTTAATGGCGTCGACGCAACCGCTGCCCGGTCGAACTGGTCCATGCGATTGGCAGGAGGAACGACCCGAACGGCTGCTGCTCAGGCTCATTTTGCTGGCCGAAAGCGTTTGCGCCGACAGCGTCGGAGATGTTGGCATCGATGTGGTGGTCGTCAATGTGGAGCTCTTCTTCATGGTTGCTTTTGTGTGTATCTGTATGTCTGTGAGTGTGTGTGGATAAAAGTTTTCTTCTATTTTGTGTTTTCTTTTCTATCACTAAAAGCCTTAAAAATGAACACCGCTAACGTTTGCTGCTCGCTAAGCCTACAACAATAAACAACTTTTTGCCGAGAGTTTTGTCTCTCTGCGTTCTGCTTCTCGATTTCCAAGTTTCTCGCAAGTTTCTCTCTGCTGCGCCTTTTTCTTCTTTCGAAATGGAAATTGTATTTTCTTTTAGCTTTAATCTAAGTCTTTTTTTTTGTTAAAATTGCGTTGGATTTAAATTTTTTATCTAAATTTATTTTGTTTTTAATTTAGTTTAAGGTTAACTTCTTCTTCTTGTTTTGTTTAATAAATCTTCTTAGTTTTGATCACGCATCCCTCCAAACCGTTTGACCATTTGCTGAATTTTATTTGCCTGCTCCTAAGGGCTGATTCTAGTTCCCTCTGTGAGTGTGTGTGGGTGTCTGTGTGTGTGTCCGTGTATGGGTGCGTGTGTGCGTGAGTGCATTGAAGGTATTCCCTATAGATTCTCCTTTCTTAACTTAAAGTTAAAGCATCAATCAACCAGGCCATGCCTAACGCTTATTACTCTCAGTAGATGGCGCGCTTTTCTAGCCTATCCAAGAAAAAAACAAGAATTAAAAATCAAATTCAAATATAGAAATTATACTAATATTGTCCTCTCTTCGGTTCTGTGTGTTCGTAACTCGAGAATTGTTCACGTGCCTCGCATGTGGTGTATATAGATATCTCTTTAGATATAGTTTTATATAGTTTTTCGTTTCGTTTTTGTGTTTGCTGTTAGCTCAGGAGTGTCCTTTAGCAAGCTGCGCTCAGGTGTGTGGTCTGTTAGTAGTTCGATGGAAGGATTACAAAGTGTTTCTCGATTGTTTACTATGCCCAACTCCATTTATTGCAATGCGAAGACGCCAGTCTGATGAACCGGACTGTCTTCCTGGAGCAGAGGAATGCCTGCAAAGATACAGATAGAAAAAATATCTAAATAAGTCTCTTAGATAATTTTTTCTAAATAAAAGTTATTAGGAATTAGGGTTATGAGGAAGGATTTCTGTAGGAAGTTGTCTGAGGCTGTTTTAACAGGAATAACGTTTAAGGAATACTTTCAGTATATTAAGGAGTTTTAGGGAAATGATAAAATGCGAGTGCTCAATAGCAGTTGACACTTGGGATTTCTATATTTGTAAGACTGCGCCTAAGTATAAATGAGCTAAACGTCTTAAAGATCATCACTAACTCTACTTGAGCATAGGTTTGCTATAGTATGTCGCCTAGATTTGGATCCACTACGAGGTGAACAAGTAACGGTTCATTCGATTTACCCTTCGTTTGTCAATTAAGCAATTGTCCGACGTGGCATAGTTGGCCTAAGTGTGTGTATTTACCCTAGTTAGAAGAGGCTCTTTATGTTAAGCTTACGTGACGGATCTCATAGGGCCATGACTTCATCGCCACCGCCTCCACCCATGTCGCCGTTGGTCGGTGCGCCGACGTTGTTCTTGGATAGAATGGTTTCCGTGTCGACGCAGCCCTTGAAACGCATCTTGGCATCGTCGCCGACATAGACGGTGCGCTGGCATAGCAACAGCACCGAACAGGATACCACGAACAGCACCGACGGCACCACCGACGCGAACACGAACTGGCGATAGGTGACCTCCAGATCGAAACGGGCCACAACAATATCCTTCTTCGATGGCGAATAGAAGCAGGGGAAGCGAGCCCGTGCATTATGATCGCTGCCATCCCGACCGAACACCTTCAGGAACTCCTTGCACTCATCCATCAGCGTATTGACACATCCCTCCAAATTGATCATCAGCTTTGATTCGTTCGATATGGTCAAATCGACGTCGGGCGGAGCTATCTCCGGCACCGGCGTCGCCACCGACACGTGCAAATGACTGAGATATGTAAAATTGGTCAAATCGGTGAGCATATTGTGCTCCAGCGTCGATCCATTGATGCAATCCACAGCATCCACTCGATCCGAGGTGTTCTTGATGAAGTAACACGATGTCATGGCCACATTATCGCTCGACTCGTTCCACACTTCCTCCAAAGTCTCCGCATTGATGGCATTCTGGCACTGCGATAGATAAACCTTATCGCCACTGAGCACCACCACATTCTTGTTCCGAGTGGGTATATCCACGCAGCGTCTATCGCAATTGTAAGGCGTGCGTATCTTGCGGCAGGTGCCGCGACTGCAAGAGAACAAACCACTGATGTCCATGCAATTGATCTTGCCACGTCGCCCGGAGCACTTGACTGGAGCGTCGCTATTGTGGAACACACACTCAAAGGCGTCCGTTATGTTCAAGCACTGCCCGGCGGTGCAGTTAAAGGTGCCAGTTAGATTCTTGCACTCATCGTTGATGCAGCGCGCCTTGTCCGCTCGGTCCTGATCGATGCCGTAGCACGTTTTATTCGCTGAATTCGTGCAGTTCTGAAACGTAAGATTCGTGCCGTTGCTGCGCAAGTTCACATAGATCTGTATACAGGCGCCAGATGTTTTGCTCAGACACCACTCGCCACAGCTGCCCCACTCGCAGCTGTCCTTGTTGACGGCGCGAGTGGTGGTGCACATGACAGGAGTTGGATCGATGCCGCTCTTGAAGGCACGCGTCGATGGCATATAGATGGCCACAGTGAGATAGACCAACGCTACGGAGCTAAGGACGAGCGTCATTTGGCATATGCAAATTGTGCCACAGATGCGATTATCCTGTGGTGGCACAATTAGCTCCTCGCTGGGCACTTTCTTCTTGCCCATGACTGTAGCTGCGCTTTACTCTAGGTTAATCTCGGCCAGAATGTTGTCACACTATCTTTCCCTCTCTCGCTCGCTCGCTCTCTCTCTTTTACTCTCGCTTATGCTAATGCCTCGCGTGCTTGGCCAATTAGTTGCGCTTCATCTTGGCCTGTCCTATCGATTCGCCTTTGCTCTGTGTGTGTTTGTTATATAACCAGATTTAAAGCTCGTGCGTAATGCGCTTTTTTATGTCTTTCCAATTTTTTTTTGCAGCTCGTTTAAATTTTACACAATTTGAATCTATTATCGATTTTTGGTGACAAAAAAGTTTTGTGCGAAAAAGTTTCGTTTGGTTTTCTGCACTGCAACTCGAAACTAGATTTAACAACTTATTTATTATTAATTAACTATTTAACAGCTAGCTATTGCTTTTGCTAATTTCTAATATTCGATTTTAGTTTTAGCAGCTGTGGCATTGCTTTGGCTTTTTTTTTTTTGTTTTATTAATTTCTGCTGCTGCTTTATTGAGCCTCGCCTCGCTTCGCCTTGCACACTTTTCGCACTGAATTGCTGCTGCAGCTCGTGCTTTCTCTCATGTCGTCGTCGTCGCCATCCTGACCGCCGACAACATGCCGCCAGCTTCAGCCTGGCTCTCATCTCTCTCTATGACTCTTTCAGCAAATCAAAGCGCTGCGCGCGCATTTTCTATTAACAAAAAAATCAATAAATCCGCATTCCAAAGCCCTTGCGCTCTCTTCTGCCCCTCTCTTGCGCTGCACTCGCTCTTTCTGCTGCCAGCTGCTGCTTTCATTGATTAAGCTGAATCGTGACTGAAACACGTGCCACGCCTCCATCTGCTACGCCCTACGGCTGTTTACGCCACCATTTTGAATGCAGGGCAGGGTCAGCGAGTGGGCGTTTATGACGTTCGGCTCTATTAATGTGTTTACATTGTGTATAAATATATATATATATATTTCCTCTACAATTCGTGCTGGAATGCACAAAATTAACAGTTGTAAAATAAGTTTAATTAATGACATATAGAGATTTAATAAGATTATTCATGCTACTCCTCGTGCTCTATCCTTTGTTAGCCCTCCTTAATGGGCATATTCCAGGACTCGGCTATGATTTGTATTGCCCGCCGGCTAAGTCTTGGTCCAATGAGTGGATTCATTTGTGCCAAGTAGCAACACAGCCAGAAGAGCCAGCAGCAGCCTGCGGTTAGCATCAAAATACATTGAATCAGCTGCCTTTGTGGTCCACGGGGCGTAATCATTGAACCGCCAATGCCAACGGCGGCCCACAGTGAAGTGAAGAATAGTATAGGGAGTACGTCGGCGCCCATGGCTCAATATTTGTTGGGCAGTTTAATTTGTGCAAAGGAAAGTTTAGGCCAAAATTGCAAATTTCACTTGTTGGCTTTGTTTTATATTTCTTTTTGGCTGATTTGCGATTGTTGTTAAAACTATCGATATATTCTAATAATAGTGAAAGCAACGCTGTTAAAAATAAACGCAGCGCTGCCAACTTGCTGCACGGTGACCGAATGATGGGCGCTGAATTTGAATGTGTGGAATTTGTTCGGATATTGGTATTTCCTAGGGTTAAATGTTAAGCTACAAATTTAAAATATATATAGCTGCGTGATGTGCTATGCGAGAGATATTCAATATATATATCTATATATAACATATGTATCCATATATATAAATATAAATTTAGAAAAAGGGGAACCCCTTGCTTCTAAAAAAGGAGGCTATATGACGCACTTTGTAACACATGCCATTTGATTGAATTTACTCACAGTTTATAGCCTATTTATAGTTTTAATTTAACACTTGGCCAACGAGTTGTCGAGCATAAAAGCTTTTTCAGAATTGATTTAACACTGTCTATAGGAAATAATATACTTTCTCTTCCCTCTCTTGCGAAGGTCCTTCCTTTGTTGACTTACCAGCCAAAGTGACAACTAGTCCAGCTAGCTGGCTATAAAATATTCACAATATATATAACAATAACTTTTCCTTCCGCTTGTCCAGCTTTCCCCCATTGAATAATCAATGGCAACTGTTATTGAGGAACTTCACAAATGTTTGATTGAGGCGACGTATTTTTTTGGTAATATTTCGAATGCGCTGCTAAGTAGGCAACACTTCTTGCATAGCAAAAAGAAGGTCAATTGCATTTTCCTTCTACTTTAATTTCTTTTTTCTTAATTTCTTTGAATATGATTCGTTACTCACATGTACAAAATTGTGGGTGTTCCATGTATTTAGGTTTATTTACGTTCGCACACACACACACACACAAACGCAGGCACACACTGAAAGCAGCACATGCGACACACGCACACACATCCACTCACACACACACGCACACGTAAAGGCGTTTCATAATGGAAATGCAGCACGATTTTAATCTTATTGCTTAATATAAGTCTGTTAACTTTAAACGCAGTTTTATTGTTTCTTATTTTTTGTAAGGCAGCAAATTTGATTTGATTCGACAATTTTCTTAGTGATTTTCCAAACAGATGAATACTTTCAGTGTGACGTGCACGGCTCGCGGCTCACATTTTTTCCCTGCTGTTTACGCCACAAAAATATTCTGACATTTCTTCCAAGCGAGAGAGCAGCTGTCGCTGGGCGTGCGCAAGCGCCTGGCCATGCCTGTCTTTACGTCATCTATTGGGGTGGCCGCTACTGTTGCTGCGACTGCTGCTGCAAGCTTTACATGTGAGAGCGAGCTTTGTCGTTTGGCTGGCAGCGATTCTCGCTAAGCCCCTACAAATTGTTTGACCAGGCAGCTGCTAAGCTTGCCAGCTGTCGCGCATGCCGCACGCTTTGTGTGAGTGTGCGTGCATGTGTTTGTGTAGCGCAGCACATCGCAAAAGCTCAGCTCGTGCTGGAGCTCAGCCAGCGTTCAGCTGCAGCGACGCCAGCAGTGGCAGTCCTTTCGGTGAAGAGTTCAGCCGTCGTCGTTGTCGCTTGTCTCGTTGTCTCCGCCATTTATTGCCGTCGCCTCTTTGTCGGTCGGTCCGAGGCTCCAGCGAAAATGACAAAATGTGAATATGCATGTGTGTGTGTGTGCGTGTGCGTTGTTTTCTTTTTTTGTATTTTGAACTTTTGACCCGTACGCGCAATCAGGTCATTAAAAATTGTTTCGAAATACTGTAAATGAGCTCAGGTTCCGTTTGTTTTCTGCTGATTGAAAATGCGTAACCGTAACCTGAACCTTGAGTAAACAGCTACACACGCACACCTCACTGTTGTTTGTGTGGCTATGTGTGTGGCTGTGTGTGTGCGTGCTACGTCACAGTGGCCAGGCGAGACACTCGTGGCTTAATGTGTTAACCACAACACTGTCATTGGGCAATGTTTGTCATAAAAAAAAAAAAACAGAATTAACCACACTCGCCTTTCGCTTGGCCCCCATTTCAATTGGTTGCCCATTTGCCTGCTTTTTTCTTGCTGGGCTCCAATTGAATCACAAAACGCAAATGAAAAATCGTTTCGTGCAAAGCACGAGGAGTCGCCAGGGCGTCCTCAACCCGCCATGGCCCCGCTCGTCTACCGAGTAGCTGCCATGCCGCATAATATTGTTTGGCATGGTGTCGCCACCTCTCTCTTACTCTCTCCTCCCCTCTCCATCTCTCTAGCTAACTCACTCTCTGGCCTGCGTGCCAAATGAATTGAAAATTACATGCGGCTCCAATTTTTTTGTTTGCACTCCCTACCCAACCTGTGCGGACGACACTGTTTTTGACGAGCTACAGGCAACTCCATTGAAGTAGTTATTAGTGCCGCCCATGTGAGCTCATTGTCGCCAGTTGTTGACTACCTGCCCTCTACATCGCTTTGCCCATCCTGTGGCCTCGCCTGCAGCTGCTGCTGCTGCTGCTGCTGATGGTGCTGCTCGGCGGCATATTTCCGTTTCGTAATACAACGGCACATGAGCGTCGCAGTGTTGTGCCCCTTCCAACTTAAGCAAACGGTACCGTTAAGAATAACAAGCACAGCCCAAATAGCATGGAAATGTACACACACACACATTCATGAACATGGCTATGCATACAGTCGTGGTTACATAAATATAGCAAGCCAATGAAAATACCAACGCGTTTTGTAAAATAAACAAGCAAACTATTTTTAACGCATTTTTTGCAACGATAAATTAAGTATGTGCGCGTCTAACGGCATTCTTAACTCAACCCCCTTTACCAATTGCTTGCTACGCACAGTGTTTCAGCTGCACGTGGCCGCACGAATAGTGTGAGAAAGCGCAAAGGACAAAGCACGGAGCAAAGAGCGCAGTGAATTAAATGAAAAGAGAGAAAGGAAATAAGTGAAAAAAAATAGAAAAGACAACATTTGTCCGTCCAGCATTATTTTATTTTGTTCCAAATGAAAACAAAAGCAACAACAAATGAACTAAATAGCAAAAGCTAAGCGGCTTCAACAGCAACAACAGCAACAGCAACAACAGCAGGCAGCAGAGTGAGAAGCCGTTACTCAAAATTGGGCATAGGCAAACACAAACACACATACACGTACACACACACACACACACACACACACACACAGACGCCCGCACGTACACATATGCGCAGCCTTTTGCCGCAGTCATAAAATAATCAAGCAAAGCCAAAGAGGTGAGAGGAGAGCAGAGATAGCAAGGCGAGGAGCTGCTGCTGTCAAAGCAAAGCAGCAAAACGACTGCAACGTCGAATGCTGCTGACGAAACATCTCCGCTGGGACGCATAAAGCAATTAGCAAAGGTTGACAGCACACGCACACACATACAGCCAAGGCAAGGTAACAGTGTGTGTGTGTGTGTGCCGCTGGTCAGGATTTGCGGAGTGTCCAATGACGGCTAACATGCGTGCTGTGTCGCATCCCTGGATTGTATTTAGACTAATTGCGCACAACAACAACAACAATAACAATAACAAATATTGCGGGCAAAATGCTGCTGCTGCTCCAACTGCTCAGCAGCGGCTGCTGCTGTGATGAGAGCTGAAGAGGATGAAATGGAGAGGCAACGACAGCAACAACAGCAACTGAAAAAGCAAAAGCAAAAACGTAACACGTACTCGACTCGCCCTGTGATATAACTGCACCGTAGTTGTAAACGTTTAAATCGTAGCTCATAGTTATCGTTAATCGATAAATAGCTTAAGCTAAGCAGCAAGGCAGCACTTGGATTAAAGCTGCGCGTGCACTCAGTAATTTAAATAAATATATATAAATAATTATACATAATTAAGAATATATATATATACTAAATATATATATATACATATATATATATATATAATTATACATCACACACTTTGCCTGCCTCCCCTCTTTCGCTCCAATAACTTTTTGCTGCCTGCCTGCCCCGCCAGACCTTGCGCCATTTGAGTATAACTAGACCGGATATCGATAGCGATTAATCGATTTATACAGCCACAGTATGGGAGATGAGCACGAGAAACGCACCACCAAGGAGAAGTTACTCTTCTATACGACGGCATTTTTCATACTTCTCGGCACGTTTAGCTTGTTCGCATTTCTGTTTCTGGTGCCGTTCGTGATTGAGCCCGCATTCACCACGATCTTCATGCAGTTCGAAGAGGTGCCGGCGCTCTGTGAGACATATGATACGGAGATCTATTTTGGGGCCAAGAACTGCTCGTGGTCGTCGTGCCGTGAGGGATGCACCAAGGATATCTATACATGCACGCAAATACGCGTCAATTATCGCCTCAATCTCTACAACTTCACGGACGAGTTCAACTTTACGGAGTATCACATCAACTTACGTGAGGCTGAACGTATTCTGCCGCCCGTAAAGCGCACTGATCGCTACGAGCGTGCACTGAGGGATTACGAATACGATGGTCTGGCTCCCAATAGCATTGACCTGGATGTGGATAGCACTGGTTCCATGGCCACGAACCGCTTCGAGCAGCTGAAGTTCGGGGATGCCGATGGCTCCAATGGCTATTTGATTGAGGATTCTGAATCGGATTCAGATGATGCGGCGAACACTATGATCACTGGTGAGCGACGGCCCTTCGATGAGATCTCGGAGCTGAACGAGGGACTCATGGGCAACAATTCGATCTATTACTATGTGGGCGCTCGTCTGTTTCCCAATGTCAAGGGCTGTGGCTATCCGCCCATGCTGAACTGCACGATTTGGCTGAAGCGGTATATGAAGATCGGAATCAAGTTTCCCTGTTACTACTCGAAGGTGGATCCCAGTTTGGTGATCAGCGATCTGGACTATTGGCAGAATACGCTGAATTTGGTCTACTCCATGGCCATACCCATTCCATCATTCATCATTTCGGTCATCTATCTGACGTATGCCTACTTTAAGATCTACAATGAGGACGAGGAGACGGCGCCGCTCGACAAGAATGCCGAGGACATGGACATTGATGATATCGATGCTGTCGATGATAGCGATGGAGCAGTTCTGGCTGATAATGTGGCCGGCAGTCAGATTGTTAACATGGACTCCACGACCAATGATAGCTGCCTGGACGGTGTCCTGCCCAATGGTGGGCCCGGCATGACCAGGTGCATATCACAGGGTGGCTCAATCACCACTCAATCCGGCCATTACATCGCCCAATCTCCGGCTGGCTCACAAATGACGCCAAACTCGGAGATCAATTCGTTTGGTCATCAGCTCAAGGTGCAGATGGCCGATGAATTGTCCAGAGATTCGCTAGAGAACGGCGTAATCTCCACATCCAACTCAGTGCAAGGGTAAGACTTCATGTATAGTTGTATGGCTTAAGTCACGAAACTATTTGGTTCGGTTCACGGTTCGAATCATACAAATATTTGTCCCTCCTCATCGTTCGGCTTATGATTGAAATCCAGTTTTCTACATATTGATTGTTCAAACCGACTTCTTACTTCTCTTAAATACTTCTCGCTCTCTTATGAACCGCTTCTGCTTTAAACCGGTTCGCAGACTTCACTTAATCCATTTTTCATTTTGTTTAATTTCAGAAACTTGAGCAAGACGATGACGACGAGTATCTCAACTCCACCTGGGCCGACAGCGGCAGTCTGAAACGTCAGGCGCATGGTCTGGAAAATGTTAGATTCCGATTCGGAAAATGAACCGCTGCTCGACTAGCGGTTCAATGCAGCAAGCAAAACCCAAAAAAATATGCATAAAAACCAAAGTATTTCTACCCAAAACAATCGATAAACAATGCATGCAAATGCGAAACGAACCTGAATACCTTCAGAGCTGTTAGAGACACTTAAAACTATGATATAGACATATACATATATATATATATATATATATATATATATATATATATATATTTAACTTATGAATCACTGAACACTCACGCAACTGCAATTACATAATAATTTTATGATAGATCGAACGATAATATTTTCGAATAAGCTTTCAAACACACACACTCACACACAATTTCAAAATTAACGGTACATTTGTAGCATTCACTCTATTCACGATATGAATAATGGATAATGAATATGAATATTCAAAAAAAGAGTAAAACTGAAGAAGTGGAAGCTTCACAAAAGAAAATTGGGAAGTTGAAGTGGGAGAAGTGGAAGAATACTGATCGTAGGCAGTGTTACGTGAGGCAGCGTTGCTTCAGGAGGCAGAGTAGCAGGAGAAGGTTCTGACGCAGTGTTCCCTTGAGGGGGAGGAATAGGAGGAGGATACTGATCTGAGGCAGTGTTACTTTAATTGGTACAAATACAATAACAACACAAACCACTTGAAGAGAGATCTAAGATGAAGTACTATATATACCTATATACCTAAAAAAGCAAGAAGAAGCAAATTATAATACTTATACACAATACATATACAAAAAGGAAAAACAAATATTTACTTGAATTATTTTTCTATTCGCAACAATCGATACCAAGAAGCAAAAAGCAAAAGAAAACAATAAAAAATCTAACAAAAAAAATAAATTAAAGCTAAAAAAAGTCTCGCTGCATTTTCTTTATTTGTTTTTAGATATTTGCTAAATTTAAAGATTTAAAGCAGCATTGTTTATTTTTAAATAACAACTAAATAAATATAAAAAATCAGCCTAAGTATATTTAAAATTTAAAAAAAATTGAAACTTAATTCTAATTTATGATAAAAATATCTATAAAAATAATAATAATTGTTATCCTTCTAATCTTAATGCGGATAAAAACTCACAGCTTTAACTAACGGAAACAGAGGCATAAGATTTTTCTTCTACATATTAATTTTTATTAAGATATATATATACATATATATATATATATATATACATATATATATATATATATACATATATATATATATATAAATGCTATTTATAGGATACTGAAAAAAACAAAGAGAAATGGTTCAAGCTATTCAATTACAACTTTTAAATATATATACTTATGCATTAAACAAAAAAATCATAATAATTTAGAACTAAATATAATGTTTCCTTTTTATATTAACAAACAAAAAAAAAACCAAAACCCTAAAATGCAAGCAAACAAACAAACTAATCGTAATATTTCTAAAAATAAAATAAAACAAATGCGAATACTCTCAAAACTCGTTGCCTAGGCAAATAGATGCATTTGCAACGGTACTTGCACCTATTGCGAATAATCTATCAAAAATTAGCAAAGATACACACACAAACACACACTCAAACATACTCAAACACTCTCAACCACACACAAATAAACAAGCACAAACACACACACAATCACATAGTTTGTCAACAAGATATTTGCATGAACACCAAAAAATAATAAAATGATAAAAAGGATAAAAAGATAAGCAAACAGACAAAGCGCAACTACTAGCTAATATCATGTAAAAAAAAAATAAAAAAAAAACAAACAAATGCTACTAGAATTGAAAACGAAAAGCGAAACAAAATCTCGAAATAAATACGCATTTAGCAGCCTACAAACCAATGCATTCTTTAATTTTGAATCGTTTCTTCTTTTGCAACACTAATAAAACGACAATCACAGCAACATTATGCAACACTTACAAGCGGCAATTAACGCAATATTGCTTAGCATACAAACAGGCGGAAATATATTTGGAAGCAATATCAACTTTATTACTGTTGCGTTTTGCAACACTTAAAAGTAAGTATATCGATGACAGCGATAACGAATGGCATTAATCGTACAACAGTTGGCAACTCTAGAACAGCTGCTTATCAGCTGTGAATTGCAGCACTCGCCGTGCAATGGAAAAAATTGTTATTTGACAAATGTTTGTTATTTTATAAAAGTTTTTAAAAACCAAAGTGCGCTCTACTTACTATTAGCACAAAAAATACATAATTGCTGCTGTTTTTAACCAAGTGCAGCAGCTAAATTTGCTTTTGACTGTTCTTATTGCTGTTGCTATTGCTGTTCCCTGCCTCTTCTTCTTCTCCTTGTAAACAAATTTTTGTGTTGAGGCCGCTGGTTGAAAAATATTAACAAATGCGTTTTCAAAGCTGAACCACACTAAGATGGACAACAAAAAGGACATCTACAACCTGTGGGTGCAATACACAACCAAGGTAAGTATTTGAAAAGAAATCTAATTGGGTTTAGCTAGCGGCTTTTGTTTTGTTCTTCGGTTGCTGCAGGCGGGGAAGGTGACGTGTTTTTTTTCACTTTTAGTTTTTTTTTGCTTGCATTAATCACCGCAGAAAGTGACCGCGCCTTTATGGCCGTAGACCAACCGATATCTACTTTGCATGATTATATAATCACAGTCAGACTTAACTCTTGGCCCTCGCTTATACCCTTGCTACATTTCATTGCAGAATGATGAGACATACTTTCGTGAATTTGTGGCACGCTTTGTGGACATTTGGCGCAGTCAGCTGCAATTGGACTTTCAGTCCGACAACTGTCCGCTGTGGCATGAAGTGCAGCCAGATAATGGACCACATCTTGGTCGGCTGCCCGATGAACTGCTGCCCGCCATTGGGAAGTTCATAATTGTCGCTAGGGATAAGTGCGATACGGATAATCTGGATGAGCAGGGCATCGAACAGGTGGCCATATTGATTGACTGTTTGGTTATTGTATGCCGGCATTTTGACAATATATTGGCCATCATTAAGTACGAGTACAAGCCCAATCTAATCGCCATACTTACAAAAGTATTTGCCCAGGTAAGCGATCAACCACAAGAACAACAAACCGAAATTATTAAGAGATAAATATTTTTCGTTTAGCAAATGGAGCAGCCGCGTTCCTCGCTGGCGATGAGTCATTTGTTCCGCAGCTTTTCATCATTTCTGGAGGTCATGTACGATCCTTATCTAACTTGGCGCAGTTTTCTGCGCAACAAATTGGCAGATTATAGTCGATTGCCCTACAAGCCGCATGCCGTGCATGTAGAAATTGTGCCCTTTATCTATGGTCTGTCGTTGTGCTCTATTTATCTAAGTTGTTATTGGTATTTATGTGTTTTTGGTTTTTGTGCTTTACAGATTGCTTTCAGAACGAATCGCTGTTAAAGTTTGCCGACATTGGAGAGAGCCTGCTGCATGTGCTGGGCGCCATTATCAGCGGCTCTCAGGTACAGCGTACAGAACTAAAGTTCTGCCACGGCCTTAGTCTATAAATTATCTTAATTAATTTTGTTATCTATCTATTTATGATTGTCTTTAATTGAGCACACAAATTGTAGCCCGTCTGCACATTGGCCCCAAATATCATTTCACTGCTTCGTAATTTTCATTCAAAATTGTCAATTAAGCTGCAAATTAGCTAAATAATTATTATACTAATTTATTACTCACTATCTTTAATGAACTCAGTATTCTTTCTTTTCTGTCCCATTGTTCCTAATTTTGTTTGTGTCATAGATCTTTAAATTTCATGTAAATGAAATTGAAATTAGCTAAATTAATATTTATTTATAACATTTGCTGATTTCAGCACATTGTCTTTGTTTACTTCCTACTTCTATTCACTGCTTAATTCCTAATTTCATTTCGTTTTTCATATTGTTTACTGTTGTTGAATAAGAAAATCTTTAAAAATATTCTATACCATTGTGTGTGTGCGTGCAGAAAACTCTAAACTCGAATTCAACATCTAGAAATACTACTAACGCTCTAATTACTACAAACGCCCTTCGATCCGGTGATGGGCTGCTTCTAAACTGTGATAATAATTTGGTGAGTGGTTAAAACGCTTTTATCATCTCTTTCTCTAAATCCAACCTGCTACACTCTCCCGTCTCTCTCATCCTCTCTTTGTGTATCTATATGTTCTATATATATTGTTTTGTTTGTATATTTAACTTGTCGTTTGCTGCAGCGCAATGGCATGCGAGCAATATGCCCAGCAACTGTATCCATTATCATGCGCATTCTGCAGCAGTGGGAGAGCGCGAGCAGCCTGCGCCATGTGGCCCTCAATTGCTATGCTTTGATGGTCATTGTACTACAAAAATCTAGTCCAGAAGAAGTAAGTCGGTGTTATATATCAATAGAAGCTCTCGCTAACGCTCTTCATCCCTTGCAGCGCCAAATAGATCTAGTTACACTAATCCAACTCTATTGTGATGCACTGCAGCAGCTGTTGGCGACAACGCACTTTGACAGCGGCGCCGCTAGCTTTGATATAACCAGCGACACGGACAGCGACGTGGCTATTGATATGACTGCCCTCTCAGCCAGTGTGGCCGCTGTGCAGCTCTTCTTAAATAGTAACGCACATGGCGGCGATGTCTGCGAGGCCATTGGCGAGACAAATCTGCTAGAGCTACTCATTGGCTTGCCCCAAAGCATACGGGTGAGTCTTCAGTTACAACAACAATTCCCCAGCCTTTATCTTTATCTTTTCTTAGCCTTGGCACATATCCCACATAGCCGCTCTGAGCAGCACTATGGAAGCCTTGGCTGCCTTGACACAGAGTTCGCCACGTTGTGCAGAGCAGCTGCGTCTAGCTGAACGCATTGAACGTCTCTTCGACAGCATGCGTGAATTTGAAGCACCTTCAATTGCGCTCTTGGATGCTTGCTTCAGCTTGGGCTACAGTGCGGAACAGCGTGTGTTGGTGTTGCCGGAGGTCATGCTGCAGCTGTTGAAATGGCTGCCTGATCTGCAGGAGCAGGAGCAGCTGCATGTCAGCGTGCTACTGCTCAAGGGCTGCACGGATAACTATGGCACGTGAGTGACAGCTAAACAGAAATTAGTTTCATCTGCAGCCATGTTACCTAACTCTCTCAATTCCCAGTAAAACTGTTGCTTGTGGCAGTCGCGTGGTTAAAGCTGTTTGCGTTTGTTTGCTGCGCAGCGAGCTGCTGGCCGAGAACTGTGCCCAGAATCTAATCAAGCTGATCGAGGAGCTAAGCAAGCTGAGCATCGTACCCGTGGAACTCAAGTGCATATTTGCATTGCTGCGACAAGGCACAAACTTTGCACAGTGCAAGCAGCTGCAACAGGTGAGCAATATTCTAAATGCCTTCAACAAAATACAAACTAACTCAAATCCTTTCTAGACCATTGTTATGATTGCGCTGCAAAGCCTGCGGGGCAACAACTGCTGTTCACAATATTTTGCCATTGAGCAACCAACGGATGGAATTTTAGTGCCCGACATTAAGAACTGGACACTGTCTGGATCGTATGGCTTCATATTTCACCTGCTCGTGCGCTTCAATACGCTCGATCAACCAGAGTCGAATACGCGTCGCATGCTGCTCACCTTGCACACGGCCAGCGGCAGTGGCTTTGAGGTCTTTGTGCAGCCCAATGGCAATGTGGTGGTAGCTGCTTTAACGCGTCGCGAATACCTAACCACAGCAACCGCCACGAAAACGTTGCTGGATGGACAGTGGCATTATCTCACAGTGGCCATAACGCCGCCAAAGCGTCCTTTCTCCTACAGCCAGATTAACATCTACGTGGACTTTGTGCAGAAGTTGAGCGCTACGCTTAAAGTGCAGGCTGTGAATGAACCCTTTACCATGTGTGGGGTGGGCGCTGTGCTGGGTCCACCACCCAAGCAAAATGAAGTGGGCAAAGGAGGATCATTGCCACGTTCCTCCTCTCAAGAGAGCGGACCGGCCTACAAAGGCATGCTACCCAGTCTGCTAGAGCGCACGTTGTCAGCAAATGTAAGCTAAATTCGACTGTTAAGAATTAGCATTTAAATTTATTAATCCATTTTCAGGTTTCCAACTATTTTACGCTGCCGCTGCGCACCCAAACCGCCTTTGATCCCAATGTGAAGAACTTTCCAATTGGCATGCAGGATACGGTATTTGGGGAGCAGGTTTGCCTGCAGGGTCAGCTAGGTGGCGTGTTGCTAGCGGAGCCCACAACGAGCCTGAAGACTATTTTTGATGCCGGCATAAATTTCAGTTCGATCTTCTCCCAGGATAATGATTTGCTGGAATTGAATTCTCGTTTTGTCTTCTGTTTTGCGCCTGGAGCAGTTTGGCATAGCAACTGCCAGGACTTGATACCAGGTGGCAAGTATCCAGGCCGCATAAGCGCACAGTACTGCAAGACCATAAAGATACAGGATACGATCAATAGCATCGGTGGTATCAATGCCATACTGCCCATGCTGCATCGCTTAGTCAAGGAACAGGATGTGGATGTGTCCATTGGAAGTGCGAGCGATGAATCGGCGCCATCACCAACAACCCCTTCGCTAAAGACGCCCACGGCCGAGGAGTTTACGGACTGGGAAATGCTGTCGTCCAATATGTATACAGAATGGAAGATGATTCAACATCCCTTGGCCAGTCTGCTCTGCCTGCTGCGTTATCTGACCCACGAGCATGAAAACAATCAGCAACAGCTGCTGAGCAGCGATTGCCTGGCCATCATTGGGACCATGCTCCAGCGTTGTCCTGCTCAATTCTTCGATGTGAATGCGTTGATGGCCACGCATCTGCTAATGGAGTCGCTGCAAGCACACAAGGCCATGCCAGCCGGCAATGCCCAGCTGCTGGATGCACTGTACGAGCACATAGTCTTTGATTTTGCCATTTGGTCGCGTCTGCAGTTCCAAATAACACTCGGACATGCTCAATATTTGAGTGCCATGATCAAGAATGATAGGAAATACTTTCGACGACGCTATGGCGTGCAATTCATGCTGGATGTAGTGCGTCAGTATTACAGCACACCAGACAACATTTGCAGCGATGATGCGCGCACGATTCGGGCCACGCTGTTCAGCATTGTTCGCTTCTATTTGCAGAAGGATGTGAACATCAAGGAGGTGAATGCTATTATTGCCTTTCTGGCCTCGGTGCGGCAGGAGCTTGTGCTGGTCGAGCTGCTCGAAATGCTGACGTTGTATGTGCGTGGCAAGAACTGCAAGGATCAGATGGTGCTACTGCTGCACGAGCCTCAAAGCGCAAATCTCATCTACAATTTCTTTGTGGACAAGGGCTACAGCAGCGAGATTCAAGAGGCGGCTATACGAGTAGGTGCAACCATCATTTTCCAATGGAAACTGTCTCTTACTGTCTCTTCCTTTTTACAGTTCATTGGCGCCTTGTTGTCGACTTCACGTGTGCATCAAAAGTACAAACAGGTGTTGCGTCTGTACGATTCGAACAGCGAGCAGAGCATGTTTCCAGGTTTCTTTTCCTTCATAACGCCCATGTCGCTCAGCTCCACGATATTATTTTATCTTGTGGACGAGATGCTGGGTGCCCAACCGGACTATAGCGGGCTTATGTTTGTCGTCTATCATGTCAGCAGCTGTGATCTACAGGTGAAGCTGGAAATTGCGAAGCGTCTGCTGCAAACGACGTTTGTTAAACAGCAATCGACGTTGGCGATTGCTAAGCAAACCGGTTGGCAGGAGTCCATTGCTCGGCTGCTCATTCGAAAGCCCATCACGAGCATACCACCAGTTGAGGAACGCCGTCGCAGCTTTGGCATCAATATGGATGTGTTGCTCGAGGATAACTCCACTTTCTTGGCACAAGCAGATCTAATTACCTTCTCGGATCAGGAGATTAACCTGGCGGAACTGCAACAGCAGCAGCAACAGTCGCAGGAGGAGCAGAGTGACAGTGGACTCATACTCAATGAGATACAAGCGAGCGTCTCCGAGGCAGCCACTGTCATTGAGAGCGAAATTAAGGGTAAGTGTTAGAAGAGCCCTAATCTAAATCAGTTTACTAAATCTTTGCTTTTTTGGTTTTAGAACTCGCTGAATCTGTTTCCGGCGCTGTCGTTGAGAATGTGAACAGCGTATTCTCGGTTATACGTCAGACCACGCACGATATTCAAGACACCTTCGAGTCACTGACACTGGGCAACTCCACAGAAACTGAGAATACGCCCAGTGTTTCGCTGCAGCGTGAGGAATCGTTGAGTTCCGAAAGCTCAACACAATCGCCGCATGGACCAGCTAAGAAAAGTGATTCCATGGAGGTGGGTATTCCTATAATTAGCATCCATAGCTTTGTTTAATATTTCTGTAATTCTAGAGCACTTCAGGCTTTGACTTCATGGCCGAGGGCGATGTGGACAGCGAGGAGCAGCTGGTTTATTTGGTGTCAAATACGTTATTCAACGTTTTCTGGCGCGGCATTGGCAACGATCATCCGCAATGCTGGCAGGAACGCGGTCAAGTGCTCGGCTGCATTAATTTGCTGGCATTAAACAATGAGCTTATCACCTCGCATTTGTCGCTGCGTCTACGCATCTTGGAAATGGCAGTGCAAGCTTCACTATTCGATCTCTCGGAGCATGGCAGTCAAACGCACATCAATCAGGAGGTGGCTTAGCTTAATCCAGCTTCAATGCTTTCTCTGACTAATTTCTTCTTCTCTGAATTTTCTTCTTAAGAATGCCTCAAATATTCTGCGTATGGTCTATGAGCTGGTGGTGCTTGGCTCCAATGAGGATGAGTCCAAGAAGTGCTCCACCAAACTGTTGGATGGCGTGCTAGCTCTACTCGATGCTCTGATGATCTTCCAGCAGGGCTCCTCCGATGATTGGTCAGATATGATACGTCTGTATCTGGGTCTGTTGCTCAAATGCTCGCATCATCCCAATCCGGGTATTGTAGCCATGGCCACAGCCAAGTTGCATGCCATACTTCAAAGTCGCTCCACAGAGGATCCCGCCGAGCTCTCCTACCTGCTGTACAGCATCAACAGGGCGCTCGATAATGCCATTGAAGGTGTTTATCTAATGCTTTTCTATTATAGAAATATACTACATCAGCTTCGTTTCCATTTTCCAGTTGGCAATCCGGAGGAGTATTCGTTTTTGATGCCTGTAATGAAGGCGCTGCTGGAGAAATGTCGCTCCGCTTTCAATTTGGACACGACACTGCCGGACCTGCCATCAACGTCGTCTGGTCCGGTATTCTTCAACGACTTTCAAATGTACAGCACAAGCAAAAAGTGGCGCAACTTTATGGAACGTATGGTAAGTAGCTTATAATAGAGAATATCATAAGGCTGATCGACTAGGGTATACCCTATTAATTTGTGCATAAACAAGTAATCCTGATGTTTGTTTTTTTTTTTTAAGATTTTCCTTTTTATTTAATTTAAACACTTAAACTAATTCTAAACTTAACTCCAAGCTCCAAACTAGTCTTGCACATTCCGGTAGTCTTAGTAGTATCTAGTAGTCCCCATATGGAGCTTTTCTTTCAATATAGTTTGTGATTTTTTGGCAAGTTCTGACGCAGCGCCTGAAGCTTACGCTCCATTTCGCGGTCGCTCTGGGGAGTCTTGAAGAGCGTCGTATCGAAAATGCCTTTGGTGGTGCGTCTTGGCGTCGCATTGCGTTCCGTGCCGCCGGGCTGCAGGGCCAGAGTGGCGCCACCACCACGCAGCTGTGTGGGTCGCGTTGGTCTCGCACCACGCCCCACCGTGAACTGTTGATAGGTGGGCGGTGCTATGGTGCCATCGTAATAACTCTGCGAGCGAGACTTCTCGATGGTTACAACCGTCGAGGATGCCTCCGTGCTGGGATTACGACTGCGAAAGCGTGAAGTGCCACGGCCTCTGCTGCGAGTTGGTGGTGTACTTGTAACCACCGTGGGTATGAAGCCATTGCTGGAGGTGGTGCGCAGACGCATAGGACTCCAGGGTGCCGCTGTGGTGGTGGTTGCTGTTGTGCTTGTGCTTATCGAGGGCGTTACATAGTTCACATACTTTCGCTTCTGCTCCACATAGTGTGTGCCATGGGCAGCGGTATCCAAATCTGTGTCCCTTGCATGAACATGGGTATCAGCATCGTAAGCCTGTTGCAGCTCCGGCACATCCAGCGTATGCTTCTTAGATACCACCGTCGAGGCGGGGCGACGCTTGCGTTTCCGACTCTTTGTTGGTGTACGCGAGCTGCCTGCAGCGTGGGTATCGTCGGAGGGCAGCTCGTTGAGCGTATTACCTGGGAGTATGGGCGGATAGGATTCCTGTTCCTCTTTGTTGGACGCCTCAAAAGGTATCGGATCGTAGATGGGCACCTCGTAACTGGATTTGGGAAAATCAAAGCTGGGGAATTTGTGATTGGGCGTTAGCGGCAATTCCTCTGCTGGTGGTGCATAGTCCTCCTGCGGATAGCTCTGGACGGGTTGATGGGTGTCCGGTTGGGCAAAGCTGCTGTGCGAATGATGCGATGGTGGCTGTGGTGGTGGTAGTGGTGGCTCCGCAAAGTGTCCGTCTTGTGCTGGTTCGTAATCATGAGAAGATGCTGTCTGATAGCTATTGTGCGACGAGGCTGGTGGCTGATAGTCGTGGCTAGGAGAAGGCGCTGGCCGATAGCTGTGATCAGGAGATGAAGCGGGTGGATGATAGCTGTCATGGGATGAAGTTGGTGGGTTATAGCTGTGACTAGGTGGCTGATAGCTATCATGAGAGGGAGCAGGTGCTTGATAGTCATGATGAGGTGGTGGACCCGGTGGTTGATAGCTCTCATGGGAAGAGCTTGGCGGTTGATAGCTGTCATGGGAAGAGCTAGGTGGTTGATAGCTGTCATGGGAAGAGCTTGGTGGTTGATAACTATGGCCGGGAGGAGGAGCAGGAGGCTGATAACTATCGTGAGATGACGGTGGTGCCTCATAGCTATGACCAGGAGAAGGAGCAGCAGGCTGATAACTATCGTGAGACGATGGAGGTGCTTCATAGCTATGACCAGGCGATGGCTTGGTCTGGTAGGAGGTGGATATCTCATAGGCAGGCGGTGAGTAGGAGATCTCAAAGTTGGTGCTATGTGCAGGCGGTCTAGGTGGTGGCTCCGCAAAGTTGTGATGGTAGCCGGAGTTCGGTATCTTTTGCTCGTAAATGGAGTAGGAGTCGGGAGGAGGTAGTGAGGCTGAATGCTTAAAGCTGGATACGGCGGGCGCACCATATTTGGTGGATGGTGGATGTGCCGGAGCAGGCGGCGGTTCATAATGATGTGAAACAAAGGAGTCGGGCGAATCATAGCCAATGCTTTGATGTTGCGGTGGCACGCCATATTTCTGATGTGGCTTGTGATCGTAGGAGCTCAGCGAAGATGAAGGCGAGTCATGGCCATCTGTTAAGCTGTACTCGAGACTGGGAAACTTGTGGGCGCCGTACAGATCCGGCTCATCATGGCTGTATAGATCCAGATCCATGGACTGCGCCTCGTAACTGGAAGCGGGTATCTGAAAGTCGGCGCCATCAAATTTCAAATGCTGAAATTCATCCTGCGAAAAGCTGGGCAGCTCATGATGCGTCGGAAACGAGGGCGTGTGCTTATAGTAGCTAATTGGAGGCTCCACCGGATAGCTGGGCGGTCCATATTTAGTCTTGGGACCCTTAGTGCGTCTGCGATGTTTGATGCGTTTGCTGTGAGGTGGGTGTCGTCGGTAGCGTATGAGTTTCTCAGCATTTGGTATCAGCACGCTGCTGTTGCTGCTGCTGCTGCTGCTGCTGTTGTTGTTGCTTTCGAGCTGAGTTAGAGCTGTGGCATTGCTTGGACTGTGCTCGCCCAGCGCCAAAGGCAGCAGCTGCAAGAGAAGTCAATGTTTAAAGACTTGTGTTAACTTTCTCTCCACTGTCTTGCCATTTGGCAACAACTTGGCAGAGATGTTTGTCAACCTTTAACTTTTAACCCTCGCTGTATGACGCATTTTGTTCAGTGTTTCTGTAGCTTCCGCAAAAACACGTAACGTAATCACGTGCCGCACTCTCTGACTGCACCCTACTCTCTCCCCGTCTCATAATTGGTTGGCATCGATTGCCGGCTGGCTGCGTGGCATGCAACAACGCTTGCAACACGCAACAGCAACCGTTTGTTTCGCTGAGCATTGAACCTCAACGTCGTCATCAAATTCAGGTTCAGTGGGCATCGTAATCCGTTTTGCCATGCTTTTGTTTTTTGTTTTGTTCACAATTTTACAAACTGACAATGAAGTCTACACGGATCAGGCTAAAAGGCGCAATGCACTCGAAGAGCTGTGACTGTTGTGGGGGCTTTGTGGAGGCGGTTTACTTTGCCTGAATTTCTCCTGATATCTGAGCGAATAGCTGCTTTGTTAAAAGTTATTAACACCTTTTCAGGCAGCTAGTTAGCCAGTCTAACGTTTAATGTGTGAGCAAATGCTTGGCTTATACTTTTAGGTTCCATTTAAACCAAGCTCCTTTGACAAACTCCTACATCTATTTTGAGTTGACGTAACGCTATCAGTTCTCTTTTAGAAATTACAGTTTTCCTATTTCCTTCCTAATCTTCAATTTCAATCAAGGAAATAAATAAATTTTTTGCGTCTATTTTGAGCAGCGAGCAAAGCCTGATTTCTGTGCTGAGAGCTGCAAGAGGAAGAGTGCTGAGAAGAAGCAACAAAGGAAGGAAAAGTTTTATTTGCGCATTTACTTAGAATCTTTAAGCTTCTTAAAGATTTTTATTTAGAGTCTTTCATATAGTTTTTCATATCTTGAACAACAGCTAAGACAGTTCTTAATTCTCTTAAAATCTCTTTAGCAGCTGCTGAAGTTCTTTTTAAACTAGCTTATTCCAAACAAAACCTAGATCTGCTGTATCTGGACTTGCAACATAGCTACCCCATTGTCTTTCTCATAAAGTTCTTTGCATCTTCACTTGATATTCGAGCACTTACTAGGCATAGAAGATAGAGCCACATTGGTTTGCACATTTGAATCGAGGCGAGCAGCAAAAACTTTCATTGGAGGCAAACGTTTGGGATGGTCTGCAGATGTTGGTGTTTATATATATATATATATATATATGTATGTATATATATGATATTTTATTGGAGCTTGAATCGCGTAAATGCTGTAGCGCGCGCACCCGTTCACGACTCGTTGGACTTTCTTTCGGCAACTGAGCGAGCTGCAAGAAAGTGGGCTGGTTTTGTTAGCTATTGCTGCAGAGACAGAGCCAGAGGCAGCCAGCGATGGGGAGACGTCGCCAGCAGCTGGAACCAGTCGAAAAGACAAAGCGTTTGCCATTAAAGCACCCACCAGTGCAGCGCCCGGCTCAGCGCATCGCCCTGGAACAGTCGTCGCAGCCCTCGAGGCAAGCGAGCTTGTAAGACCGATTATGTAAAGAATACCCAAAATGCGGATGTTTCTCTGTTTGTTTTTTTTTATTTACATTTCTTTTGTTTTTTTGGCCAACGAGCCAACTCTTTGAATTCGGGTAAAACTTGTTTTGGCTACTGCCATGGGCCAAGCTGCATTCGAGCTGCACGAGCGATCGACGCTTCCTCGAGCTGCAGCATCTGCATCCACATTGAACTTGAACCTGACCGGACGTGTCGTGCCCGTCTCGTAAGACCCGTTCCGAATCGCTCTGCATCTGAATCTGTGCAAAGCGAATGAATGAAAGCGAAAACAAAGTTGATTTGGCGAGTGGCTATGCTTCAACGACGGTCTGTATACCCTGTAAAAAGAGCTTAGTTACAGTTGTATACATAAGTTAGCGAATTGTATAAATTTTTGTGTCTATTCCGTCATCAGCAGAAGAATTGTCCTTTCTATATCATGTATATACCCTTCAACTGAACATTCAGCTTTACAGGGTGTAGCCGATCAACATTGATCTCGAATTTTCTGTTAAAAGCGTGTTTAGCATGTATTATATATTCGCTTTTCCTCTGCTAAATATATCAAAATTTACAGGGTATTACTGATCTACGTTTAGTGTCACATACAATGTTAGCTGTCAAATTTTCTGATATGTCTGTATAAAAACGTCATTTATGATGCCAACTGTCAAACTTTGTGCACCTGCAAAATGTGTTCACCTGTAATTATATGTGTTCACTAATTAATTACAGGTGAAGCCGCTCTACGATCGCTATCAACGCGAGATCGAGCTGCATCTGTGGGAGCCAATCAATCGCTTCTGGGCCGAGTGCTATGAGGCCTGCAAGGCGGCCTCGAAGCAGCGGGCCAGCTTTCAGGCGACGAATCGTCGGGTCTTTCAGCAAAAGATCTACATGCCATGGAAGGTGCGCCAGGTGGAGGAGATGCAGCGATTGCAAAATGCTGCGCTGCAGCACAAAACGAACGACAGTCACATACGGAAGAAATGGAAGACCGCCAAGCGTTTCTTGTACGGCCCTAGGGGCCCATGGTTTACCGGGTAAGTAAAGCCCATGGCAAATGCGAAAACAAGCGTCTCATATAATTCATTATGAAATCGCATTTAATTAAGGCGACAATTGCAAATGGGGCGTGCGCCAACATAAATGATTACACACGAACACTTAATCACCATCATATATGATATATATACTCTGTATACTATATAAGATGTATATCAGCTGTTAGCTGTGGGCATTATGTAGTTCTTGTTGTTGTTGTTGTTGTTGTTGTACATATGTCTAGCTGGCACGCTTTTGTTGTTTTTATTTCACTCTCGGCTCACAAATGCACTCATTAATTTTCTGTGTTTCTTTTTTTTGACAATGGGGAGAAATTGGTAAAAACAATATAAAAAATCCGTTAAGAAGAGACTATTAAAACGTATATCCAAAAATATCCATTTGACAGTTTCACTTTCTAGCTTTAAGCTTAAGCTGATTAATTTTCACTATTTCGATAGGCCCAACTTAAAGTAGGGCTTACATATAATGGGGCATTGAACCCATGCAAATTGTATTGATTTATGGCAAAAGCTGAATAATTTCATATTTGCATTAATTCAGCTATTTCATAAATCCACAAATATAAATATAAAATTCTATAATGTTTAGAGTTTGTTATTTAAGCTCTAAAAATTGGTTATATTCGTTATACTAGTTATCGATTAAGAGATCGATAAACAAATTGACCTTTATTCAGTGCATAAAGCGCCTTCATAATTCATACTATTAATTATATAATGAATTATAATATAACATTGCCTATCGATATATTTCATAGTTTCAGCATAAATCGATAACTATCGATATGGAAACTTGTATAACAGCCAAAAAATAATGAGCAACTTGATTAATATTGATAACTTGATCAATATCTACTTCAAATAGGCTTTCATTTTCAAAATTTTGAGTCCTGTTTCATCGGTTTTCGCCCACTGTAACAGCTGTCGATTGTTGAAAGCTTTCGCTACGTTCGTTCGGGCGCCTCATCAGTTGAAGCGCGATTAAAATTACGATTTAATTTTATTAAATCATCAAAAAGGCATTTATGCAATGCCATTCGACGTGCCAGCATGAAGCATAGCTGCATAACTAACCCACCCAAGTGTGGCACTGCCAAAAAATGGGAAAGGGTGGTGCCAGCTCAACTCAAACCACTCGCAATTAGTTTCAATTTTCATGTAAATGAAGTCAGATATATATATAAATAAATATATACACATATATGTCTATTGGAGCAACTTGGTCAACTGCCAATTACCAACCTTGTGACACAGCGACGGTCAAAGTGAGCCAGTCCGAGTGGTGCGTATGTTCTAAGGTCGCACCACTCACGTGTGTGTGGGGTAAAACTGGATCTGATTCTGTCTGGAAATACGCATTGCTAGTTCACATTGACAGTGACTTGAAAATAAGTTCAATTGAACTTGTTTAATAGTTCATGAACCATAGGTTCTCTGAATTGTTCAGCAGTTTATGAACTTTTGATAACTGACTAAGCGTGAGAACTCGAGCTCTAAATAGCATAATAAATATTGAACTGCTAATCTTTCAGAGCTAGCGATTCATAAACTATATAGCTGAGTATTTTACAAAGTAGAATTGATCTAGTTCATCAAATTGAACTAAAGCTCTCAACTCTAGCTAATGGAGTATACCAACACAGCTTAGTGAACCTTGACAGATTTATTCAATTCTTAAAATATGGAATACTTAATTTTGTAGAATTAAGTAATTGGTTTTTTAGTAGTCGAAAGATAACTAATTGATGCTATCTATAAGGTCAGACAATGCAAATATTACATTACTTTGAATAAACAGTTTTCAAATGATGTAGAAAGCTTTGAGGTTTTTTGAACTAGTTCACGTTCAGTCTATCGATAAAGAAATGAGCTAGTTCCAGCTGATATCTGTCTTTCTTTTGTCTGCTTGATCCAATCCCTATTTAAATATTTATTAATTAATTCCATCGATCGTATAAATTGCTTCTCATTTTTATTGCATTTTGTCTCATTTCGCGACTTTTACAGCATGTTTAAACTCAAGCTAAATAAGAACTGGTTAGATATATAGTGTACATATATATTTCTATACATATGCATATATTTTCCATTTATCAAATATATTATTTCATTTTTATCGCGGTCGAAACAGCCTTAAGATTAAGTAGACAAGAAACGTACATGGGAAAGGCGTCGAATGTGAGTGTAGATGAGAGCGATTGGCATTGAAGTGGCATCATCAAGCCCAATCGAGTGAATTCGTATGTACACAAGTGCAACGATATATATCGCTGGCATTTTAACTAAATACTACAACTATCGACTACGATAGGTTTAGAACTTCTGCGGGTTGGCGAAGTGTCGCGGGTCAAGAGGTCGGCAACATTTGTGATCAGTGTTCAGTTTGAGTGGAGCTTGACTTAGTGATAGCCCAGGGGCGAGTAGGCGGGAGCCAGAGCCGGGCGATAAGCAGGAGCCAGAGCTGGACCCAAAGCTGGAGCATAGGCGGGAGCCAGTGCTGGACCATAGGCGGGCGCCAGGGCTGGCAGCTTGGCCACCAACGGAGCGTGGAGCAGTGGAGCTGGTGCCAAGACCTTAGCCACTGGAGCCACAGCCTTGACAGCGACACCCTCGCGATGCACCACCGCATTGAAGCCATGGACAGGATCAGCGGTGTACTCCACAATTCTGCGCGTGCCGTCGGCCTCGATCAGCGAGTAGGAGCCCTGGACAACATCGCCGTTGCGCGTCTCCTGCTGGTTCTTCACATCGCCAGTGGAGCCATCCTGTAATGGCAAAATATAATGTGGATTAGTTCTAGGTTTTGGCTCTGCCGCTTCTCAACTCACATGGACATCGTAGCTGAAGCTGTACTGTGGATTGGGATCGTATGGCTCGGGTCCAGCCACCTTGGCGACGGCCACCTTGGCCAGTCCAGGATAGACGGGCGCAGCCAGGCTAGGATATCCGGGCAGAGCGAGTCCATGACCAGGCACCACCACAGCATTGGCCACAGCCACCAAGGCGCTGACAACAACGAGCAACAATTTTTGTGCCATTTTTTTTTTTGTTTTTGAAGATTTACTGGAGTTTTTACTAGAGATTTTGCTGCTGCTTGGCTGACAAATGAACTCACTCTGTGGTTCTGATGCTGAGCGACAATTGCTTTTTATAGCCAAGCCAACAAATCGAGCGAACTGCAAATGCCCAAGCCCCAAAATCCGCAACCAAATCTCTAACGACGACGACGACGCTGCCTGCAAAAATATTTATGCAAAAACAACAACAACAACAACAACAACACCATCAACAAAAGCAACTAAAAAGTGCGCCTTCGTGTGGAGTATATTGAAAATGCTTGCTAAGATCACAAAATGCAGCAGCACCACCAACAACCACAACAAGAAGAAACAAGCGTGAGTGCTCGACGAGGGTGTGGACGACTTTCAAGTGCCCTCTAAATACACCTGATGGGGCAACAGAGTTTCGTTCCCCTAGTAAACGTCATATATAGAGTTCAGTTCTTTAAGGCTGTGAAACTTGCCCATTAAAAAACCAATATTTATCGATTTTCAGTATAAGCTTCATGAACTTTCACAAATCTCATTAAAATATGCAAGTTTTTATAGTGGTTACCAGTTTGATATGTGTACCTCATGGAAACTATAAAAAAAGCTGCAGATCTAATATCGATATTTATCGATTGTGTGTATAAGCTAGCTATAACTAGAGAACAAGTTTATATGTTAACTTTCATAAAATCGCATCCAATCAACTAACCTATTACCTATCTCTATCTTTTATTAACTTTAAAAGGAAGTATTTAATACCGATATTAATACCGATTTATCGATCTTGGTTTAAGTTCGATGAACTTTCTTATATGCTCATGTGACATATTCTTCAGTTACTACTTTCTCTGTGAGAGGCATTCTCTCGGTATACTTATCTTCTGTTACATACTGTTGCTGGAGTCTAGCCTAGCTTAAATAAATATTTAATATAATTACAGGGTATTATAAATGAAAATAATTCATTTTTCGTTGCGTCGCAATTGCCCCTGGCAATTGGCAGTCAACGCAAGGCAAGAGGGGAGGGCGTTAGCCAAATGTCTGTCTGGGTGTCTGGCTGGCTGACAGGTAAGAGGGGTGGGGCAGGTGTGCTTTGGCCAGACAAAAAACAGCTTAGGCCTACGAGAATGGCACGCATGTTGTCTGGCTAGCTGGCTGGGTCGGCTCCTAGCGGCGAGTGGTGGACAACGCCAAAATGAACGGCTACATGAGCTTGGAACAGCAGCAGCAGCAGCAGCAGGCGGGGATTTGATCGTGACAAAAAAGTTCAATTCGAAAGCGTTTTTTTTTGGTCCGGGTGGCCAGGCGGCATCAGGTGTGCGAGTGTGTGTGGCACACACGCACACACACATAGATCGTTCCACGCACCCAGTTGATTGTTGAAAGGTGTGTGCGTCGCCGTTTCTCTATGCGAGATCAGCCTTCGAAACTGGCACAAAGCAGCGACACGCCGCGCCCAGCAGCAACTGCAACTGCAGCAGCAGCAGCAGCAACAGCAACAGCGGCAAACGGTTCACCCCGCAGACTGGCCGACTCCGACTCCGACAGCGACTCCGAATCCGAATCCGTAAAGCTCCACATCAACAGCTCGACTCCCCAAATTGCCACTGCAACAATGTGTTCACCCTGTACCCTGTAGTCAAAGCAAGTGGGTGATGTTGCACCCTTATGAACTCATGAACGTCTCAATTGTTCAGCTGTTCATGTTCATGAACTAGTGATGCGTGATCTACATAGTTCACGACTCGAAACTGAACAAATGAACTTATTGCAATCGAACTCTAATTGCCAGCATCAGTCTGAGAGGCCTATGACTGTTCTCTTCTTACAGGGTATTTAGTAGTCACATACGCACACGATCAGCTCACTCTTACTTGGCTTTTGCGTACACTTTACTGCCATTGGGACAATTTTGCCCATTATCACTAATTTTGAACGCACGTTGCGCCTTGTTAGGCGTCGCAGTTGCCAGCGGCGACTGCGTCGGCGGCTGCGACGGCGACGGCGACAGCGACGGCGACGCCAACTGCAGCGGAGACATGCGCAGTTTTTTGCGTAATCAAAAAATTGTAACGCGTCGAGTACTTTCAATTAAGCTATTGAATAATTCGAGTGCGTGTTGATCGAGTGAATGTTGGCCGTTTGCATGGGAGAGTGTTCTTTGCCATGGGTGCGATGCGAGGGTGTTACGGAATCGGGTGGGGTCCATTAGAGTAATAGTCCAGTTTGTCTAATATATTATGTATGAACTGCAAGCAATGGGATTCGAATGTGGGTGGGTATTACGGCATCAAGTGGTGTGTCTGCGGGAGTAACCAAATGTGAAATGGAGAAGGTGTTGAGCTAGGCTCTGGGTGTCTGGCATCTGAAGAGGTATCGCTAGAGAACTGGCTCCTGATCAAAGCTAAACGAGGTTAAACGAGCCAGCGACTTAATTCCCGCGTATCTCACGACCCCAGTTGAGTCGAAACGCATATCTTTTGCATATCTCATGCAAATTGGTTCGAACTCGAGCCATTTGTCAGCGTTCGACCGATAGCTGGTATTATCCACAGCCAGGTGTCCCAGCAATTAGCCATGTGGCTTGTTCTCTTTGGCTAACTGGATTTATTGGATGATTTATGAGTGTGTGGTTAGATCTACAGAACAGTAACAGACAATAACTTATCTACAAGCTAAGATCAGCAGCTGTTGCCTCTTAGCCCAGGAAAGGGGCAGCGGGCACGACGGGACGTGGTGCTGCTGCAACCACTGGCACTGGAACTGGACCACGCTGCACCACCGCATTGAAGCCGTTAATGGGATCGGCGGTGTAGAAAACGGTGCGCAGTGAGCCATCGGCATCGACTACCGAGTAGGAGCCCTTGACCACATCACCGTCGCGCACCTCCTGCTGGCTCTTGCTGTCGCCCGTGACGGCATCCTGCACGTTGTAGGCGTAGGCGTATTGTGGATGAGGATCAAAGTCTGTGTTGACGGGCACAGCTGGCAGCAGAGCGCACTCGATGACGGCGAACAGGGCGCAGCTGATGATAAGAGTCTGCAAGGGACATTCACTGTGACTTCCTTAACTAAAGTTTCTCCTTTGCCAAACTTACCTTGAGTAGAGCCATGTCGTTTGCTTGAACTGTGTGTTGTGGGAGTGAGTGTGGCTTGATAGCACTTTCTGAACTGTCTTCGGGTGCTGTGGGGTGCTGGGTTTTAAACGCTTTGCCACCCGCCTTGGTCAGGTGCGTTGTGGCAACCGCTGCCAAATGTGACCAGTCTGACGTAAGGTGTAAGCCGTGAGCCGACCCGTCGCAACTCATATTTCCTCAATGGACGTGCCAGTCATTTCTCCGGCCCATATGCACAATCCCCAGCACCCAAGTCCGCAACCCCCGCTTTATGGCAATCATAACGTTAACGACGGCACGTGATGCGCATTAATAGCTTCCCATTTTCGGCGCGTCTTGAGGTTGAGGTCGAACCTACCTCAACATTAAAGAGTTTAGTGACTCAGCGCTTAGCCTTCAAAGAAACCAAACATTGCATTGCATTACCAAGCATTAGGTTAGAAATTGGATCATCTCGGATTTCCTGGAATCTCACTTCCTAGACAAGGCTGGCAATTGTCCCTCCTTGCTGCTTCCTTAGCTCTAGTTAGATGGGAAGCAAAATCAATCAAATACAAGCAAATAGTTTTTTTTTTTTTGTACCGAAACTTTTATTCAGTAGATGCAGTTAATAAATCACTAGATAAATGGCCGATAGCCGTTCCCCAAAATCCCCTAGAAACGGGTATCCCTAGAAGCTACATTTGTTAGTTTCAAGAGATTGGCCACAGGATGTGGAGTTTGCAGCTCTCAGTTGAGTATATAGCACGCACGTCATTTGTGTTTCGGATGATAAGGTTGGGAAGCAAAACTAGAACTATTCAACAACGGTCTGAGGTCGTCTTCGGAACTCCGGGCACGGTGGCTATCTAGTAATGTCCACCATAGCCAGACGCAGCGTACGCCGGTGCAGCATATCCAATCTTCGTGATGGCGGGCACCGCCAGCTTAGTGATGGTCGGAACGGCGGCAACGGCCACTGCGGGCTTGGCCACCACTGGCACGCCCTTCTTCTCGACGACAGCGTTGAATCCGTTGATCTTGTCAGCTGTGTAGGTAACCTTGCGAATGGTGCCATCGGGCTCGGCCAGGGCGTAGCTGCCGTGCACAACGCCGTTGACCAGCGACTCCTCCTGCTGCTTGGAGTCGCCAGTGTGGTGATCCGTGACTCCGTACGAGAAGCTGTACTGAGGATTGGGGTCGTAGGGCTCGGCGACTGCTACCTTGGCCACAGCCAAAGCAGGTGCTGCGTGCTGCACGAGAGTGGGTGCGGCCAGGAGCTTGGGTGCTGCGTAAGAAATAGCAGGAGCCGCTGCATACGAAATAGCTGGAGCCGCTGCATAGGAAACAGCTGGAGCCGCCAGCAGCTTGGGAGCCGCATACGAAATAGCTGGAGCCGAAATCAGCGACGGACCATACGAATCAATGGGCAGAGCCACCGTCACAGCCAGCACCAGGCCAAGCACACAAAGAGTCTAGAAGAGGGAAGACGAAAGGTAGTCCTTGACAGGCCACAAGTCCTGCGACTTACCTGAGCGAACATGCTGTAGGATATGTGTATTTCCTTCTTTTGCTTTTGCTGTGTGAAGCGCGTCTGCACTGCAAGAACTCAGCTCGAATGTGAGATGCATTTTCCTCGAGTTCTTCAGTTTTATATACAAGTCGCGCTTAACCATTTGTGGCAGGCAGCTACACAGCACTCCTGTCCCCCTCAGCCACTCCATGGCTAACTAACTAATGGCTAGTGACAATTGCTTTGATTGGCGTCTCTCGAGTTAGCACCCCGTCCTCGTGCAGCGATGCACATACTCAAGCTCAGTCTCGATATCCAACTCGAATCTCTAGCTCGATCTCGATCTCGATCTCGAGTCTCATTTTCGTGCTCCTAGACGCCAATTTCATGTTTTCGACTGCACATTTCGTCATTTCCAGCTGCCGCTGCTTGTTTTTCTCAATGGAATAGCTAACAGCCAGCCATAATGTGTGCCGCTCAAGAGCAGCGCTCCAAATCCCAAACTCAACTCGTTTTCCGCTGCGCCCCCATCAACCAAAAAGTAAATAAAACCAGATCTCGGCCAATTCTCAGGTTCTGCGAACGTTTTGTCTGATGTAATAGCGCGATTCACTTGGCCAATGGCCAATTGCCAGTTGTCCAGTTGCCCAGTTGCCAGTTGCCCAGCGAAGCCAAATTGCAAATATCGAACAAGGCAGTGAGCTGACGACAGACTAATAGATACCCTGCACGAGAGCTGCCTTCTGTGAGCTCAATGGCAACAAAAGTAGAAGGAAGAATCTAATAGAAATTTCCATAAACTGAAATATATATGTTAGCTCGAGGTAGCCTCATGACTTCAATATGGCCAACTTCTCATACAGATGAGCTCAGGCCTCACATGCGCTTTATGCTCATACATCCTAATCATCATATCCCTATTGCCCAATTTGAATTAGTCCAGGGTATATATAAATAAAAACGAGACCGCAGCCATTCGTAGCCCCCACCGTATCAAGCTGCCTCTCCCTGTCTCGCTCTCTCTCTCTCTACAACTACCCCTCACTGCCTCTCTCTCGCTCGCTCTCTCCCTCTCTCACTTTATAGCTGATCGTTCGACTCGTTTAATTAGAAATCTAAAATGGAAGCAATTGATCAAAGGGGGCGGACGCACGGGGCGAGCGGGCTGGGCATATGCGTGGCGTGCAGATCGAGCAATTACGCACAGTGGTGCAGACACACGCACACACACACGCACACACACACGCACACACTCGCACACTGTTGCGCCCACATTCGCTATTGCAGAAATGCAGTCCAAGCCAAGTGACCTTGCCCACAATATAGCCAGCAAATTGTTTTTTTCTTTTGGCCACGTTTTCAGCTTAACTTAATTACGCACTGCATAGAGCTGCCCTCCTCCTGCCATCTGAAGTGCCCCCTTCAGTCACTTAATAAGCCAGCATTTAGTTGACTTTAAGGCAGGAAACTCTTGACGTCTAAACGACTTTCAATTAGCCAAAAAAATCCTTTTATAAAGTTAATCAAAAATAAAACCTGACTTGAAAGCTGTTTAGCATTCCAATGCAACAATTTCCGATTGAAACTTGTATTCTACAAGTTATATACTTAACTATATATAGTACGTTTCAGCATATGAAGATCTATTGAGTTTATATTGAAAATCTAGATTAATAATATGTTTATGAATGGAACTCATATGGCTTGGACGCAGACAAGGGGTTAAAAATCTAGTTCCAGGCGTCATCTATTTAGTTTAAACCGATTTAAAATATAGCCCAGTGCAAATACGCGACTTATTTAACTCTTATATTCTATTTTACTAGAAGAAAGCATAGAAGCCTCTATTATAAGTCTTTAAACTGATGCCAAATAGAATTCAAAGCTCTCTTTCATTTAGGTAAATTATTTCAAACGCTCAACTCTTAGACGTGAACTATATTAGCAATGCAATTAGTATTCAACTAACTCAACCATTGTATGGGAATAGTTCAGAGAGCGTACGTATCTTAAACAGGTTCAAATTAATTATCATTAATAGAATAAGCTAGTTTCGATCACAAGCAACTCTTGAGTGAACGAGTTCAGTAGTTCAGTTCAATGAGCTGTTCAATTGAACTTATTCCAAATACAATAGTGTCCGTCTCTCTCTCTTTCTGACATCTCCAGTTTTTTCTCTCTCGCTGTTTCTGTCTACCTCCACCTTGCTCTCTCTAGCTCCATCTATCCCTTTCACTGTCTCTCCCAGCTCTATCTCTTCGACTTGCATATTTTACGTATTGTCTTATATACATTCATATTTTTATAGATCTTTCTTGTTAGATATATTTCTGACGCAATTTTTGCAGTTTTGCAGTTATCGCAATTTATGGACTACAAATTTTGACAAGTAAAAGTCCAGCCAAGTTGTAGAACACAGATTGACGCAGCCTTTTAAGGCAACTTGTGACTAGTTTAGATTTTTTACTGTCAGTTTCCGGTGACAACCGTTAACTCGTTAACAGTTAACAGTTAACAGTTAGCTCTGCCTTTTCAGTGCGGCCAAGCGAGGGAGCGATCGTGCTAAGCAAGTGCTGCCAAGTTTGCCAACGCGTCGCAGTCGCAAGGTCGTCTTTTGGCTTGGCAAACGAGTCACGCTTCACACACTTTGAAATTGGGTCAAATCTGCAACGGTAGCCGATTGGAAGTGGGTTATAAGATCTACGGCGTGGTCTACGGGCTACTGTTAACTATTTATTATTTCTGTTACTTTTTTATGATTATTATAAACCAGTTTCGATCACGTAAGAGAAACTGTCTGCGCACTCCATTAGCATTTCTAATTGAAACTTTCCAGTTGACTGAATTGATGAGCAATCTGTAATCGATAAACGATTATCGATTGTCAATTATCGATTATCTTATGACTTTCAGATGTAGCTTAATCTTAGCTTATCAATCAAATTCATCAATCATCATTAGCATTTCAAATTGAACAATCGATTAGCGATTATCGATTGTCGATTATTTGATTAGATCGTTGTCATTTCTAACTAAAACTTTCCTCTGAACTGTATTTAAGCAATTAGGGAACGTTTTTCTTGAACTGTAGATCGATTAATTGATTTCTAACATCGAAGAAAAAGAGTTCAGCAAAGTTTCCCAATTGAAGTCAGTTTTTGATTAATTATAAGCCACGCATTCCGGCATACGCTTGAATACGATCTGTTTCGGCGCTTTGTTGATTAAATTTTTGGGTGTAAAAGAAAATTAAAGTATTGCCATTGAATGGCAGCTGCATGACAATTACCAAAAAACCAAAAAAAAAAAATTACTTTCGTAGCCATGGACTCGGATTCGGAGCAGGGTTCGCAATGAAATTGAAAACTTGGACAGAAAAATTTGTGGGACGTGCCACGAATTTGGATCAAGAAGACAGCAGACGCTGCCAAGCAGCAGCAGCTGCTGATGTGCAATGAGTGGCGGGTGGTGCGGTGGTTAGGCTACGCAATTGGTACGCCGTAGTACCATCCATTCAGCTGGCTGTCCCCAGCAAATGCAAATTTTGCGAATTGTATAAAAGTCGTCGAGTTTTTGGTAATGGCATGTCAGTTCATTTTCGTTAACCGACGGTGACAATCAAATCCTAATCCCCCAAGCCGCACAATGAATCCTTTGACGGTAAGCTAACAGCTGGATGCCGAGGCCAATCGGATTCGAATTGGCTTTGTATTGGATACTCAAGTGTTTGCATTCGCTTTGCAGGTTGTTGCAGTCCTTTCCACTCTGGCGCTCTCCGCCCAGGCGCACCTCGCTGCCCCACTGGCTGCTGCTCCTCTGGCTGCTGCTCCATACATTGCATCGCCAGCTCTGCGTTATGCCGCTCCAGCTGCTTACTCTGCACCACTTGGCTTTGCTGCACCTGCTGCCTATTCAGCACCTCTTGGTCTAGCTCCTTCTCCCTACGCAGCTCCTCTGGCCTACTCTTCTCCTCTGCTTGCCAAGACCTTTGCCGCCGCTCCAGTTGCTGCCCCTCTAGCTGCTGCTCCAGTTGCTGCTCCTCTAGCTGCTGCTCCAGTTGCTGCCCCATTGGCTGCTCGCTTCGCTGCTCCTTTGGCTGCTCCACTGGCAGCTCGCTTCGCTGCTCCTCTGGCTGCTCCAGTTGCTGCTCCTCTTGCTGCTCCAGTTGCTGCTCCCCTGGCCGCTCCAGTTGGTGCTCCTCTGGCCGCCCCCGTTGCTGCTCCTGTGGCCGCTCAAGTTGCTGCGCCCGTCGCCACTGAGATCGTCGATGCCCACCCACAGTACAAGTTCGCCTATGATGTCCAGGATACGCTGACCGGTGACTCCAAGACTCAGGAAGAGACCCGTGATGGTGATGTCGTTCGTGGCTCCTACTCGCTGATTGAGGCTGATGGCTCCCGTCGCATTGTCAGCTACTACGCCGATTCAATCAATGGCTTCAATGCTGTCGTCCAGAAGGATGTTCCCGTAGTGGCGCCCGTCGCACCGGTTGCTCCAGTTGTTGCCAAGCTGAAGACCCTTGCGGCACCTGTAGCAGCGCCCGTTGTTGCGGCACCAGCTCCCTTGTTCGCCAAGACTCTGGCTGGACCCATCGTAGTCTAAAAGGAGCGAAGGACTTTAGAGGCGTGTCGTCTTGCTTGCGCCTTTGTGTAAATGGAGTGTATAACAGTTTGACAAAGGATTTTCATTTGTACATATTCGATTAATCATTGTCGTGCTAAACAAATAACTTTCATCGCAAAACCCAAAATTAAATAAATTACCTAAACAAATTTGTGATTCCAAAATTGATTATTATGTTTTTTATTCCATTTATATAATTGTCAATTAAAGCTGAGCTCACATCGCGCTTAGTCGCTTAACATGATCAGTTCGATATACATAAGTATTGTCCGTAACATATTTGAAAAATACCAATAGATATCGATAATCCATGCAGATCCTGCGCTAAGCTGATTTTCATGCATGTGCCCATCTCTATCTGCAATTGCAAGCGCGCATCTCTAATGCAACTTACTAATTTGATTTTCCTTTTCCTCATTTCTGTTTTACAGCGAGTTAGGTGAGGAGTTTTGGAAATTGTCGCCACACGAAAATGTGGCACGCATGCGCCTCAAGCTGGAGCCGCAATTGTATCCCAATAAACACGAAAACGCTGCTAATTTGCGCGATAATGCGACCAGTGCCTACGATACAAAGTAAGCTCATTACTCATCTTTAACCATTTTGCAGTTGTCTTTAACCCTTTCCTTTAGAGAAATATCCGAGTTTGATTCGACTATCAAAAATGCAGTGGTACGAGATTTTCTGGCCGACGACGAAAGCTCCCAGCTAGAGGAGGAGCTGCGTCAGTTAATTGATACGCAGTCGCAGCAGGATACGGCACTGGAGAAGCTGGTTATATCGCAGGATTGTGAGCTGATCACGCTTATGACTAAGGTCAAAGGTCGCATTGAAGTCAATCAGAGTGTATTCACGTTTGTAGACATGAGTCCGCCACTGGAGGACGGCTCCAAGCACGATTTTCGGTAGGTTTAAACTGCGAGTCATTTTGCCTCAAGCCTTATTTTTTGTTTTTCAATAGGTTTTCCATCAACAAAATACGCGAAGTTCACCTACGCAAGTATAACTTGCGCCGCAGCGCCTTGGAGATCTTTCTGATAGATCAGACTAGCTATTTTCTTAACTTTACAACTAAGGTGGGTGTGCAATGTGATGTCTTTAGCACTTGGCTCTTTGTATACTCAAAGGTATTTTCGTCTTAGACCCGTAACAAGGTCTTTACTAAGATTGTTGGTTTGCCCTTGCCGAACATACTTTATGGCTCTGGACGCTCCCCGCCAGAGCTGCTGCGTGCGTCGGGTCTCACCCAGCGTTGGATCAATCGTGAAATATCCAATTTTGAGTACTTGATGTACTTAAATACCATAGCTGGTAAGTTTTAAAGTATGTCTGGCTTTCACTCTTGTCTAATCATGCTACCTAATCCCTTGCTTAGGCCGCTCTTACAATGATCTCAGTCAATATCCCGTATTCCCCTGGATTCTGGCTGACTACACCAGCGACGTGTTGGATTTAACCGATCCTCGCTCCTTTCGTGACTTGTCCAAGCCCATTGGATGCGTATGTCCTTAATCTATAAGCCACATATATAAGTCTTAGCATATTGATTGATGCTTTCCACAGATCAATCCCAAAAATGAAGCAGAGGTGCGCTGCAAATACGACTCCTTCGAGGATCCATCGGGTGCCATACCTAAATTTCACTATGGTACGCACTATTCCAATTCGGCGGGCGTGCTGCACTATCTGCTCCGCGTTGAGCCGTTTACCTCATTGCACGTGGAACTGCAGAGCGGACGCTTCGACGTGGCTGATCGACAATTTCACTCCATACCGCAAACGTGGAAGCTATTAATGGACAATCCCAATGATGTCAAGGAGCTAATACCCGAGTTCTTTTACTTTCCAGAGTTTCTCAAGAATATGAATAAGTATGGGACTTTCTTGATGATATTCTTATCTACATATTTAATTTACTACAGATTCGATTTGGGACACTTACAAATTACAAAGGAGAAAGTCGACGATGTCATTTTGCCTGCTTGGGCCACCACGCCGGAGGAGTTTATAGCCATACATCGACGCGCTTTGGAGTCGGAATATGTTAGCCAGCATTTGCACAACTGGATCGATTTGATCTTTGGTTACAAGCAGAAGGGCGCCAAAGCCGTGGAGGCTCTCAACGTTTTCTACTATTGCTCCTATGAAGGCGCCGTGGATCTCGATAAAATAACCAATCCCATTGAACGGGAGGCAGTGGAAGGTGCGTGGCTAGCTAATAGCTGTTATATTCGACTATAATTCTAACTGTAATCCTTTATGGCTGGCAGGCATGATCAACAACTTTGGACAAGTACCGTCGCAGCTGCTGCGTGAACCGCATCCGCGTCGACTCACACAGGATGAGACGGCAATAAAATTGTTGCGCTCAGAACTGAAGCGCCCCGATTTTACGCAGTTCCTGGACAAGGTGGTGCAGTACTACTGTGAGCTATCCACGCCCAAGGATCCCATTGTCTACCTAAGTCCGCCGCGAAGTCCGCCACGCTCCTTTCTACAGCTTAGTCCCGATGTGCTAGTCAGCGTTTCCAAAGGCTGCATCCTTGGCTGCAATTCATGGATGTCCTTTGACAAAGAGCAAGGATTTTTATTGGAAATCGATGCAACTACAACAAATCTGAAGTGAGTATAAACTCTTCTGCTCAACATTAGTCAATTCCTAATACTGATTTTGTCGTTGTAGAAATCGCAAACGCGTCTTCGGCCCCTTCCACGCCTCGCAGCCACCGCATTCGCAGAACTTTGCAGTCAGCACGGATGGCAAATTGCTTTATGCCGGCGGCATATGGGACAATGCGCTGCGTGTCTACAGTCTAAACAAGGGCAAGACCTTGGCTTCTGTCACCCGCCATCTGGACATAATCACCTGCCTGGCGTTGGATAACTGTGGCTCGTATCTGGTCACCGGCTCCCGCGATTGCACTTGCATTGTGTGGAGCATACAGGGCAATCAGCAGAGCGGCGGCCCAGCCAACAACATTCCAGTGCACGCCTTGACAGGACAATCCCATCTGCAGGCCATCACACAGTTGAACACCCAGAATAGCTACTCACCAAAGCCACTCACTGTTCTCTATGGCCATGACGATGCGGTGTCCAGCGTGGCCATCTACACAGAGCTGGATCTCGTTGTCTCGGGCTCGCTGGTGGGTGCAATTGCGAAATATTGATGTATTTTAAGATTAATTGACATTCAAACAGATTAGACTGTCAGACTGAAATCTGATTGACTGATTGAACGGATTGAAATTTAGTTTTAACTAATTTACTGACCCATCTAATTGACTGATGTCTCTTATTCCATTCACAGGACGGCACTGTTAATGTCTACACCCTGCAGGAGGGCCAATTTGTGCGCACACTCAAGCCCATTGGCTGCACCGAGTCCTGTGTGCAAATCTCCTACGTAACTGTTTCATATCATGGTGAGTGATGATCTTGTATATGTCAGCCTGAAGGTATGCAACGCATTCAAACGCCAACTGCCAAGAAGTATGCTACAGATTTGTATGATCCAGCGAAAGATCGTGAAGTGAGAACTTTGTGGCAAGTTTGACATTTTGCTAGAGATAAGAGCTGCTTCCGTTGTAAGTGGGGATAGCATTGAACTGTCCCCAATTTTATCAGCTTTGTGCGCTTTACAACGCATCGCCGGAGCCATTCACGTGTTGCCGCTCATTGCGTGATGTGCCCGATCTGGTGCTTCTTCTTCTGCTCTCCATGTGTGTGCTTTGAGCAAACAATTTCAAACAATTTAATCAACGCAGCTCACTTATCGCTGGCCTGTAAATTGCCACACATATATGTGCATGATGATAAAGCCTCAAATACCACGTGACATTCTATCTGTGTGTGTGGCCGTGTCTGCCTCTGGCACTTATTCATTTCATTTCATTTCTACTTTTTTTCTCATTTTTCCATTCGTCATAGTGTTTGGATTTGGTTCTATGCCTTATCATTATCTTATCTTAATAGGCTCCAATAAAATTATAAAGGGCTTTAAGTAGAGAGCGGCACTTAATGTCTTAGCCTGAACCAAGGTTAGGGACTGTCTGTACAACAAATAGCAATACACCATATCAATCATTATCAATCATGCATAATCGCAAGTAGTTAACAATTATTTGTGCATGAATTTGCAAGTAATAAAATGTATAACAGACAAAAGAATGCAATTGCGATAGCACGACACAGAGTATATATACATATTCTAGATCAGTCTCAGGTGACGTCAATCAAGCTATATAAGACTGATTGAGCGAGACGATTTAATCTTAAATCGAATAAGAAGTTGAGCAATTGTACATAAAAGACAAAAGAGGGCAATTCGATAGCTCTAAATATATATTTCTGATTCCTGATAAGGCTTAAAAGTGACGTCAATCACGTACATCAAGTTGATTGATTGAATCGACTCAGCTTTTGAATTTCGCTTGAATGTGGGCTTATATAAAATGCAATGATATTATATATTGCATATAAACTTTCTCATATATCTATAAATATCGATTTTGACCAAAGACTTGCATATGTATTCAAAATATTGTAATTTATATATTCTAATTTCCCTACTATTACTAATTGCACTGAATTTAATAGGCTCCCTGTAAACACTTAAGTCATAGATGCTACTCTATTGTAACTCTGCTTAAACACTTACATCATTGGACGCCTCTAAAGGCTCAATTTGCCCATAGTAAATCAATTTCTTTGCAATCAGTCGCTGATTATCGACCCCACGCGCGTCAGACTTATAATGCTTGTATAACAGAATATATATATATATATATATATATATATGGCTGCAGTTGACAGGTTCTATACGTACTGTACATATGCATATAAGCTGAATATATATATATATATATATATATATATATATATATATATATATATATATATTCAGCTTATATGCATATGTACAGTACGTATAGAACCTGTCAACTGCAGCCAGGCAACCAGGCAGGCCTCTTATCGAGGTGGCAGAGTGTTATAATATAAAACATCGATTATTATTTTGCAATATCCGGCAGCAAATTAAACCAGAAATTCCAGACGGCCATCAAACTTATATAAAATATTATGAATATATACGAGAACACGAGCAGAAGATAAGATTAAATATCTGAGAATCGCAGAGGGGGGCGACACTTTAAAATACGTGACTATTTTATCATAGATACTTTTGTTTTACTTTGGCTTATAATGTCAGTCATTGAAGTAAGTCTATCAATCAATCAGTCAATCAATCCCTATACATAAAATCTTAGCTCTTTATATTATCCTACTCACTATGATTTTCAGTTGGGCTTATATTTAAAACTGACAAATTCCAATTCCAATTAAAGATAAGATTACATTTTTGAGAATCGCATAGCCGAGCGGTAAAGATACGTGATAAGTGCATATTATGTAACTAATACTAGAAAATTTAAGTTGGTCGTTTATTAAGTCATTCAATTCAATTAATTAATAGATATAAACAAATAATATTGTGATTGCATTCTATAAAAAATCAATTTATAACATGAGTTTAATTAAATGTCGAACTTTGTGTTCGTCGCCAGCTCCTTCGTAGCCCTCAATCGGAACTTATCAATGCGAGCTGAAATATGCGCATTCATGCACAAACACTCGAGCATTACTAATGGAATCAAATCAAAAGCGAACGAGTCCCGCAATCACATCCAAGTCACACGACCCAACGATCCGCCTTCAGGTCCCAGCACCCGTCTTCAATAAACTGGGGCCCCAATCAAACAACCCCAACCTACTACACCGGGCCTCCCTTTGCTTTTAACCACACTGAATCGGTGAGCAGGAGGCAACAGAGCAGTCGCGTGTTCTGTGCGACTAGAAGATACCGTTGAGATAATTGAGATTAATGTCAAATAATAATTGAAAATAGGAGAGAATAGAATAGGTTGTTAGTGGAAGTCTAGCAGATAATAATGCAGATTGATAGAGAGAGAGAGATGGCCACAAATGGAAAAGAGATGAAGAGATTGAGATTGAGATAGAGATAGAGATAGAGATAGAGATAGAGATAGAGATAGAGATAGAGATAGAGATAGAGATAGAGATAGAGATAGAGATAGAGATAGAGATAGAGATAGAGATAGAGATAGAGATAGAGATAGAGATAGAGATAGAGATAGAGATAGAGATAGAGATAGAGATAGAGATAGAGATAGAGATAGAGATAGAGATAGAGATAGAGATAGAGATAGAGATAGAGATAGACAGAGAGAAAGACAAAGTTAAATTATAGTAAGTAATGAGAGAAAGAGAGAGAGAGAGAGGACTGTTATTATACACATCTCTTAACTTTATGGATCTCTTCCTCTGCCTGCTACATATCATTACATATTATATTCGTGCTTCGATGATACCCCTTAAGCATTTTTAATGGGTGCAGAGCATAAATTTATAAGCAAACACTCATTCATGACAGTTTTCGTGCTTTTTATTCGAGGCGCTACAGAATTGTATGATACAGCTTGTAGTAAAACTCGGCGAGGGGCCCAGAAATGTGTAAATACATATATATATATATAATAAACATATGTGTGTGTGTGGGTAAAGCCTAAAGAAAAAATAAGACTTGGAATGGGAATTTTTCTGAATGAATTTAAATGTCGCAATTGGCGAGAATGTGACTAAAGGCGAATCGCTGGGAGCTGGGAAACGGAGAGCTGTGCGATCTGATAGGACAAAGACAGAGATGGATAGATCAAGAGAGAGAGAGGAACTATACATTGCCTATGCCAAACTGGCTGTGTCATGGTTATTTCTAGTTTGAACGAAAATCACATGGAAACCACTCGGAAACGCAGCCATTCACAAAAAATGATAAAAACTTTAAACGAACTTTAAGATATGCATACTTAAGATATGTATAATAGTGTGTTAATATGTATCAAGTATATCTAGTCCAGGGGGCACTGGCACTATGCTCGCTCTCTCTGTCGCTCTATGGTCTATCTGCTTCTCCGATGTTGTCTGCGTATGAAACGGGTTTCATTTTTGATTTGATTTCTGTTAAATCAATTTCATTGGCATTGCCCACTGATAAGACTAGAACTACGCATCGCTTTAAACGTTGAGACTTCGGTTGGCTTGGCTTGGCTTGGCTTGGTTTGACTTGGTTGTTGTTGTTATCTTGAGAAGCGTGTCATAATATTAAATTCCATCGAGCTGTCGCACGATGTGATGCGACTTCGTCGCCTGCTTCAGGTTATCAACGAGCAAGTGGGCCGGACCCAAGCACCACCCGTTCGATTCTGTTCAACTGCGTAGAACCCACTCATTGCCCCACATATCGCAATCTTTTAGCTCTATCAGTCGTTTTCTATGCTCTCCTTGTCTGAAGTGGTTTATGCTTATGCAAAAAATTAAGTCGTTTATGTTTCAATTGACTTCAGGCATTTGCTTTGTTGTTGTTCCATTGTTCTAAGACTGAACACGGATTTGTTTTGATTCATACCTGAGTGATTGGGTTTCTTGAAGTGTTTGATTCATATTCATTCATTCAATTTTAATTCAGAAATTGAGCTTATCAGCTCTACCTAAGGTAAAAATGCAAATGTTGCCAGTCCCTTTCCAACCTCATCCTTGGACTGTTATTCCAGCTCTTGCCACAGCTTTTTCGCTGAGTGTATTAGCTAGCGATAAGCTGAGACCTCCATAGATGCAACATTACAGTCCCTACTCTCCCTCTCCCCCTCCCTCTCCTCTCCTCTCTGCCGTTCCCCCGCTTCACCTCTCAAAAGCTTGTCAATTCGTCGCGTTAATTGCCATTTCATCGGACATCTCTCCGTTGATGCCCGCCTTATCAGACAGACGTCAGCAAATAATCGTTTTCTTCTTCTTGTTCTTTAATGATCTTCAGGTCACATCGCCTTCAGTGCTTTGGACGACACTTCGCATTCGGTGCACGTGTATAGCATCAATGGAGCCAGCCTGGGCTCCAAGTACGTCTCAGGACGTGTCACAGGATTGGCCAGCGCCTCGGACTATCTGGTGGTGGCCGATGATGCCGGCGACATAACCATGAGTCGCCTGCACGGGTAAGTGGAGTAAAAAACGATCCAACCACTGATTGACTTTAAATACAACGCAACTCTCTATCTCTCTCTATTTGCAGGCTGAAGCCCGTCTTTGACATTCCGCTGCATGTGCCCATCCAGACGGTAGTCGTGACACCCGGCAATACGCATATCCTAGCGCCTTTACGTGACGGCCGCTTGGCCGTGGTGGCCGTGCAACTGCCTCTAGCTGGCAGCAAAAAGCATTCCGTGCTCAATGTCTAAACGCTCTCGACTTTAGACTCTCCATATCGCAATAGTCCTTTAGATTACTTTTTATCGCTTGACTTCTTGTGTCTTTTTGCCCATTTTGTTCTACATTTATTTCTTAAAGATATATATTTATTTTTCGTGTCGTTACGTGCCAAAAGAAAGAAAAAAACAAAGTTTATATTGGCCAAAAAGCAGGCCAACAAATTTTGCTAGTTGGGCTCGCCTCAAATATTTTCCAGGTAGATAAATGTATCTCTCGGATACACAAATTCCATTAGCTGTAATGAAAGCACTCGTTTCATACGGTTCGTCAGACTTTAGCATATTCTGCACTTATTCACTCTGATCTATCGGGTGATTCCCCCTGATGCAAACTAATACCCAGCAAAAGCATTTCTTTCTTGTGGCTTAGCAGCAGCTGGCATACCCTGCCAACTCACTTGAAGTAGCTTTGTGCACAGTGAAATGTATCTATCAGATACTGGCATAGATGACGGCTAGCTATACCCTGTAGTTGGGCTGTCTGCAGTGTTGGGCATAGTCTAGCATACCCCAGCACTTGTTCACTAGACTTTCCTGTGCGCTCTGTGAATTCCCTCGAAGTATCTCAGCTTATATCTAGGCAGTCTAAAGTGTATCTATCAGATGCCCGAGGGCCATTAGCGTTAAACGCAATTCCCTGTAAATCCAGCCTCAGCTAGGTGGCCCATCCATCTTTATTGTATCCAATCCCCGCTATCTATCATGCCCATCTCTACCTCTCTCCCTCAGTCGCCCTGTTGCTCCGTCTCTTTTGCGAGCAATTATTCACTTGTCTTTCGTGCCGGATCGCTTTGCAGCGCGGTGCTTTGCGCGCGCCTTCCAATTAGCTTGACAAATTCGTATAAATCATTTATCATTAGGCTGACGTTTGTTGTATTTCTTTTTTATTTTTCTTATTTTCTTACTTTATATATTTATATAAATTAGCACATCGTGCCGTCATTCAAGCGACAAAAACTGGTTGCCGGCAAGTGGACCGGTCCGCGTGTCCCTCCCTGATCGCTGTATCTTTCTCTCTCTCTCATTCTCTCTCTCGCTCTTTGCCCCACGCAACCCGCTGCCATTTCCGTTTGCACTGAGTCACGCGCGACTTTCAAATCGCCATCAAAATCTGCCCGGCAACAGCGCGACGCGAGGTGGCGTTCAGTTTTTTGGCCACACTCGAAAACTCGGGCCAACTTTCGTTGCCAGCGCGAAACACAAATGAAACAAAAAAAACTGTATCTGTATCTGTATCTGCCACTGCAACTGCAACTGCAGCAACATCGGCATCAGCATCTGCATCTGCATCTGCATCTGTATCTCGAGTGAATGCATTTCCAATTGACAAGTATTATATATCCTAAAATTAGAGTCCGTCCACGAATTTAAAGTTTTCGCATCGAAATTCCATTCGCTTTTGTTTCTCTCTTTTCTTTCGGCTGCCATCCACGCCAAAAGGCCTGGTACAGCCCCCGACCTACCCTAGGACAACCTTTTCCAATGACAAGTGACAATATATAGTAGACGATCGTTTGATAGGTTTTTCTGTTTGTTTCTTGTTGCTCAACTCGTTACAAGCGCACAATATCAGCACGTAATATACATATATATATATAATATGCTAGAGATTATCACAACAGCAGCTCCTAACTATGCGTAACTCTGGACTTGCAGTGCGATCGATACGCAACATAAGTCAACTATGCAATTATTTACTTAAACACTTAGCTCCAGTAGCGAACACTATCATCTTGTTAACTCTCAATACTTATAACAGGGCTGTCAAGAGGATTTCGAATACGTTTGAGCAAAAAAAAGTTACGAAATTTAGATTTTGGAAAGTTCAATCTCGCTGAACTCGTGGAAGCTTAGCTCTTCTTGGCGCATGTCAATTGATTACAACTGATTCAGAAGACTGCGAAAAGTCACAAATGCCACAAATCCGAAAAGATATAGTTTTCAAAGAGTCGGAGCTAGAACAAACTGATTTCGGTTTCGATTCAAATTTTAACCAAAAATGTGATATTCGAGTTTTTCTAAAATCAGACTAAACTTAGCTGAGCTATACAAGCTCTACAGACTCTTCAGCCGCTAATTTTCGAGTCTTTTCTGGCATTCCCGTTTCGAACCGGTACGTTTTTAACCGCTTCGCAGCCCTGACTTACATATACGTAAATGTGTTTGCTCGTTATTTGTTACTAAGAGAAAAAAGAAAGCAAAAAAAAAGAGTTCTTCGACCTTCCCTAGCTGTAGATAATGTAACACTGTATAGATTGTATTGAATAAACTGTGTCAATAAAATGTTGAAAACCAATACCAAAACCAAAAGTTTTCTTTTAATTATTGTTGTGTATTTATTCAAAAAACAAACACTTTAAATTCAATAATATAATATTTAAATGTATAATGTAAAAAAACCATAATTCAGTTCAATTAGCTTAATATAAAACATAAAACATAATATTAAGGGGCAACACTTCGTAAACTGATGTGGGGCTTCTATGTGTGTGTATACTTATGTGTGTGTATCTATATATTATATAAAAACTGTTCTGTTAACCTCAGTGAATACTTTTCTTTCTTCTCTTGGATGCTTATAGATGGATGTATATAAATATGCACGATGCGGGTTCAATAAATAACTTTTGTGGATATGAGAAAGCGTGAATTCGTGAATTCGAGAAAAAGACTGATTTCGCGAATGCGTGAACAGGACAATTCGTGAACAAGTGAATTCGTGAATTCATAATTTCGTGAACAGGCTGAATTCGAGCTGCCTATAGGGTATTGGTGGATTGTGTGGATTGATGTCTTAGTGGTAGTTCACTTCTGGCTGATAGCCACATTATATACGTATAGATATACATATATATTAAGTAACGGGGCAATTAATATCGTTAACTAGTGTCTTGCCTGATATAGTTAGGAACAAACATTTCTACTTATAAACGATGCATGTTTACCTGAACAACTAAAAGCTAAAATTGAAGAAATAAGCAAATGCTATATTAGATACAAGAACCTAATCAAATACCATTAAAAATAATATTCGTAACTAATTCGAGGTGGAAGAAATTAAACAAAGAAAGTATTAAAAACATTAAAGTCTAAGCCGGCATTAGATTCTAGAGTTAACTTAAACTTAAGCTTTCTTTTCTTCTTCATTTTTTTTGTATTTTTTTTTTCCTATTTTTCAGTTTGTTTTTGTCTTTCGCGCATCTTCAAAGGCATTTGATCTATCTAACTAACTAAAATGTCCAATCGAATAGCCTTGGGTGGAATCTTTAGTCTTCTTTCTGCAATGGAAGCAAGTGGGGAAAGATCGAGTTAGCATTGATGGTAATATGCGGTTATAAAGTGTTATCGATAAATCGATTTATGGTTATCAAATGAGTAGTTCCGATCAAATATGCACGTGATTGGACTTTTAAAGATTTTCTAGCTAGCAATTTGGATATTATATTGCATAACATGTTTATCGATTAATCGGACAAAGTATTTATCGATTACTCGATGTGTTTATCGATACTTACAAGTACGGGATATACGAAGGTATCAGCTGAGTCTCGGCCCACAGCGTTGTGCGCTATGCACTTGTAGTTGCCCATATCCTCCCACTTGAGATCAGCGATGAGCAGGTCTCCGGTGGGCAGGACCTTGAAGCGATGGCTCTGCACGATTTCCTTGTCCTCGTTGTTCCTCCAGGTGATCTTGGCATGTGGGCGGGCGTGCACCTTGCAGGGCAGCATGATGGTCGAGCCCATCAGATCCAGATGGGTTTTCTCGGTGTAGATGATGCGCGGCTTCTGCGGGCCCTGGTACTGCTTCTCGGGCACAATCAGGCTGCCCAGCTCCTGGTCCGCGTGCGCGGGATGCACCACGGTGCTGGCATAGATGGTCTTGGAGCCAGTGCGGCCAATGCACGTGTAGATTCTCGGCTCGCTCAGCATATGATCGACAATGTGCACGGAACGCACACGAACAATCGCCGAGGGCGCATACTCCGTGATCGAGTTCGATTCCAGGTTATCGATCTGAGGAGAGAGCGGAGTTGAGCTAAGGGGTTCGAGGGAAGGGTGACTGGGGTTGGGCTTGTGGGACCTACCTCGGAGAGTGGCATATGGCCGACAATCCATTGGATGCTCGGCACCTGGGAGCCCATCATTTCGCAGGCGATCTCGAGGGTGGCGCCGGGCGCCTGTTGCATCTTGGTTGGTGGCGTTTTGGTGAACTTCAGCCAATCGTCCTCGAAGGCGCGATTGTGATGCTTCGATTGGGACTGCGGCGCCTCCTCCGTCTCAATGGAATTGTCCACATCGTTGCTATCGTCCACGATGTCCACGGCGCGACTCTGGGCGCCCGAGAGGCTGCCAAACAGCAGCAGCGCTATAGCGCACAGATTTAAGTTCATTTTCTGCAATCAGAGGAGAGGCGAGAGAGGCGTGGCTTAGTGATAGAAGCGAGGTTCAAAGTTCAATATCATTTCACTTATAATATAGGTTAATAAACCCGCAATCATCATTGGAGCATCGCTGCAGTTATCAGCTATGTGCCAAGTCCGTTACGCCGGGCTAAATCCGAGGCTATAAATCACAATGTCGCCTGATACCAAGCGAACGGACGGAGGCGCTCGATAAGAATCGAAGCGCGAATCGTGAATCGAGTGTTCACGCAGCGAGCCACGACTGCACCAGCAGACGTTTGCATAATATCTTGTTATATTATCAGAGTATTTGTAGATCTGTATGCATTATATATATAGGCTTACAATTCTAGAAATTTGTTTTCCTAGTGTTTTTTTTTAAATTATTCCCACAAGTTCAAAATATTTCGAAATTTCATTTAATTCGAATAAATTTATCAATTTCCTGCTCAACTCAATTCCACAATTAAATCACATTATTAAAGCTCAATAATTTAGCTGTCTTTGCATTTTTTCATTTCATTTGCATTTTAAATTTAACTTAAAATCGTTTCACATTTCGGTTTTTTGTTTTATACAAGAATTTCATCAGTTTAAGTAAGATTCGCTTAATTCAAACGAAATTCAACTTGGCTTTGTTTCTGTCTCTTTCACACTAGCGGCTTAGTGACAGGATGCGCGCTTTATAAGTATGAGGACCCGGGTTCGAGCCTTCTAGCAGACACGTTTAATTTAATTTAGTTGAAATATTTTGTTAATTAATATTTTGTTAATTTTAAATTGTCTTCAAGTGCTTAAAATTTGTTTCAAAAATATTTAAAGGATTTTTACAATTTAATAAAAAATAAATGATTATATAGAATAATATAATTTAAAAAAATTCAATACAATAAATTGAAAAAGTATTGAAAAATGAAAAAAGAAATAGTTTAACTGTTTTAGTTTAGATTGAAAAAATATTGGTAAAATAATTTAAATTCAGTTGTAGAAAACTCACGCTAAAGTAATTTGAAAAATATTAAATTCACTTGATTAATTTCAAAAATATTTTAAATATTATTCAGACTTATTTTGATGATTAGCAAAACTTATCCAGAATATAGTCGAAATATCTATTTTTTCACTTCAAGCTAAAGAGATCCTTACGAGAAGCACGATCAACCCCTAGCTAATGAAGATTTTCCCAGCGATCGACTAGCCATTTCACAATTTCACAATATCACGCGGTCTGGGGACACCGAAATAGAACAAACGATGATAAATTGTGGACAAAGAGCTCACGTAGGCAGCAACACTTAAGTGGATCAAAAAAAAAAAACAAATATCGAAAAAAATGGAAGAAAAAACCCAGACAAGAATTGAAAATCGAAATCACATTTTTTGTGTTGTGACGTCAGCTCCTTGTGGAACGCGCCCACGCGCCATGGATCAAAGGCCGAGCACAATTAGCCAGGCCGAGCATACCGTTCGCATATACCCTAACCGAGTGCTCGACAAGGGCGTGACCAATTAAGTTATTCAATTCGGTACGCATAGCTCTATAGTCTCTCTCTCTTTATATAGAGTGTGACGTCTGGCGATTTGCTGGCAAATGTTGCATCAGATTTTTGACTCGATTTGCCCTTCGACAATGGGGCTTTTTGCTGATTCGCTGAATGGCTGAATATGTGATTTATTTTTCTTCGAATTCGTTCGTCGTCTATTTGAATGTTGATGAAATTGGTTTTTCGTCGTATCGCTAGATATTTAATGGCTTGGGCTGTGTTTGACTCACCTTTTGATTTGATTTCTTTTTTCTCTTCCGGTAAAAAATGTTTGCGATTTTCTCCCTAAGTGGGCGGCGTTTAGAAACGTTTGGCGTTCGCGTCTTTTGATTGAAGGCGCGAGCTGCTCGGATTTGACAACTTTTTGTTATGTTATGAAGGAGTTTATCAGCTCTAAGTTGTGCTGGCTGCGGAATTGGGCCTTTTGATTGAAATTCAGCAGCAATTGAGTTAGCAATGACATAGAGTCGGCGCGGTGTGCCGTTTTGGTAGCTTTGCAGCTTAGTTTTGGTGAAATTTTGATTGTTTTTCTTTATTTTGCAACGCAACGCAACGGCGCCTGCGAGCTGATTCTATCGTTCTTGTTCCGGTTCCGGAGCGTAGTGAAAAACGTGTGCGTCTTCGACTTCGACTTAGCTTCAATCGTAGCGTATGTCCAGCTCAAAGCTTGGGCACATTCGTCTCAGAATAGAAGAGTTAAAAGGTGTGGAACGAGGGGGCGGGGCTTCAGCACGACTCCTTGGCAACTGTAACTAATTGTGGTTTCTTGACGCGGCACTCTTTATAAGACGCACGGTTCATCGACATTACAAGTCAAGGTAGGCTTTGATTTTCTTTTTTTTTTTTTTTGATCGGTCAGAAAGCGGTCAACGTTGCAGCGAATTGCGGGGCGCACACTTAAGTTGTGTTCAACAGCTGAAAACTGTCACAGAACTGATTTGGCTACGCAGCCGACTTCATTTTTATATGCGCGCCAGACCGAAGCAGACCAGAGCCGAGCAGAGCGTCGCCGTCGACACGCATTACGCTCTTTCTTCAACTCGCTCTCGCGCTCTCGTTCTCACACACTCGCGTTCGCCGTTGTGCCCTTCGTATTGCTGTCTGCACTTCGGTTATTTTAGTTCGGGACGAACACACTTCGTCGGGAGCTATAACACACGCACACACACAAGATGAGCACCGCATTCACAATTATCGGAGCCGGAACGAATTTAAAGAACAGTTCATATATCATTTGATCTGTTGGCTATTTGAATGCAGTTTGAGCTGCGCTGGGCGACAATTGCAGCGGCGCGAAAACTTTCCATAGACTAAGCTCGGACTGGAATGGACTGAACTTCCAACGAGTAGAG